TAGGGATGTGTGGAAGCACGGTCTCTGACATGTAGGTAACTAACTACCTACCTAGGTACTGGCTTCATCTCCTAGTTTGGCAGCACTGTATAGTCGATTGCGTGACCTTCGGAAATAGTTAGCTGGTTAAGGAACATTTATGGTATTATGTGATTGTGACAACAAAACCACTCAATCAATAATGGGGGCAGAGCGCTACTTGTTATTCTCAAAGTTTACTTTGGTCTTTCTTTCTTTCTTTCTTTTTTTCTTTTCTTTTGGTTCTCGCCTCTTTTGTTGTCTCCTCTTGTTCCCTCCTCTCGACAAAAAAAGGGGTTCGGGTTAGGGAATGAGATGGACCTTTCAGGCCCAGGCAGGTGTCTAGGTCCTGATACACTTACTCCGAGTTTACCAACGTCCACGGGCCCTCAATGTAAGCCTTGCCGTATCTCTCGGCCTGCGCTGCCCCCATATCCAGGAGCTGAGGCTGTGTCGCCCACTCTTCGCTCGCGAATACATGCGGCTTCTCTTGATGGCTCCGAGCCAACTGCAACTGGCCCCATTTGGAAACCACTTCGAAGGATTCGGTGCCCATCTCTGCTTGCAAAGCAAACTCCTCCACCCTCTTCGCTTCCCGGACCACCTCCACCAGGTATGGGGGCCGACTCGTGGGGTTACGGGCTGCCATGGTCTCGTCCTGATCGTCCACATACTTGAGCATGGTAATCAGCCCCTGCAGCGCCATGGCTTGCTTGCTCTGGAGCGGTACGTTCGGCGGCTCTGCGCTCCAACGTCTTTTCCAGGGCATGACGGTCCATCGCATGAGCGGCTCCAGCATGCTCAGGAACCGGGTCACATCCCACCGCCGGCGCTCACCCGCCGAAGCAGCTCCGGGAGCACGCGCTCGGCCTTGCCAGTTGATACCAGGGGTCGTTTGGCTGTCGGCCTGCTCCTCGCTAGCGGTGCGCGCCCAGCCAAAGTCGCCGAGGTAGAAGTCGGGCAGGCCGTCCGTGCCCGGGTAGGAGTCGTAGTGTACTAAATATGTTGTCCCAGGTGCAGATCGCAGTGATAGACGGCCTCGTGGCCGGCCTTGGTACATGAAGTGCAGTGTCTCGCAGACCTGGGCAATGCACCGCGCAAGAACACTCACCGGGAACAACATGCCCTCCATGTTGTCGGCCATGGAGCCCGAGCACCAGCAGTCGATGAAGCTGGAAAGGCTGCCGGCGTTGCAGAGCTTCCAGTAGCTGACCTGCAGGCACTCGGTTTGGGATTCGGGTCCGGAGGACTGCACGACTTTCTCGTGAGAGATGCATGTGCTCCAGCGCGGGGTCAGGCCGGTTAGGAGGTAGACCGGGTTGAGGCGGAGCGCGTTGAGATGGTCGAGGATGCGCACCTCGTTGTCTTCGGGCACGTTGGCTACATCGTGGGCATTCCGTACGACCGGTTTGTACTTGCTTACCTTGCGCACAACCACCTCGTACGTCTGGATGTTGGTGACGAGCTGTACTGTGCTCTGCGAGCCGCTGTAAAGCAGCCGGTTGAAGATGTAAGTCTCGCCCGACACGCTGTAGAAAACGTAGGCATGGCCTGCATGTTCCGGTTCGGACGCAATCGCCGCGAAGAAACCGGGAACATGTTAGGGGTTGGTGTCAGGCGATGGAGGAAATAGGGGGGTAACACTGGTAGGGCTTCACTTGTTATGCGAGCGACGCAAAGTAAGCGTTGTAAGAATATGGTTTTCGCCATAATAACAGGGACGCGTTTTATACTACCTAGATGTTTTTGGCGACTTTGAGTGTTTCTTGGTGCTTGTATTTTGTTGCCCGAAGTCTGTTCACTGTGTGCATATAGCCATGTGAACAAAGAACCCGTACAATTACCACGTTCAAGTCCTGGTATCGGTGAGCTTCGCTTGCATTCAGGGATGGTGGTACTAGGTGGATTTACAGTGGGATCGAATGTGTAAAAATGCTAGACCCATACCGTCAGGTTCCGGCTGTGTATGACAGAGTGAAGTTAGGCATGGAAACGTTCTGGGAGAAAAGAAGAAAAGCGAGGCGAAAACAGCCTTAAGAAAAAGACAAAACAGTGAACAGAAAATGTTAAGAAGAAAGGGACACAACATGGGCTGCTTTCAGATCTAAAACCATATCTAGATCTTGGCTCCGCTGTAGCCCAGCGTGGGATTTGCAACTCAGGAGAGTGTCTTAGTGATTCACCTGGACGAGTTTAACCTCGGGTCTTATTGCAGCCCTTCGACCGGCAACTCAATTTCAGTTTTATGAGGTTAGAGGCAACACATGAGGTGATGAGCAGGTCAACCGTGAACCTGGCAAACAATATGAAACAAACTCCTATCAAGATTCGTTGTTGTAGTCCCGTCCGCGGAATTTTCCCACCAGTAGGGATAACCGCCGCAGATCCCTAAGCACGAGTATCCAGCTGGGTAAATCGCCTTGGCCAGCTGTGCCCATGTCCCGTCGCGGGGCCCAACTCTGGCTAAATCAGACTCCATAATTCCTTTCGCTAAAATCAACTTTCGGGCACTGAACATCCGCCGACGATACGACCTTGGTGTGTACAAAACCCATGTTAAACTTCGCCAGTGTGCTCGGCTCCGTCCCGCCGGATTCACAGCCAAGACTCGCTAGACGTTTTTGAGTGACTACTTGGGAGCTCTAGCCATGTTATCTCTACCTCGCTGGGCAGCTATTGCTGCTTCCTTGTTGCTGTTGTCGCCCACTTCTGCCGTCCCGACGCCAGAAGATATCGGACCGAGCCGGGATGCTCTGGCTCCCAGAGCAGACGACGACTGGCATTGGGTTGCCACCTGGACGTCCATGCCACAGCTAGTCGAGCCCAACAACATGCCTCCGTCACCTTTTGTAAGTTCCAACACACCACCGTCGCCCATCCGGCTGGTCGTGCAGATTGGGAAAAGCCAGGGTATGTTGGCCAAGAACATGACCGGCAACTCCTCGACGAACTTATCGTCTACCCCACCGCCAGGGTGCGGCAAAGCCTGGACCTTTTCATCTGCGGGTGCCCGCCTCCGCCTCAGAAGGGGAAAAAATTTGGCACGAGCGAGAGTACCCATCACCGCGGCCTCCATGACCTACAAAAAGGGATTAGAACAGCGTGGCGGCCATATTCTCTTACACGGTCATACCTGTACCTTAGACGACGGGTCCTCCGCAGGACCCCTCCCGCGCGGCCAGGTCGCCTACACGGACCCAATCGACTTCGACGCCGCCCCGCAGGCCAACATCGCCGTGTCCATCTACTCCCAGCCGGGCCAGTCCGGAAGCAGCATCACGGGCCACCCGGGCAGCCGCACGACGTCGCACATGCAGAGCGGCAACCGGGTCAGCGCGGCGACGCTGTCGGGCGGGGCGAATACCAAGCACTGGTATTTTGTGTCGGCGGTGGAGGCGTGGGCGCCGCCCGAGGCGGGCGCGTTTGTGATCTTGGGGGATAGTATCACGGATGGGCGCGGGAGCACGGATGACGGGAATGATCGCTGGCCGGATCTGTTGTTGGCAAGGCTGCAGAAGGCGGGGAATTTGAGCCATGTGGGCGTGAATAACCAGGCGGCGGGGGGGAATGCGGTGTTGAATGGGGGGTTGGGGCCGACGTTGCTGACGAGGTATGAGCGGGATGCGTTGAGGGTGGCCGGGGTGAAGTGGGTGATGGTGTTTGAGGGGGTGAATGATATCGGAGGTGGCGGGACGGATTCCGGGACGCAGAATGGGATTGGGAGCCGGCTGCAGCAGGCGTTTGAGAAGATCGCGCGGGATTGTAAGGCCGCGGGGATCAAGACGATTGGGGGGACCATCACGCCGTTTGGCGGGAATGGGCAGTCCTACTCGAACCCTACGCGCGAGCAGACCCGGGTGAAGGTGAATGACTGGATTCTGAAGAGTGGGACGTTTGATGCGACGGTGGACTTTGGGGCTTTGATTGGGGATCCCTCGGTTAAGAGCCAGTTGGCGAGGCAGTATGATGGCGGTGACCACCTGCATCCGAATGTGGCGGGATATCAGGCGATGGCGAATGGGTTCCCCTTGGACTTCTTTAAATGAGGTGGAAATCGGAGGTGGTGGAGTACGAGGATAACCATAGTAAAGATGACAGGTGTATTGGGTATGTAAATAAGGGGTTGGTTGCGAGCAAATACCACTGATACGAAAGCGAAAGAAAGGCTTGGGTACTGCGGCCCATCAAGGGCGGCCGCCCTCTGAACCTTGAACCTCTGCATCCAGCAATGCTTTGGACTTTGCAGAGCGGCTTTTGATCGAGGCCTTGAATGGCAAGACGGTACTGCACTCGGGTCAGTGATTGTGCCTCATATGGGATTGGGCTAACGTACGCCTGGCCCCTATACGACCACTCAGGCTCAAAAGGCGTTGGTTTGCCATCTGCTCCCAGCGGCCAGTCAATATCAACAGTCGCGAGCATCGTGGCTAATACGATCAGGAGGCTGTTCTCTGCGAGATTTCTGCCAATGCAGATCCTACATCCATCTAGGTCAGTACTGGCCGAACTCATGGGTTTGTGTTATTCACTTACCGGCGCCCGAATCCGAAATTTCCCACCGGTAACGGCTCTCCATTGCCGCCCTGCTCCTTGGACAGATACCTCTCGGGCCAGAAACGGAAGGGCTCAGCGTAGACGGACTCGTCGTGGGTCATGGCCCAGACATTTGGGTAGATCACCGTGCCCTTGGGGATGAACATGCCGTTGTACACGTCGTCCGCAACGCTTGCATGAGGGATGCCGAGGGATGAGAGTGGATTCATCCGGTAGGTCTCTTGTAAAATCAGGTTCGTGTACGGTAGGTTGGCAATATCGTCCCAGGTCGGTAACCTCTCGCCCCCTACGACTCGGTCAACCTCATCTTGTGCTTTGCGCTGCGCGTCAGAATTTTGCATCAAGTAAAGGACGAGGAGCATCATTGTCGCAGCTGTCTGGGAAGGGTCAGCATCCCGCCACGGCAATTTGAAGATTTGTGGCTCACGGTATCATTCCCAGCGATGACGATGGTTGCGGCCGCTCCTTTGATATCCTCTAGGCCGAAGTCGTTGTGAAGCCCGCTGTGGGCCTTATCATTGAAGATACCCATCCGCGAGTGAACAAATGAGTGGTTGTCCGTCCCCGAGGCCTGGGACTGCAATCAGCTTGTGCAGGCTCGACCTTGAAAGAAAGGGATCGTACCAGTGTCTTTAACGACGCTTCAAAGGGCAGGCTAGTGAGGTTCTGGATCGCAGGTCTCCACGTATGGGCATAGCGTAGTCTCTCCATGAAGGGAAGCCAGCTAGGTAGGTACCGGGCTACGAACGAGAATTAGGACCCGACAGGCAACGTGGCCTGGACGTAACACCCAAGATACTCACTTGCTGGAAAGCGGTCCATGATGGAACTCGCGGGTGCTCCCGACTTGCCGACTGCGTTGGCGGTATCCTCGGCTAATCGAATCCACTGACTCTCAGGTCCTTCCACCTCAAGCCCGTACGCGATCTGGAGCACGATGGCTACCGAGAACTGTCTGACCGAGATGAGCCAGTCGTTAGGGTTATCGACCAGGCCCTTACAGAAGATGCGAGCCTCCTTCCGTTGGTGAGCCGTATACTGGCTGACACGGGACTTGGTGAAAGGGGGCTGCAAGACCTTCCGGTGAAGCTGGTACTTCGGGCCCCAGCGGAGCCAGGTGAGCGTCGGGGACCAGCCCATCCTGGAAGGGTCAGCGTGTGTTGTACTCGCACAATTGGGGACGCCTACTCTTCAAACATGACGAAACGGGGGCGGTCTGCATAGCTTGATCCCCGCTTCTCAAGTAGCTCCGTCGCCGCCGCGAGGCTGTTCAAAACCACCCATTTGGTACCAAAGGTTTGAAAGAATAAGACATCGCTCTCTATCAGGCCAAGAGCGGCAAGGGTCAGCACGCATTAGTCTAGTCGACCGCACCTAAACAGGTCTGTCGATATCGTACCGTACTCCTTTGCCCACTCGGCGTAGCGCTTGAACGCGGCATCTTGCGGAACGATTCGATAATGCCCCAAAATGGGTTCTGGTGGAGGACCAGGTGGGAGCGGGGGCATGCCCCGCCTGTGAGCCCAGAGCGTGTGATACGCAGCGAAGATGATGATTATTAGCGCTGCGATGACAATAGTGCCTGAAGGACTCAGTGCACCGAGATGTTGAAAGTCAAGCCCCATGGTTCTTATATCCTCACCGGCGTAACTCCGTGCCAGCAACCTCTTTAGTTGGTCAACAAACCCTGGGAACTGTTGATGCGATTGCCGAACACTTCGTCCTGCCGTGGAGGAGGTAGTCTACGGGAACTATGTGTATGACGGCGGGGATGGCGCAGGAGGATGCTGAGGGATCAGAAGCGGTTGGCGTGATTCGGTGGTTCCTGGTGGTGATCTTCTAGCGGGGTCAGGTTCTTGATCGGGACCTCACGCACCGTGGCCGGGGTGCTCGGACGCCGAATCGCAACCCGTTGATCCTGCCACCTTCCTCGAGAACCCCGGACACCCGTGCATGGTAATCACTGGAAGCACACGAGGCACAGAAGGAAAGGGTTGCATCTCGGGGTTTGACTGGTCATGACGGAGACGCTAATGTGCTCGATGCCCAGAACGGTTGATGACGTGGGAGTACCACTGCAGTCACTTGCAACTCCTTGCCAGGAGCACAGAGGGAGGAAACCATGATTGTACATATTTGGATGGCGGCGACACAGCGAGTCGCAGGTTTGTTTTGTGGGAAGCCAGGCCTGTCAGGGGATGGACAAAGTGTTGTTCAAAACTTGGCGAGCACTCGTTCCACCGCCCGGTGCCGGCGATCGTTTGGACTTTGGATGCAGCGAGCCGTGGGCTTGTGCATGGTGAGACCGCCATGGCAAGATCGCTAAGGACGCGCAGGGGTCGTGACTGGAATCCCGGTTGGTTCCAGTTGGTTGTTATTGTTTAGAAATGCTGCAACTAAGCCGATAAAAAGAAAACTGTGCTCCTTATTGTGTGCACTTTCTGAATAATGCGATTGGGCCAGGCCTCGGGTCCTGAAGCACCAAGTCGATGAGAGTTTCTACTGAGCTGGTCGCTGCTAATTTGACATCAACTTGTGCTAGGTAGTTAGGTTGGATCAAAGTGAAAAACACATCGCCAGTCAAGGCCTGCTGGAGCAGCTGAGCTGTTGTGGAGGCGCGTGTTGAAGTGTTATTTAAATGGTGAGATCGACTCGGGCCAAGCCATTCCCGAATTGAATCTGGCGGTCTGGGTTCTCGCAGCCGTCGGGTCGTGTGTCAAACCTCGAATTTTAAGACATTGGGCGAGGATTGGATGACCCGCCTCGGGCCGTTTGGCGGGGATTCCATGAAAGTGCGTGAGTGCTGGCCAGGGGAACCAGGGTCTCGGGAGCTCTAACGCTAGTGCCTATTTCGGGGACCAGCTGCCCCCGGAGAGAGCCCCCACAGTTGGGGACCTTGGGGTTCCGCAAACGCGTTTTCGGGAATCCTCATTTCTGCTGGAATCCCCCAATTTCAACCTTCCTTCTCTTGTCAACAACGAGCTCATCGCGAGCAGTTGGTCCACTCTTTTACCACACTGCCCCCAATAACTACAACAACACAGCTACGACGGCAACACAGCATCACCCGGTCCATTGACTACACACCAACATTGGTTCATCCATTCTTTTCCCGGGATCTTTGCTCTCTCCCATCACCCATCACCCATCACCATCACCCACCACGATGCCTACCAAAGGCCACCAACGGTCGCGTTCATCCATCGACCGGGTCATTGATCTGCTGGCAGATCTTGAAGACAACCAAATCAGCCTCCTCCTCGATGACTTGAACCACACCACCTCGAGCAATGTCGCCGTACCGGATGCGATCGCCCTTTTCGAGCATCATGCGAACAAACCCAGGAACAGGTCATGCCGGTCTCCTTCTCCGCTGAGGACCCTGCAGGTCGAGCTCGAGCGACGTCACAGCAAGAGACTTTCTGCTGCACCAGAAAGACTGTCTCGTTTCAAAGCAGCCAACCCCCAACCGCCCGCCCCCCAGGACCTAGCGACGCCGTCGCCGTCGCCGTCGCCGCCACCCACAGAGGACCTCTTCGACCAACCCAACTTCAACGACAGCTTCTCACTTGACCTGTCCCCGCCACCCGTGTCGTTCGACCACCCCAAGACCTCATCGGCCGGACCACCCCCGGTATTCCGCCCTCGTTCTTACAAGAGGATCAGCCGGCCCATGTTCCTCTCACCGACCGCAACAGCCGAACTTCACCTGTTGCTCCTTGCCTTCTTCAACGAGACCCCGCTCCCGCCGGTCTCGCCGGTCACAACCGCGACTCCATCACCCACTACACCGCTTTTCGGCTTTTCCCATTCTCCCTTCACCGACTTCGAAGTTGAACCGAACACTCCAGGCCTCGATCTGCTCGAACCTTCACCGACACGGACACCAAGCTTTTCCGGTGGGAGAAGCCTCAAGACGATGCCTAGCATCAGTAGCATATTCGAGGTCATGAGGTCACAGTAGACGATTAATTACTTTCAAGGTGTTGTTGTAGCATTAGCAAGCGTTTGGGGTGTAATTTTGTACGATGGGATACTGAGAATGATATCCGAGCTATGGGGCTCTTTGTTGGAAGTCTTCCGCTCCCGACATGGCGCCTGCTTAACTGATGCCGAGAGTTTCCACACGTACTAATTATGCGCGCTCTGCATTTCTTTCCAGACACGGCTCAAGGGTCCCTTGATTCTCGTGGCCATGTCACATTTACTCACATTCCCCTTCTCTCGAGTGGTAAACAGTACCCACTGAGGCCGTGGACTACCTGGTGTTAATAAGTAACGAACACCTTATCAGGCATGCTTTTTCTCTTGAAAAGGGATGAAGCACGAATACAACAATGCATTATTTTGATCTTGGTTCTCTTTACGCCTCTCATCTCGTCTTCAGTGAGACGGCCAGTCGACATATTCTCGTTAGGCGTCCTGTCAGCCAACACTTCTACCGGCAAGCGGGCTTCTACGGCCAGCCGAATTCAGGAGATGGCCATCACGGCCACGAGGACCCGCCAGAGAGACCACGACGGGGCCCTATTCCGTACTTCGCGTGACGCGTGATGAGTATGGGTCCTAGCCGGTTTGGAGAATGTCACAATGCAAATTGGTTTAGTAAAAGACCGAAAGGGAAGCATAGTTATTATCAAGTCCATACTGGAAAGGAACGTTTACCGAACATGGGGTTATATCAGTTAATAATACATTCTAGAAAATAGAATCTACCGAACCATCACCGTCCGCCAACTCACCCAGTCATTCCCCGAAAGCCTACGAGCTGCAGGCACCCGCGATCTTGGTACCAGTCGTCTGGGCCACAGTCTCCGTGACCGTGGACGTGCCCTTGGTCACCGTGACAAAGGTGGTGGTGCCGCGCATCGTCCCATTGTTGGTGGCCGGGAAGCTCATGCCGGAAGAAGCGGGGCTGTTGGTGGGCGAGGGAGCTGTGCCGTTGTTGCTGGCGGTCGGGGCCGGCGCAGAAACCGCGGGGCCGGCGCTGCCGCTCGGGGGGTCGAACACGGCCGGGGGGGCAACGGGGCAGTCGCCGGCGGCGTTCGGGTCCGGCTCGATCAGCTGCACGCCGTAGCGGCCGGGGTTGGGGATGTTGAACACACCCTGGTCGCCCATCCGGCTGGTCGTGCAGTTGGTAAAGCCAGGGATGTTGGCCAAGAACATGACCGGCAGCTCCTCGACGAACTTATCACCTGCCGCCTTGTCCTCGACACCCCCGGTCACGGTGATGGGAGCGCACAGCATGTACAGCTCGTTCTGGGTGATGCGGTTGTACCAGGTCCAGGCAAAGGTGGCGTCGCCGTTGGGCAGGTCCTTGGGGATGGGGATTTCGAACTGGCGGATGCAGTCGACGCCCTTGTCGTCACCGCAGTGGACGGCATCGGGGATTTGACGATCAAAGTAGCCCCGGAAGTAGGGGTCCTCCTCGAGGTTGCCGGGCGTGGACTTGATCTCGGCCGGGCAACCACCAATGATGGTGTAGATGGTGCGCCAGTCATCGGGTTCGGCCGTGTAGGCGGGCAGACCGTGGTAGTTGATGCCGAACTGGCACGAGCCGCCGCCGTGCGGGGCCGAGCCCGTGAAGTTGACCAGCGTGGTCGAGCCGGCTGTGACGACGGTGCGGTGGGCAACGTCGGTCCAGCCTTGGCAGGGGTAGGGGTATTGACCGCCCGGGGCTGTTACCGGCCAGGTCATAACCTTGTCCGGGGAGAAGGGGGTGGGGAGATTCATCAGCATGTGTGCGCTGATGGGGAGAGCGGCGATAGATGCCGTCAGAAAGTGCTTGAGGGACGCCATTTTGAGTGGTGTTGTTTTGTGTTAGGTTGGTTTTTCTTATGGTGTTCTCCGTTTCTGTGCTTGCAGGCTGCTGAACTGGTTCCCGGGTGATGGTGAGAAGGAAGTGGGAATCGAAACACGATAACCGCTGTAAGCTTATATACTTTTCCGGACTTGCATGTTGTTCAATGGGACAATTGAATTGTCCGAGGCAGGCTTTGGTCGGGTTGTATTGCCTTATTGGTTAGCATCATCAAGAGACCAGTCAATGTGAGAGACAAAGGGGTTCGACAAACAACAATGAATGGTTTGCTTAGGGTCATCTAGGTTTGTAAGTCGATCGATTCCGGGTATAATACTCCTATGTTGGATGTGTTACAGTATTCATACAATCCTTTTCCAACCATCACTCAGGACGTGTTTCATTTGTAGCGAAGAATGAGAGGTGTTTTCAGGGGCAAAGTCAGAAACGACACAAACTCACTTAAAGCGCACCTCCCAAGAGCTTTACCATCATCATGGCGAGGCGGACCTTAATCCCCACCCGCCTATCTGCCTTGGCGAAGTCGTCCCTAGTGACAATGGTCGTATGCTCTTGCAGCCATCGTTGTTCCTGGCCCAGCCGCTTCTTCAGCTCCTCATTCTCAGTTACGATCATGGCATTGGTTTCTAGATCGAGAGAGTAACTCCGCTTAGTGTAGTTGGAGCTGCCGATTAGGCTGATGGAGGGGTCCTTGCTCCCGGGGAGCGTTATCCACAGCCCCTTGGCATGGTACGTCCATGCCCCAGGTTCCCCGACGGTGCCCTTTCGCCATTCCCGGAGTACCGTCGAGGCCTCGAGCTGTTGCTGGTGAACGGCGCGGACGAAACGACGTGCAAGGAGAGTGTATGCGTCGGGGAGGAGACCTGATACACCGGGCGACTTGTAAAAGCCATTTGCAAACGGTGAAGCAGTGATGACCGTATTCCCATGTGACTGGGTGGAGAGTAACAGCTTGGTGAGAGACGGCGCCGGGTTGAAGTAGCCCGCTGTAAATGTCCAGGAGGAATTGGCGTACTGGGGCAAAGACAGAGTTTTTAGGACGTGTGTTACCGCGGGAAGTTCGGTCGACGTGTCGGGCGACAACAATTGCGAGAACTGGGACAACAAGAACACCGAGGTGTCCCTCTTGTCTCGTGGAGTGGTGTCATGCGCGGTCAAGGGTGCCGTTTTGGGAGACACTAGTCCGGCCAAGAGAGATGTCGACTCTTTGACAAAGTGCGTAGGATCTTCGAGAGGTGAGGGGGCCGCATTGTCCTCGGGCCAGATCATTTCGAATCCAGCTTGCGACTCGGACGGCTTAACCAAGAAGCTCAATGATGAGACGGCATCCTGGATATTCGCAAAATACTCGGTGACATCTTTGGATGAAAAGAGGTGGTATCTGTCCTGGCGGTTCGTAAAGTAGTCGCTCGACAGGTTCGCGCCCGAGAGAATTATCTCATCGTCCACCCCATACAGCTTCATGTGCTGCAGCCCCCAGCCCTCGTTTATCCGCTTTGGTACGTACTTCTTCCTCAGCCCTGTCAAGTTAGGTGTGTGGTACATGCGGATTTCGACTCGATCAGGGCCAAACTCGGAAATTAGGGGTGCTAATAGGGATGCACATGACGGGTCCGGGGCTTCGCGGGTTCCTCGGAGGGCGTCGGTTAGAATGCTGATTTTGAGGTCAGGTTTCGCGCGGAGGGTTACTTGTATAGTCGTAATCTATGACATATTAGTCTACAACAAGCGCAACAAACTAGACATGGAGGGTACGAACCAGTTCCCTCTCCGACTTGCCAATGTATAGCGTTGATAGGAAAATGCGCCGTTCTGCATTGCGGATCTTGTCCTTGAGGGTCTCGTAAAATTCGGCGGGCGACTGTAGGACCTGAATTTGCGAGCCATTGACCCTAAACGAGGGGGCTATTTTGTCGAGTTCGCCCACAAAGGGGGCAAGCATCCCGGTGCTCGACATTGGCGGAGGAGACCCCGGCGTCGCTCCGGTGGTAGGCATCGAGAAACGCCGACATTGTGCTCGGGCGAACGGTAATGATGGTCGCGAAACTGATCCTCGAAGTCTATGGGAGCATCGTGCAACGCTCCTGACCAGCATGGCCGCAACGGACGGAAACCGGGGCGGAGAGGGCGGTTGCCGCGAGGCTGCTGGGAAGGTCTCGTCTGGATTTTGAAATCACACTCGGTGTTGAACTTGCCGAAACTGCGAAGTTCATGCAAACCACCAACCATTGAAGCTGGATTGTCGATGGGCGGGGGAACAAGTCTTGGCGGCTAGGGTTGTATGAGCTTGGCCATTGGTTCGGAGCCACCCGGCCACAACTAGAGCTTCCACTGCGTCAGTTGCCCCATCTGCAACGGTAGCGCATCGGTGATCGAATTGAACCTCACAGCATCCCACCCACGGTCAATTGGCCCGCCACAGCAACCATGTCGAGCATCTCGAGGACGCTACGCAACCTGCGTAAGGTTGGCATAAAGGTTGGAAACATAAGCATTATATTTAGACTCGCAACAAGCTGACAATGCGACCGCAGGATGCCTGGCACCAGATGAACGTGAGCACCCCTCGACTGCTTCGACTTCTCGACGACCGCTAACCCTCGCCGCCTCTCGACGACAGTACATCGGTACGGCTGGATATGGATCACGATGAAAGCCAACCAACAACGACTGACAACGGCGCGCAGGTGACACCAAGGCCGGTACCTTGATCGGCACCGACAAGTTCGGCAACAAGTTTTTCGAAGACAAGGACGACCTGCCACGTCCGTCACCCCCTCGCCATACCACCCCTCTCACCCAACCCGCCCACTAACCTCTCCGCCCGGCCACAGTACGCACAAGATGGGTCGACTTCGCCAAGCACGACTATGACGCGTGCGTCCGCCCCGACTCCCCCCCGCGCTCCGGGACCCGGCTGACAATTAGCGCAGTGGCCATATCGAGCCCCTCTGGCACGCCTGGATTGCCTATGCCGTCGACACGCCGCCGAACCAGGACCCGCTCATGGAGCTGGGCAAGCGCGCCTGGGCGCCCAAGGAGCACGTGCCCAACCGGACCGCTACCCGCGGCGCGTACAAGACTTACAGCACGTTCGTTCTATCTCCCTCGGAAAGGTAGATGTGGCGTGGTCATGGTAATGCTGACGCCAGAAATAGGACGAGGCCTAAGATTAACGCTTGGGAACCCTTTGCTGCCCCGAGGTAAGCAGGCACAGGAAGAGACGTGTGGGGTGGGGGGTGTCTGTACATACGACATGAGAATAAGCCGAAACTCAGTTGCTGCTACAGCGAGAGATATATTGGGCGCTTTTACGGAACCATGCAACTTGATCCGTGTCCAGCATTGCAACCTGCAAGGATTCGAATCGGTACAGCCTCTATTCATGACAGTTTCACAGTGAGTTGATTGGGATACTTCAAAAGCTGTCCATTTCACAATCTCAACAGCCTCCAACATAAACTACCTATCCAAAGCCAAATGGGTTCTTCGAAGACAAGAAATGTCGGTGCTATGCAGCATCCAAACGAAGAGGAAATAGACCCAAAAAAACGGCAACCGAGCCCTCTACTCGCGCGTCTAGAAGTGCAAACAGATGCATGCAACCGAGTCTCGATCTAGCGACGGGGAGAAGTGGATATGTACGGGCCATATATACTAGCAGATCACCCTCCTACTTGAATCGGGCCTCGATGGCAGACTTGATGGCTGTGATGGGGTCTGTCAGTCTCCTCCCGCTTCCTTGTTCCAAGCATTTAGGTAGGTAACTCACCTTCCGTTGTAACTCTAGCGTCTCCGAATAGCATTCTCGTGCCGGGCATGTAGAACATGGGGTTCGGAACATCAGCTACCAACCAGTTAGCAACGGACTCTCTCCTAGACATTCTGTTGCTTCCTTACCATAACCGCTCGCCATCCCCCGCTTCATCACCACGACCTGCTTGCTCTTCCACGCATGCAGCACCGGCATGCCAGCGATCGGGCTCCCCGGCTCCAGCGCGATTGGGTTAACCGTATCATTAGCCCCAATCACCAGCGTGACATCGGTCTCGCCAAAATCATCATTGATCTCATCCATCTCCAGCACGATATCATACGGCACGCTCGCCTCAGCCAACAACACATTACACTGGCCCGGCATGCGACCCGCGACAGGGTGGATGGCAAAGCGCACGCGGACGCCCTTGGCGCGCAGCATCTGGGTGATGTCGGAGATGGCGTACTGGGCCTTGGCGACGGCCATGCCGTAGCCGACAACGATGATGACCGACTCGGCGTTGGTCAGCGCCTCGGCCGTGTCCTCGACGTTGGTCTGCGTCACGGTGCCTTCGACCTTGTAGTCGCTCGTCGTCGGCGCCGCGATACCGCCGAAGAGCACGTTGACGAGGGAGCGGTTCATGGCGACGCACATGATGTAGGACAGGATGGAACCCGACACGCCGATGAGCGCGCCGACGGTGGTCAGGAGCGAGTTGTCTAGCATGAGCCCTTCGGCGACAAGCGCGAAGCCGCTGTAGGCGTTGAGGACCGTGATCACGACGGGCATGTCGGCGCCGCCGATGGCGGCGGTTGTCGTGAAGCCCTTGAGAAAGGACATGGCGGTGTTGGCGGCCAGGGCGCCAGCGGCGATCAAGGGCGCACCGGGGGCCATGGTCACGAACGCGCCCATAGTAGCGGCGTTGGTTGCGAGGAGACCCGAGTTGATGAGGTGGCGCCCTGGGAGCATCAACGGCTTGGAGGACATCTTACCCGCGAGCTTGAGGAAAGCGACAATTGAGCCGGTGAAGGTGATGCCGCCGATGAGGACGCCGAGGTAGGCCGTGACGAGGTGCAGCGTTGAGACGTGAGCCAGATCAGCCATGACGCTGCCGATGCTGGTCAAGACAGCGGCCAGACCGACAACGGAGTGGAGAGCGGCAACGGTCTGAGGAAGGTCGGTGGGAGTGATGCGTTTTCCAATCAAGAAACCCAAGATGCTGCCGATAGCCGCGAGTCCTCCAAATTGCGTCAGGACTTCGGGGGAGAAACCAACTGCGAGAAGTGAAGCCAGAACACCGGACCCCACGCCGAGCATGCCCAGCATGTTCCCCATCCGCGCAGTTGCTTGCGATGCCAAGCTGGAGATCGAGGTAATGCACAACACAGAGCTCACAAGGTAACCGGCTTGAACAAGACCAGCGGCGCCGGTCGAGGCGGCCGCCAAGAACCCGCCCCCGAAGAGAACACCCGGAATGGCATACAGCCACGGGTACTCTGGGGGGTCGGTCGGGCGCCGGAACATATCCAACATGCGCTTGGTGATGACAAATCCGCCAGAAACGTTGACAAAGGCCAGAAGAACCGAGGCAGCACCAAACATCTGCGGGATATTCTCCGGAAAGTAACCCCCACCCAAGATGAACAGGCCACCAACGCCAACCATTCCAGATATGGCGTTCGTGACGCTCATCAGAGGCGAATGCAGCGCCGGGGTTACGCCCCACACGACGCGGTACCCGATAAGCGAGGCCAAGGCGAAGGTGAAGGCGTTGCCCATGAACAGCGGGCCCGTGAATTTACCCAAGGCGAGGGCCGAGCCCATGCCGCCCGTGATCAGCGTGACCTCGCGCGAGGCCTTCTGCCACGGTGTCAGGGCGACGACTTCGGCTTCCTTCGAGGCGCTCGGTGTCGGCGCGGGAGCGGGTGGCGGCGCGGGGCGAGGGGCAGGCGGGAGGATCTTTCCGTTTTGCGTTACGATTGCCCCTCGCACGACTTCGTCGCTTAGGTCGACGCCGTATTCCTTGTCCTTGGGAGCCATGGACAGGAGGAACTTGGCGATATTGTTCGAGTACAGCGTTGACGATTGCGTGGGTAGCCTCGAGGGGAGATCGGTGTAGCCTAAGGCTGTTAGAGACGACGGTCAAGAGAGTCAGTTCCTTAGAGGAGCATACCGATGATCTTGACGTCCTTGTAGGTGACAAGCTTGCCGGGCTCGGTCTTTTCACAGTTTCCGCCGGCCTCGGCCGCTAGATCGACAATGACAGACCCGGGTTTCATGATCTCGATCATGGACTTGGTAATCAGCTTCGGTGCCGGCTTGCCAGGGATCAGGGCGGTGGTGATGATGATGTCCACCTCCCGCGCCTGCTCGGTAAAGAGCTTCATCTCAGCCTCAATGAACTCCTTGGACATTTCCTTAGCATAACCACCAGTACCGGAGCCCTCTTCGTGTAACTCGACCTCGATGAACTCGGCGCCGAGAGATTGGACCTGTTCGCGGGCAGCAGACCGGGTGTCAAAACCGCGCACGATCGCGCCGAGTCTCCTCGCCGTGACGATGGCGCTGAGTCCAGCGACACCGGCGCCGATAACCAAGACCTTTCCGGGAGGGATCTTGCCTGCAGCTGTAACCTGGCCCGTCAAGAAGCGGCCAAAATTGTTGGACGCCTCGAGCACCGCCTTGTACCCAGCGATATTGGCCATGCTGCTGAGAGCGTCAAAGACCTGCGCGCGAGAAATCCGGGGGATCAAATCCATGGCAAAGATGGTAGCCTTTTGCGCGGCCAGCTTCTCCACCAGCGGTTTGTTTTGCATCGGCTGGAGGAAGCTGATGATGGTCTGCCCCTCCCTGGCGCTGCCGGCCTCGGCAGCGCTGGGTCCCCGGACCTTCAAAATGATATCCGCGCCGCTCCAGACGGCAGACGCATCATCGACTAGGGTAGCTCCGGCAGTCGCATAAGCACCATCGTGGAAATCGGCCTCAGCGCCGGCGCCTTTTTCGACTAGCACCTTGTTGAACCCTTTTTTGAGTAAGAGGGCGACGTTTTGGGGTGTCAGTGCCACGCGACGTTCATTTGGGTACGTCTCCCGAGGAACCCCCACACAGAGCTTGGCATAGGGCGTCGTCACCGTTGTCGACTCGGTTGAATATGCTGCGAGACCGCGCGGGTGCGACTGGGGCGGGATTGTCGACAAGACCGACGCGTGGCGTACAATCTGCAGAGCCTGCACTTTCGGAATGGTGAGCGCGAGGCTGGGGGTTTTGGGCGGCTCCCGCCGGTGCGTAGCATGCCATGCTCGCTGGCATCCAAGGACGGCGCCGAGAGGAGCGGAGTCTGTAGGTCTCGTTAGGATCCCGACCTAATGTCCCGAGAACTCGTCAAGTGCGCGGAATTACTCACCAAGAAGACGGGCCGCTGTCGGGATAGAAACGCGTTTGGCAACGCTCGCCACGCGACGAGCGTTGTTAGCCACAACAGGCTGGAGAAACGAGGAAGGCATCATTGATATCCGCGAACGCCCGCACGGTCGAGGCAGACCAAAGAAGGTACGACCATGAGTTCACATGCGAGGCGAGTCGACAAAAAAGAATGGTAACAGAGAAACCTCGTGGGTGGCGGTAGAAATGGAGAAGGAAAAAGGTGAGTTTGGCTTAAAACTGGTATTGTTCATTCGTGTGTCACTACTCTTGGGTACACGACATCAGTGGCGTGCAGGTGTCAAACCATTGGGTTGTGTTTCACCTGCGAAAGTTCTGGGGCAGGTGTTGGACATAAGACAGAAAATTGTCATGAATCACCCCAAGGTGAGGAAGGAGATGCTCAGATGCAAATGAGTGGCCTTGAGCCAGGGAACGCACACAGATCTACCCCGCCTTTCCCGCTCCCGTGCGGGGTCCGTCTCAACCCCCGGGCCATGTTCCAGCCAAAAACCGGGTGTAGAATATCCGGTAAAGATGGGAATCGCACGGGTGGTTGGATGAGATCGGGATCCAAAGTGCCAAAATGGGCCAACACGCGACGTTGCATGGGGTACTCACTGAGGTCGCCAAGATGCACCAACCAGCAAATCCGGCCATTTCTGGGGGGCAAATGCGGGGGTGGGGTCAGTGGGGCTTGCATCTGCGGAGTTGTGGGCCGACTCCAACCGTCAGCTGGTCCTTTTGGTCCACACACAAACTGCAGCAGCTCTCACGAGTCTCGGTCTCTCAAAAGAAAGGATGCCATCCGTTCGTCCATTGCATGTCTCGGCGATAATGCATGGTGTTATACAACATAAAGCACCTCAGATCCCTCGCTTTTCTGGGACTCGCTCCATTGGCCTTGCTAGCACATGCAAATCCCATCTCGAGACGGTGTTGCGCAATAACACTCCCAGTTCAACGGGATGTTTCCGCGATTACCATCACATCTGAACCGATCTTTCACTTTGGATGGCAAGCCTCGTGGGAATGGAACAATGGGAGCAACATAACTCGAAAACGCCTCCCCAATGACGTTTGTCGGCATGTTATGACGGCTCGTTGTCAGTCTGTTAATCAACAGTCGCTTGGGAACGAACGGACGTCATTCCGGGCCGCAAATATATCTGCCGTCCGGCCAGCCCGGCCAAGCCGATGCGCCATATCCCGACGCGTTCTTGGGGAGATCAATCCAGACGTTTTGCCTTTCACCTCTCCCTTCAGTCTGGCTATCCCAAGTCGTAATGCCCTGAGCCGGGGCGAGTACCTGCACTGCTACGACCCACCTACCTACTGCTACTACATTATATACATGGGAATGAACAAGACGAAAGTGGGCCAATCTACTAAGATTTGTGTGTGGGCTAGGTCGGAATAACGGCTGAGGTAACGGGTTCATCACGGAGCTAGATTTGACCGATCTGGATTGAGTCAAAAAATTATGCACGTGGTGTTACCATCAACCAGCAATGAGGTTACCTTGTAAGATACCAACCCAAACAAAGTCTAAGGACTTATTCTGGGTAACGTAGTGCAGTGGCATGTCCATGCTTCTTGAAAGTCCGTTTTCTCTGTGGAATTATAAATCTACCTTGGGCAAGCTAAGGTTTGTTGAAATTTTATGTTGTATACTGCTCCGACAAATCTCTTCTTTGCGACTTTTCCGGGTTACATCATCTCAGCTGATACACAAGCGCACTCTGTTAGTCCATGGGCAGCTTATTAGTTTCATAGATGCTGACAGCCACTGTAGTCAAGGGCACGAATGCATGAGAACGCTATCAAAGTTGGGACAGTTTCACAAACCCATGGACGAAGTGGATTTCAACCAATTAAACAAATGTTGGGGCTGCTAGTGCGACTAGGTGCGTCGTGGGATTGTCATCATTGGGATCTCAAGAACACTGATCTCACCATAGTGGCGTAGGATATGAGACACAAAGCGAAGCTAGGGAACCTCGGCCAATAGAAGCAGGGGCGAGGGAGAAAGAGAGGCGAGATAAAAATGAGAAGGATCTAAAAAGAACAGACGGTCTGCCGTGGCTTCTGAGTCGATTGACGAATGTAGACGTCATCTAGATACACCTAATCCAGCCTTTAAGATGAAATTTCCATGGGTTTGCGAAGTTTATGATGACGAGGGAAAGACAAATCCCGGAAGTTCCACCCAGGGTGGGCTAGACCACACCTCATTGTGAGACAATGCACTTACATCATCCAGCCGACGGGACGCCCGGGGAGGATGAGGAAGTGCATGTCGATCATCTCAAGTGGTACCGCGGATATGAAGACCAGGTGAAGAGAGATACCACGGGAAAGGGATTGGAAAAGTTAACTGTCTGCGGCCGGGATGAAGATCTAACTACAAGAGACACGGATGTGAAGGGGGATGATAGAAAAAAGGAAGAAACGAAAGAAGAAGAAACAGGCAAGGAAAAGGCGATAGAAACTTGAATCAAGAACAAGGGAGGGAAAGCTAGGAATAACAGGATGAAAACACAATGGAAAGAAATAGAGAAAAATATAAAGATAAAAGTAAAATACAACAAAAGAGAAAATAACTATGTGTCTAGGCATGACTTGTAAAGTCTGATAAGACGGGATTCTTAATACCTCTTTTTGAGACCTTTGAGAGAGTTGCCCGATGACTCAAGATCCGGAGTTAACGGGCCGTAGTAGCGGATCGAGCTCCCGATTTGAGACGATTCCTGACCGAAAATATCTTTTGACATCCCGCTGCTTGAGGCAGAGAGATGAAAGGGGACTAGGCGGGCAAGATTGTGTGAAGTTTCCTGAAACCCGCGGACGGTGCAGCTCCTTTGGGTAGGTGGGCGGGCAATCCCTCAACATCATCGACTTCTCCACCAATCAGCTATGGGACTGTGCCCCTGGCAACCCACGCCGAGATGGAGGACGACCTCCATCAACCTCAAAGCGTCCCGAGTAGGAAGGGGATGCGGCGCTTGTTTTCGGTGGGTTAACTTGATATAAGTAGGCCATGTTAGGCTGAGCCAGATGATCGGTTTTTATTACCGTTGCAAGCGTGGTAAATCACTCGACAGATCGCATAGGTAATAGGTACTTAGCCACAGCTTCTCGTGATGGCACCCTTGACATCCGCGGCCCTGATCCTGGGCAGCCTTGCCAGCCTCGTTGCTGGCCATGGCTACCTCAAGAGCATCACCGTCAACGGCGAGAACTACCTCGCATGGCAGGTTGGCCAGGACGACTATGTCACCCCGACGCCGGTTCGATACGCCCGCAAGCTTGCCGACAACGGCCCGGTTCCGGACTTTACCAGCAACAACATCACGTATGCCCAAACTCAAGGCCCAATATGTGAGGCCACTGCTGATTATCAAGCTAGATGTGGCGCAGGGGGCAACATCCCCGCCGAGGGAGTGATTGAGTTGAAGGCGGGCGACACTGTGTATGAGAAAGCCTCTTCCCGCAAGTCTCACGGCCATACTGACGCAATCAACTTCACAGCTCCCTCAACTGGGACCAATGGGGCAGCTCTCACAGCGGTCCGGTCATGACGTGAGGCCCTCCCCTTCCCAACTTCACTCAACCGCCCTCACCCTAACAAACCACTCCCTCACCCCAGCTACCTCGCGCACTGCACCAACGACGACTGCAAGACCTTCTCGGGCGACACGGGCGCCGTGTGGGTCAAGATCGAGCAGCTGGCCTACAACGCGGCGGGCAACCCTCCCTGGGCGTCCGACCTGCTGCGCGAGCAGGGGGCCAAGTGGCGGGTGACGATCCCGCCGTCGCTGGCGCCCGGCGAGTACCTGCTCCGGCACGAGATCCTGGGCCTGCACGTGGCCGGGGTGCGCATGGGCGCCCAGTTCTACCCGAGCTGTACCCAGATCCGCGTTACCGAGGGCGGGAGCGCGGCGCTGCCGGCGGGGATCGCGCTGCCGGGCGCGTATGACCCGGATGATGCGGGCGTGAGTGACTGGTTTCTTTTTTTTCTGGCCCCGAGATGGGGGGTTTCGAGGGTGTGGTTGGCTGACAATGGTTGGTGATAGATTTTGACCGAGTTGTGGAGGATTAACCAGGGCCAGATCCCCTACACGGCCCCGGGAGGAGATGTCTGGGGTGAGGCGGCGCCCAACGCGAACAGGGATGGCCCGTAGATGACTCGAGGTTGATTGGGGATGGGGAGATATTTTGACGAAGCATGACAGCGATTTTATCTTTCTCGATCCGAAGCTGATGGTCTGTGACTGTTATCCAAATGCCGTCTACTTGACTTGTTTTGATTCACTCCAGCAAGATGGCCACAGCCCCTGAAGTTGTTCAAAGTGTGATTAATCCCCGCCTGGTTTTGCAGGTCTCAATTCCCGGGTTCAATTGGGTTTGATACCCGCAGATCGACACCGGATGCGCTTTATATTGGATCGGGCGGGAACAAGCGATTTTGCCCAGAAACACGGCTCTGCGGAAGTCCTTCCTCCGCCCTCGGAGTCCCTCCACTTGGCCGGTTTGTATTTCCCCGAAGCTTAGTTAATGCCGTCATCCGTTCCGCAGTAACTGAACTGCGCCGTTGTGTCGACGCATCCTGTTAACCGCCCCTCGACCACTCGCAATGGCCCTCAATATCCGCTGCAAGGGACGATGACCCGACGGCCAATGAGGGGAAGTGATCGTCCTTTAAAGCATCAAGCTTTGCAAAGGATAAAGTAGGTTCGCGCCGAGAACCCGCGATACCAGGATTTCTCCCGACAGAGTGCCATCGACGTTCCCCTCAAGTGCGGTGGCGACGCCGGGGTACGGCGTGTATAAGAACTGATGGGGCATCTTAATCTTGGCCATTGTGCCTCTAAGTCGGTTCGACCGCGGTCCACCTGAGGCGTACTCACCGATTTCTACAACCGTTTGCCACCATGAAGTTCTCACTATCGTCAGCGGCCATGTGCGCCGCCCTGCTCCCGGGAGCATCCGCGACCATCTTCTACGCCGGCGTCGCCCAGTCCGGCGGGGAGTTTGGCGTTTGGAGCGCGGACGGAACCCCAGGGACCGGCTTACCCGGCCAATTCGGCAAGGAGTACCAGTTTATTGACACCGCGGGCGTGGACATCATGACGGACGAGAACAAGGTCAACCTCCACCGCGTCGCCTTCCTGCTGGAGCGCATGTGCCCACCGGCGGACGGTCTCGGGGCCAAGTTCAACGAGACCCACTTCGACCACTTCAAGGAAGCCATCGACTACATCACCGTGACCAAGGGCGCTTGTATGTGCATTACTCACCTCTCACCCTTCCTCCACCTGTCCATCCATTAGTAGCAACCACTGACAATCCCCAGATGCCATCCTAGACCCGCACAACTACATGCGGTACAACGACCCCTCCTCGCAGCCGTACAGCGGCAGCGTGATCGGCAACGCATCCGACCCAACCGCCGCCACAACCGCCCAGTTCGGCGAGTTCTGGGGGGAGCTGGCCGGGCGGTTTGCCGACAACGAGAAGGTCATCTTCGGGCTGATGAACGAGCCGCACGACATGCCGAGCGCGCTGCTGCTGGAGAACCTGCAGGCGGCGGTGGACGCGATCCGGGCGGCGGGCGCCACCAACCTGATCATCGCACCCGGCAACTCGTGGACGGGCGGGCACGCGTGGACGCAGGGCGGCGACGAGGCCAACAGCGCGTGGCTGCACAAGCTGGTGGACCCGGCCAACAACACGGCCATCGACATTCATGAGTACCTGGACGAGGATTTTAGTGGTGGCCACACGGCCTGCACGCAGGACCCGGCCGAGAACTTGGCGGATGTGACCGCCTGGCTGCGCGAGCACGGGCTCAAGGCCATGATCACCGAGTTTGGCGGCTCCAACACCACGGCGTGCACGACCATGCTGAACGGCATCCTGGACTTCATGGCGGAGAACGAGGAGTACATTGGCTGGACGGCGTGGGCGGCGGGTCCGTTCTGGGGCCCCAACAGCCCCTGCTGCACCGACCAGAAGCAGCTGGGCAGTCTGGAGCCGGGGAGCAAGGCTGCTGGTGGCGCGCCAAGTCTGTATGATACCGTGTGGCTGCCCGTGTTCCAGAAGAAGGTACCGGCGAAATTGCAGTGGAGCGGGGCTGCGAGCGTGGATGGCGGTGAGTTGACGGAGAAGGCGTAGACAATATCGGGTGTACTGTACTACTGTGTGTGTTGGGCGAGTTCGAAGGGGTGGATAACGGGGCGGGGGCGGGGGGAGTTATATGACTTAGCGCCATAGCAGTGGATTTCAAAAAGAGACACCGTCGTCTTCCATTGTTCACCTCCACCCCTGGTCCGCAAGCTTGATGTGAAGCACTCAGCGTTGGTTGATGTCGGGGCGTGTGGAATCCAGGGGTAGGGGGTTAGGGTTGGGAGAGCTGTTGCCCCAAGTTGTCCGCCAAGCCAGGGTCCGGCGCCTGAACCAGTGGCGCCTCTGAAACGCGCCCCTCACACCTTCTGGAACGGATCGACAGGAGCTGCGAGACGACACAACAATTTCTCATTTTTGATGTCGGGAGTCCCAATCCAGCATTATTTGCGAGTGAACAAGAGGAAAGATGAGGAGGCAGATTGGAGGAAAAGAGAATGAAAAGAGAATTCCCGGGATCCAACCTGAAAGTGTAGGAGCCGTTTTGTGGTTCCGAGCCATGCAGTCGTGGCGACCTAGTGGAAGTGTGAGGAACCTTGACAGAATACCTTGGTACCAAAGGTAAATGCCAAATTCTCGTTCGACCGAAGGAACATCCCACGCTGCCTGGTGCTCGCAAATTCACTTTTGAACTCAACCTTCCATCGTGATATTTTCATTTCAGGCTTCAGCTCCAGGAAACCGAGAACCGAAGAAACGGAACAAAATGTCCGCACGGCAACAAGCATCCTCCGACTCCACCACCGGGGGCGCGCCGGACGGGAAATGAACACCATTGGCTGGCAGTGCAACACTCTCCGGAAAACCTCAACATCCGGGGCCGAAACAAGGCCAACCTTTTGACCGCCGTGGCGCGTGTCCCACCTCATTGGACACAGTAACAAACGCACGAGAGCGGCGACGCCAGTAAATAGCCGCGCAACGGGTAGGCAACTGGCCAGAACCCGAACCAAGTCCGCCGGCAACTGCACTTCCGCGCCTCTAGGAATCAATCTCTTTCCACAGAACCACTTCAGCTGGTCTCGTGGTTCGTCTGTTCGTCGGGTATTGGGCTATCCTAACCCTTTTGAGATTAATGAGATCAGCGACAATGAGAATGAGAACTGAGAAGCAGGGTTTTTGATGGAAACTGTCAGTTCCGGCGGCCACGCATCACAGAACCCAGGAGGGCCCTGCGGGTTGCGGCTCATGAGACAATCGCCGCAACGTCGCCCCGGAAAGCTTGGGCCACTACGAAGTACCAAATGGTTTGGTAGAGAACTTCTGGTCTCGAATCCGAAACGAGGAAGGTCACTGCCTCCGCCGGCAAGCCTCAGTGCCGTTTTACAGTCTTCCAGCCGCTTTCTTCGTCTGAATGCCGGTCATGCTGCCCTGTTTGTTACACATTCCGGACGTAATCTCCATCTGGTCTCATGGTCAGCTAGAATCCCTGCCTTGTCTCAACGTCAGCTTCGGCACAAAAGGTTTATCACCGCAGCTCGGTCCGCTCGTCAACTTCCTTTGTCTCGGTCTTCCGCTTTTCCATCTTTCTTGTGTTAAATTTCTGCATGCTGGATTCTGCTAGCTCCTTTTATTTCTCTTCTCTCGACCCATTGAGCTTAGTGTGCTGACGGGCGAGTTTACATAAAAACCCGCCGTCGTTCCCTAACCTCCCTCCTCGTCGCCCGTCATGCCGCTCATCCTACCTCGTCTCCCTGCCCTCGTCGCAGCCCAATTTCAAGACTACAAGCTCCGTTGGCTACCTTTGAGCCAAAAACAGTGGTCAAAGATGGCTCTTCAACCCTCGCTTCTCCACGTTTCAGCCCTTGACCTATGGGACCTTTTCTCGTCCTTCCTCAGCCATGGACAGTTAAGCAGCGACTTCCGGCGTGTGTATCTCCTACTATCACCGACCACATCCTATCAGAGAAGTTTCCCAAAATCGCGACGGGGGGGTTGAACGCGACGCTAGCCTTCAATACGATTCCGTTGGAAGCGGCCCCGAGTCCTGATACCATCTCAGAATGGTCTCCTGGAAAGTGGCTACCCGAGCCTGCTCCCCGACTTCCCCCAGGGGATGTACCCGGTGATGATGCAGGCAGCACATGATCATGATGTCCAGCTTCGGGCTTATGGCATCACCCTCGAGGACTTTTCGGTTCGTATTTCGATCGGGTAAGCTTGCACATGGGACGATATTGACTATCTGCAGCGCGCTGGGTTCGAGTTCCCCTTTCTCGATCTCTCGGGGGACGGCTATTCCTCGTTCCGCTGGGCACCAGCTCAGCTCATTAGCGCCACGAATGATATCGCCGTCGAAGGGTCACGAGCATACGGAACCATCGTGTCCCCGGCCAAGTACACACCGTTGTGTGACGCTTACAAGCGCCTGCCCAACGGAAACACGTATTTCAGAGCCAGCAGCGTGGCATCCTCAGAATTCGTCGAGCTCGAGATGGCACGCGTCTCGTTTCCCAAATTCAACCCCTACCCGCTGGAGCTCTTCAAGAACATCACGAATCAGCCTACCTTCGCCAACGCTACGTCGTGTGACAACATGATCCGGCTGTTCAACACAACCATGTCAGTCGGAGAGCACGCGCCTGTCCCCGTGCGCGGCAGGATCAAAAGCGCGCGCTCTCCCCTTTGAGGGCGAGACGGAGTGGACAAATATCTACGGCGTGCAGGTGGCGACGCCGTTCATTGAGAACAACTACCTCGAGTGCGAGAGCATGAGGGGGTACTCGGGGACCGGCGGGCCTGGCGACTCGTAATATACCCGGTCCACCAGTCTAATGATGCATTGATAAATATACACTTATAAAATGTAATGATACCCGGCATAAACCAACCTGGCAACTGGATGCAGTGCGCTAGCCATAGCTACTAGGATAAAAAAACATAGAAATACATTCAATAATACTAATGTTAGTATTCAATCCCTATATGATGTTGACCCCGAGAAAAGACGGAGCATATTAACGCAAGAGAACGTGGATGGAAACTCTAGGTGGACAGGACATAAATAGCAAGCCCATCGACTAAAATCCATGATCGCTAAGCCAAAAAAACAATAACAAACAGGTTCAATGAATGCTAAGGGGATGATAAGGTGCCAAAGGGCCCTTGCCCTCGTGGCCGTCGGCGACACCACGAGGATGCGACCTCGACCTAGCCATCTATAATAGATATATTGTTCTTTGCCCGCCCCAAACGATCAACCTCCTGGATGGAGAACGGCAGGACGCCCGTTCCAGATGGAACACTCGTTATAGTTGTGTTGGCAAGCTTTTGTCTAGCACGTCCTGAGCTAGGGGAGGCCCGAATAATCCCTTCGAATGGCGTGGATCGACTGTATCGTCGCTAGGGGAACAAGGATGGTAGTCTAGGAGATTTAGCCGAACCGACCCAAAGGCAATAAGAGATATGGAATGATGAAAACGAGGTATCACTCCTGTTTGATTGTTGAGGTTAGAAGAGACGGTATTAACCTCAATATATACAACAGTAATGGGCGGTTTAGAAATGAAGAGCCAATGTATTCCCCATGCAATTTCTCTTTTATTGAATAGTTATTTGGTAAACTGAATGGGATAATGTCGCGATTGTAGGCTACTCCTCTTTTCTAAAAGGGAAAAGTCAATAATAATGAGCTCCCGAATTCTTTGAGTGATTCTACCATATCAAATGGACCTTCATTTTTTAGCCTCGAGCCTTGACGAGGTGACTTAAGCATGGTATCACGAAGAAATACTCAACGATAATAGGGGGCGCCAGAATTCATCATCGAACTCGCAGGAGAAGTTCCATCAGTTTTTTTTTTTTCGAACCCCAAACCTTTTTAATGATACTTCCTCAAAACCTCAGAAAAGATCCCCCTGGTCCCAAAACAACAATATAAACCCACAACGCCGGGGAGCAAAATGGTCCTCAGGTCCTCCCCCTTTCCCCTTCCCACACAAATTCCCCATTCCCCCCCAACCCAACCCTCTATACCGGTTAATGGGCCGGGGTATCTGCGAGCCCCAAAAAACATACCGATTTCCCACTTCCCGTTCTCATGGTTATATGCCTGGCCCATATAATTTATAACCCTTCTAGACCATAAAACTGATGATCCCACCACCCACATATTTCATCTTTGACTCTTTTCTTCCCCCCCACACCCCACTCCTCTCCTCCCCCCTTCCCCGTCCCCACACTATGCAGCTGATAGGTATGCCCCCCACGCCCGGCTGCGGGCTGCGCTTGGACGGGGTACGACGACGACGCCCCGCTGGGGTTTGCCGTCGGCGCCGCCCGCCCCGCCCCCGCTGCCCCACCCGTTGGACGAGAAGAGGTTGGGCATGTGTTGTCGGACGAAGGGTTTGAGTGCCGCCAGTGCGTTGCATAGGATGCCCAGGTTCATTTCGAGGAGCGACCAGACGGCCGCGGAGCATTGCGTGAAGGTGACGTCGGGGTTGGCTACCATGGCGCGCACGTACGCGACCCGCACGATCGAGGCGATGCCAAGCGCTGCGTGGGGGGAGTTAGTTGATGCTGGTTGAAGGGTTGGTATGGGGGTGGGAGGGAAGGGAAAGGTTGGTGGCACTGGGTTCACACGTACGCTGATCCGAGGCCTAGGATGAGGCCGACGGTGATGCGCTGCTTCAGGGCCCATGTTCAGGCGGTGGATGGTGGGGATCGGGAGGACGATGATGACACCGTCGGTGACGATGTTGAGGACGGCTTGGGAGACGGCGATGTTGTTGAGGCAGACGGCGCTCTCGGGGGTACCGAGGAGGGGGTTGCAGGGTCCGCAGAACAGGCCGGTGAAGGTGGCCGTGTAAGCGATGAGCACCACGGCGGTGGCGACGATGCAAACCCGGAAGATTCTGTCCGGGCTGATGCGCCAGTAGAGGACGAGGATGGAGAGTTTGGTTAGGGTTGGCGGCCAGATATAGGTTAACGCTAACAGGAGTAGTTGCTGTTCCATCAGGGGTCAGCCGGTGAGATTCGTTGCACTCGGTTTCCGTGTACGAGCAAGCTTTGCATACCTCTAGGTATCCGACGAGCTGCGTTTGTGTTACTTCGTACATATTCCTACCAAAACCCGCCGGCATAGCTAGAGGGAAGGTGTCAGCAAACGTGCTACGATCTCGACAATATGGCAGACACATACCGTTCACCGAAACAACGAAGAAAGCCAAGGTCACCGCCCATGCGGCGATGAGTAGCGCTGCAACGAAGTTAGCCCCCAGTCAACGGCATCTCCAAGAACCAACCAGAAAACCTACGTTCATCGAACCCCACGGATTTCACCACAAAGACCCGAGTGTAGAGGCGCAGTATGAGTGCTATCGTCGCTAGCGTATATGTCACGCCGAAGACAGCCATGAAGGCGACTTGTACCGGCGTCGTGTGGTAGAAGTCGGGGGTCACGCCTAGCGGTGCTGGCATCAAGCCCACCATGGCCGTCGGATCTGGACCGGCGGGAACAGACATTGTCGCTAGCTACAGGCCGTCTGTTGATGTCTACCAGGATCAACCTCTCTCGATAGAGAAGCGGTAGCAGAAGGACCCGAAGACGAGGACGAGTAGTCAGACTCTGGCCAAGTCTTGGGATGTTCCCACTTTAAGGACATGAGGTCCTCGGCCTTCTTCAGGCACCTTTTCCCCTTTTCCAAATATTAAAAAAAAAAAAAAAAACGTTTGGGCCCCAGGTTCAGCTGCCTGCCCCAAGGGGCCTTGGGTCTTGCCGGCAGCGTGGGTCAACGGTTTCCTATCCTTGCAACGTATCAATGAACCAGACTCGCCAGGCTCGGTGTTCGGCATGCAACCCGAGAGTAGCAAGAGCGTCTTCAGCGTCGCAGAAGGATGAGGAAAAAGAATCAAAATTGAGACCAACACCTCTCGCTGATCTGAATCCCACCCCTGTGGCTCCCTTCTAGGGTCTAGCTTTCTTCGACCTCCCTCCCCCCCGCCCACGGAAGGAAGGAAAAAAGAGACCCCTTAGTGATGTCCCACTCCAAGCAAGGCGTCTTTACCGGGATTAAATCGCCTATAGTATGGGGTACAGAGGAGGAGTGCGGGTTTTCAAGGACTTGCACGGGGAGCGGGTCCGCCGTTGGTGTTATGCAAGGAGCGGACCGAACCCGACCAGTCACGTCTTGTTGCCCAGCATTTGTCGTTCCATTTGCCAAGCTACCAGGTGCTTTTCTTTCCGAAGAGGTGGGGTTGGGGAATGACTCCAAATGGGCACGAGGGAGGACGGGGGACAGTAACCGAGACCCAGGGATGTGGTTACATGGCTTGAAGGCCGGCAGTCTGGATCCCACTCCCGAATTTTGTCTCAGAAGCACACCACCATGTCATTCGATTCATTTATTGGCTGCGCGGCGCCACAATTAACATCTTAGCTGCATACATTATTGCTGGGGTTGCGTTCCCTCACCACGCCCCCTCTCCCATTCTTGCTTTTTGCCGCACAACTTGAATTACACCTCCGTGACATACCCGGGGAGGCTTTCCAGCAGTTCTAGACTCTTGTGGTCGACGATGGCCGCCATGTGCCTCACAGTCATGGCGTCAACGATGTCCTTGGGCTGCATCAGTGGCGGCGCCAGAGCCCAGGCGAAACCATGGACGTGATGCTTCCGGTAGTCATCCCAAAGAGCCGCCTTCTCCAGCTTGGGCCCGCCGGCCTCGTGCAGCTTGGCCAGATAATGCTCAAACAGCTCGACCTCGTTCGCGCGCCGGTCCTCGACGGTCAGCGCGCCCACGACAAAGTAGGTGACGTCGTGGAGGAACGAGTTAGCGTGCAGGCCTTGCCAGTCGAGGAAGCCCGGCTCGCCGGCGGGGGTGATGAAGGTGTTGCCGATGTGGGTGTCGCCGTGCGCGACGACCAAGTGCTCCTGGTTCGTGGTCGTCCACAGCGTCTTGAACGCCCGGATCCACCGCTCGCGATCGATCAGATCGTCCGAGACGGGTGGCTTGGCCGCCTCGTCGAGGAAGCGCCCCGCCCACGCGACCTCGGTCATCAGGGAGAGGATGACCTCGCGCAGGGAGAGGCCCTCCTTGAGCCAAGGGAAGTCCGCCTCCTTCGCCCCCCACGTCTTCGCGTGCAGCATGGCGAGCTCCTCGACGCCGGCGCGCACGCGCTCGACGGGCCAGGCCTCGATTGGGTTGCCGAAGCTGTAGCCCTTGGCTTTGAGGTCGTCGAACACCACGATGCCCTGGCCCGTGACGGTATCGCTGCCGCTGTACCAGGCGGGCGGTAGGCGCATCGACACGGTCGGGGCGATGTGGTAGAAGAACTCGGCCTCGCGGCGGTAGACGGCGTTCAAGGTGGGGTGCAGCTTGATGATGGCGGGGTTGAAGCCGCCCTTGATGCAGACGTGCGTGGGCAGCGTGGCGGCATCGCTGCTGTCCTCGTATGTGAGCTTGTAACGCAGCTTGCTTGCTGTTCCGTGGATGGCCTCGACCAGCTCCGCGGTGGCGACAGGGCGGCCGAGGATCTGGCTGAACCAGGCTGCCGTGGCTTCTTCGACTACCACGGGCAGAGGAGTGGCAGAGTCAAGGGCGCCCTTGGCACCCGCTGGTGGTACGGGGAACGACATGGTGTGATTGTTTGCGCCTCTTCTCGTATACACAGTATGATAAGGAAAGGATGCGAAGTCCCGGGGTTACTTCCGCCTCTCAAGAAGCAACTGGGGTCTCCGGTCATTTTAAATAGCCAATGCGGATATTCAGCGTCCAAGCTGCTCCGGGGGGCAAAGAGGCAATGGCGCCCCTTAGCGGAGCCAGCTGCTAGATACAGATTAGTTGCAATAGTTGGCTAGGCTACCTAGGTGACTGGGAACTCGCCCCAGGTGACCTGGCCGAGTTCGTGAGACATACCAGTCCCGATGAGGAAGAGCATGCAGTGCAACATTGAACGCAACTCATGCGGGCCCGTGTCGAGTGTTGGGAAACGGTTCAGAGACCCGAGTGAATGGTAATGGATGGTAGGACAAAGCAGCTAGTTATGTAACTAATTTGCAGTGGTTCTCCGCCATGATAAGGGCTCCCACCAACGTCCACTGTTCTCCGGACATGGACAAACTACCTTGGCAAGTTCTTGTTGTTGGCTCTCTGCCAAGCACATGTGCCGCATAAACTTTGCTCGGCAGGGAGGTTGCGAGCGGAGCTTCGCACAAAGTTGAAAAGATGTGGTTGTTGGAGAAACAAAAATTCCCAACAATCCCCCCTTTTCCCCCGCTTGGGCGGGTCGTGGTAGCATTGAACGACCGAGGAAGTCACCCAACGGAGCGGTGAGTGACGAGCATGAAGCATGTAGCATTGAACCTAAGATGGACAGTTATTCCCCATAATTAGGTAACCCGTCAGCATTTGGGGACATACTGGAAGGGCTCATCACCTCCCTACCTACGGTAAGGGGCTGGAGTTATCAACCCAAGTCGACTTACATGTACACCGCCCTCTGCTCCCAGAAGGATTGACAACAATAAATGCGACGATAAGCCAAATGGGAGGTTGGAGGGAGCACAGTTTCATCCCCCCGCGGGTTTCGACATGGATCCAACCGTTCCACCCTCGGCGTCGTCCGGCTCCACGTCTACGGCACGGTCCTATCACAACCCCCACGGCCTGTCACGCAAACAAACGAAACACCAACGGCGCCTCTCCACGCCGCCGGCAGCGCCCTATTTTCGGTGCCTCCTGCCCTCCTCCTCCAGGCCGGGTCCAACGGCCTCAACAGCGCATAACCCTCTGCATTCATAACCAACGGGTCCTCTAAAACGGCGTCAGCGGCCCCCAGTCGTGACCCGGGAGGGGCCACGTCTTCTTATACCGCTGCCCGCCCGCCCCCAGGCAGGTCGGGTTGGGGCCAGCGATGTAGATCGTCACAACAAGCACATCGTGGTTCAGCGGGCTCTGCCATTCTGGTTTGTTTACTTTTCTTCTTCTTTCTGTCTGTTTGTTTGGTTCTGCAGGCCGAGAAACATCGCTGGTCGATTTAGACCTTCTTCTTTTTCCCGGTTTTCTTCTTTTCTTGTTTTCATGTCGTTTTCGCGGTCCTCTCCAAGCAACAACCCGGAACTCATCATGCTTGGGTCGGTCCCTTTGAAGCGGAGTCTCTCCCGCTCGTTTATCCGAATCATCCAACGGACGCTGCCGCTCGTGAAGAGCAGGGGTCGGTCATGGACCACCAACGCCAAGACGCGAATGCCGATCGACATGTGAGAAGCGAAACGGTCGAAGCTCCCGACCAAGCATCGTGAAGGCTAGCTTGGCTTGGCTAGCTGACCCGTCTAGCGGCGGAATCCGACCCCGGCGCGGGGGCTTTCCGTCCCGGCTGCCTAGATTGCTGTCAGCCCATGTCTCGATGTCTTCCGTCGACCTTGACTCGGTCATCCACCACGGATGGGTCATCCACGACAGACACCGCGGTCAAACGAGCGCCAGGCACTTGTCTATCTTCATTTCTTGGGCTGAGCGTGGGGTCATGTGGGTTTCACCCTCTGCATCATGTTTTGGGATAGAGGGGCAAATGGAGAGTCAAAAAAGGCGTTTTGGGTTTTGCTGAAGGAGGCATGAATGCACGAGCAGGTGCATTGCAGACAGGTCATGCATGGGGATTGGGTTGTTTTCAAAACTGTTAGATACCTTCGTTTGAGATACCAGCTAAATAACTAGACACTGAAGCAGAAAAAGTGATCATTGGCATTGTTCAATCTATCCCAAGGCCCATCATGGCAATCATCATTGAGGTCTTTCCAATTTCCAGTTTTCGATCTCTATCATTGATATCAACTAGCACTCTGCTTCAATCTTCTCCAATTCATACAGCCAATGCTCGAGTGCAGTTCTGTCATAGGGATTGCCCTTCACTTCGAGGGGCCTGGGCCTAATATCCCAAACCACGCCAAATCTCTTCCGCCCCTCGTTTCTCGTCTTCGGTCAAATCATCCCCTTGGAGCCGGCACAGGACATCCCTCATTCGACGTACCCAGGTTTCTTTCCAGAAACGGACAACACCATCAACCCCAGGAATTGGGCCTTGAAGGATTGCCATGATCTGTTCCTCAAATTCCACGAGCAGCTCGTCCAATAACCCCAGTTCGTAAGCTTGTTCTTCTTCAGCCCAGGTCCACTCCCCGTAATAACTCCGTATCCCGTAGTTAGAGCCGCAGCAGGAATGGCGAACGTCGAGCGCAGTGAAAGTCAAATATCGCAGGGCTGCAACATGGTGCCTGACATCCAAGTATTTTCCAAAATGCTCGAGATACTTCGTAAAATACCTGGCCACCGATGACAGAGAGACCACATGCCACAAAGGTACGTCATCGGAGGACTCTGTGTCCTCCGCCACACTGCGGTCCGGAGAGTCTGTGTCCGCCGTAGCGCTATCGGTGGAAGAGAGTCTTTGTCGGCCTCCAAAGATGCGGGTTTTCAAGCCAGGCCATCCTCTCAACAGGGATGTCAAGGGGGTGCAGCCCCCGGGGGAACATTTGCAACGGCAGTTGTCGGCTATTTCAGCTGGCAACACTGCAGCATTGACTTCGTGGACCCAAGCTGTACGGTCGTCGAGGGAATGAGATTGGTTTTTATTGGTATTAAATCCGGCAACTGGGAAGAGCGTCTCAGATCGGATCACGTCTTGCGTATTGATTTTTGACCAATCGAATATTTTTATTTATCGCCCACCCTGGATGGACCGGACACTCGTACGAAGTAGCCGATCGGCTACCTATGTCAGAGTTGTGCTGGCAAGCCTTTGCCCGTGATTCCCTGGGCCAAGGGAGGCCCGAATCATCCCTTCAAATGATGTGGATCGACTGGATCGTCAATGAGGAACCCGGGGAGGCCAAAGATACCACCGCCGGTTTGAAGCACGCGCTCGTATCTTATCGAAGACATGAAGGAGCCGAACAGGGCTTTTACGCCGGAAGTGTCGTTGGCCGTATAGCGGCCCGTATGCTGTGCGACCACCGCATGCAACTCGAGATGAGAACGGCGGAAGAAGCCGTTGCGGTGTGGCTACAACGAATGGCAAGAGGACGTAACTGGGACAGGATACCATACTTGTTGTTTGTTACCTATCTAGCCCAATATCCAATACGCCACCAATGAGCGCATTTACCATATTCATCCAGGAATGGTTGATCTCAATGGCCAACAGATGGAGGTTACCCTCTCGCTACGCCGAGTCCTTAATCACCTCGGCAAGCGGGCCATACCAGCACTTCGCCATGGCATCGTTCCCGTTTTCGTTGGGGTGGACACCATCGCCGGTCATCGAGGCAGTGTCAAATCCCGTCCAGCAGTCCACCACAGTAATGGGGCTTTCCGCCGTCGTGACCGTTGGAGCCCATTCCGCAATTGCCTCGTTCAAATTCACGACACGCTGCCCGCATCCGGCGCAGTTTGGCGGGTTCATCGGTATGATCTGGGCGACCTATGGTTTGTCGATGTCAGCGCGGTCAAACGTGTATGTACCCCTCAGGAGTCAAAAACAAAACAACCGCAACATCTCCATACCAGAATCTTCATCGTCGGCTTGCTAGCGCGCATCTGCTCTACAAGCGTGTCAAAAGCCCCAAGTATCGTGCTCGGCGACAGGTTGCTCCACACGTCGTTGGTCCCCAGGTGCATCATGACGACGTCGGGCTCGGTCTGGGAGAGCCATCCCACCAGCTGGTTCTGGCTAGCGATATTCGTGGCTAGGAATCCACCGTGGCCCTCGTTCTCCCCGTCGTAGTCGAAACCACAGCCCTGTCCAGGGAGCGTCCCGACAAAGTCCGTGTTCTGGATACCGGCGTCCTGCAGCTCCCGCCAAAGAAGAGCCCGCCAGCAGCCCTGGCCACTTAGGTTAGCGGGTGCGCTGACAGTTTGTAGGACTGCCGGGGTGATATGAGGGGAGGAAGGCTTGGTCTCTTACGGGGCTTCCGGTGATGGAGTCACCCAGCGCCATGATCCTGACTTTGGTCTGGGCGTTTACAAGTCCAGTGTTCGCAACAGCGAGGGCTAGCAGCCCGATGCTTCTCAAAGAAACCATATTGCAACACTTCGAAGGACGCAGATACTGTTACCAACCAAGTCCAGAAAGGATATCACGAGCAACTATAACCTCGATAAGGTAGACCGTTTAGCCTGGCTTTTATATACCCTAAAATATGACAAATGATATGAACGCAGTATTTCAGCTGGACGAGCAACCAAATCTTTGGGGATCCGGAGCCGCTTCCTCCGCCGATCTGGCAGTTTGGACCCCAGTACGCTCAATAACCTGGATACGTGGGGACAGCTGGAAAATTGTGTCCGATGGATTAAAAGACTAACGGACTTTCAGTGGGTTACGGTCTAGTCGCGGCTGTATTTCGTAGAGATCTGCAGTCCGTATCAAGGAACCGAAACCCCGGAGGGAGGTGCTCCGGTTCTTGCAGTTGAACATCGGGCTTCGGGCCTTACAAAATACACAGGAACGTCAACAAGCGCAAGCAAGTACCAGATACTAAAGTCCTTTTACACACCGGGTGTGCTGAGCTTCATAGTACACCACGAGGGTGCTCCAAGAGTCCAATGCCGTTTCTCTGGTTGTTCTGAGTTTGACGTTTCTGGCTAGATAGGAAGGACTGAGGCTCTCTGGATGTGGCCCATTTCCACTCCTGTCGTCGTCATCATCCGTTGTTGAATCGACATTAATATTTATTTATTATTCATACTCCGCTATGCCCTAGGGCGTGCCGGACCCTCAGCTATTTAGTGTACAGGAAAACCGTGCCCTCCCGGGCCGGGTGAAAAACCCATACCAACAATCAAGGAACGATGCGTTCTGGTGAGTCTGCGTATACAAAGAGAGGAGGCCTCCTGGCCTCCGAACGGGGGCGCTTCAGGCCGCCGCTTCCAGCTCGAGCCTCCTGGCTAAGTTGTACATCGGCAGCTTCCCCGAGTCCATCAGCCAGTCGAGGACTCTCCTCGCGAGCCGTGCAGTCGTGGGATTGATGCCGTGTAGAATAGAGTAAAAGTCCCGTCGTGTCCGAATTCCAGTTCTCTCCCATCTTCGAGTCAACGGTGGGGCCAAACACCACACTACCAGGTGTTCGGCAGTCTCTCGTCCCTCGCCACACTCGCAGGCAGGAGTCAGAACCTCCGGGACTCCCCGTGTAAACAAGAAGTCCCGTAAGCCTATCGCTCCCGTCCGGATTTGAATCAGCAGTGAGCTCTTTGCCTTGCTGAGACCGTCGTGCCTCCTTAGGGTTTCGTTCCGGAATAGCGTCTCCTGCTGATGGTCAAAGTCGTCCGCCGGCCTGGTGATTGCCCTGCCGTCCCGTTCCTTTAACCATCTGGCTTTCAAAGCCTCTTCTACTACCCTGTTCGTATCAACGGTTCCCCCCGTCCAGCGCATAGCCGTGCCCGCGGCTCTCTCCACCGCCGTAGGCCCTTGAGGTCCCAAGGTTCACGGTCGGCCCCTGTTGCCCCTCCTCGAGCTGAGTCTCTGCTGAATCTTGCGGCAGGCGGTGAGGACAACGCTCGCCGCCGTCTTCTTGCCGCCTCGACCGTCGTCCAGATCGGGTCGTTGGAGTCGGTTTTCGAAATCGGCAAGCCGTTTGTTTAGGTACAAGTCTAATGGTGGTACCCATGTCTCTGTCTCGAGGTTACGGATGGGGGTAGACTTAAAGGCTCCCGCTTGCTAGATATATACCCACCTCGAGAAGTGATATGGGGGCTGGTCAAATGCTGCAGTCAGCAGAATGCCGGAAACTGACGTTGGGAATTAGGAGAAGTCCAGTGCTCCCCCCTGTTCATGGATAGCTCACTCAATGGGGTCATTGGGGGCATCTGTCTAAGAAGAGGTCGTTACTAGAGATGTATTATATTATATCACCTCACTTACATTTATTCTCGATGGCTAACTTTTCCCTTAGGGCGGGTTTTTGGTACCCTGGCAGTTTTGTGGAAACACGGCAGGGACTCCAATCACCGCGAAATGCTGAGTGCAATCTTCCCCTAATGGGTACTTGTGCGGCCGCTCTCGGCGTCGTGTTAATCCACCAACGAGACGGAGAAAAAGATGATTCGGTATACGTATCTGCCCTTGTCCCATATCCCCACGTCCTAATCTAGGCCACCGTACGATGATTAGGCGACGTCGCCAGCCATGCCGTGGCCTCCTGGAAATACAAGTTGTTATCCTTTCCCCTCCCAGTACCTACGAATCCCTTGAAGAATGCTTAGCCCCTGTTTTTAACCTATTCTTGACGACACGTCTCGCGGGCGACAGCACGGGTAATTCGAATAGTGGTCTTGATTGGTGCGTTGAGCGTTCCCCCTGAGGAGGCTCAGCGGAGGGGCGGCCGCCGTGCCTTTCCAGGGGGGGGGGGGGTAGTAACAGTCGGATTCGTGAGTTAACCCCCCCGCAAGGAGTCAAGTTGCATGGACTGAAGTACCTCCGCCAAAGGTCCACCTCAACATATTCCAATTGCCATAGATCTGGACACAACATGCTGAGCCCATAATAGGATCCATACTTTGTAGTAATTTACAATCTTTGGGGTCCCAAATGTATAAGTACACCCGCCCCAACGGACGGTTTTGGTCATATCGCCCGGGCCCGATGTTTAGAACCCATCAGACACCATTTCAGGAAAGGTTGAGGATGGTACAAACTGCAAAGCATGCATGGCACTAGGACCGCGGCACCTCGGGATGTAACGGCTGGGAAGAAGCCCAGTTCCCGTCTCCTCGTCTCGTCAAGCGTACCCGATGACCGAACTTGAGGGAACTCGCTTCATCGGTAACTCCCGGGGTATAAACACCTCTTTGCCCCTCCCACCTCGGGGGAAATCACTCCTAGCGAATATGCAGACTTCCAATGATCAGACATGCATTGCAGACTCAATGGCAGCTCCCTAGCTTGGCTGTGCGGAGCCACTACTTCCGCATTCTTTTCGGGACCCTTGAGGCAGCCATTGTTGTTCAAGAAAAAAAGTACTTCTTAAGAGAAGAATGCAATCCATGGACTTCAGTGACTACCTAGGTTGAGCCTTCTAAGTCTAAGATTCATCACCCTTTAATTATCTCAGTCAGAAGACATTTACTCAGTATGCTAGTACTCTATGTACTCTCGGGACTCGTCCTAGCCGGACCAACAGTGGGCATCATTAGCCAAGATGGGACGGGACGCCTTCCAGCTATGGGCTGGAACTCGTGGAATGAGTACGGTTGTGACATCAAGGACAGTGATTTTATCAAGGTTGGCGAGCTGTTGATCTCATTGGGCCTAAAAGACGTGGGTTACGAATATGTCAACATCGACGACTGTTGGAGCGACAAGGAGAAGAGACGAGACCCAACTACGAAGGAGATTTTGCCGGACGAAGCCAAGTTTCCCCAAGGGATCAGCCACACTGCTGAGGTGATTCATTCTCTGGGACTGAAACTTGGGATATACAGTGACGCTGGTTCGTACCCCCGTTTTCTTGTATTATGCTACCCGACTTGCATGGCATGGCCGTTCGCTGAGGAATACTGAGAGAATCATCTAGGAACCGACACGTGCGGGGGCTATGCTGGCTCACTTGGCTACGAGGAAATCGATGCAGCATCCTTTAACAAATGGGGCGTTGACTGTCTGTTACCTGCCAACCCTCCCACCCATGCACCAGCTGACTGTTCGCACTGCAGACCTCAAATACGACAACTGCAACGTTCCTACCGAGTTTACTGATGAATACGAGTACGTTCCGGAAGGGCCAAACACCGATGCACCCATCGGCTACGACTGGGGAAAGTCCAAGACCGCCAAACGCTACAATGCGATGCGAGATGCTCTCCTCAAACAAAACCGAACAATCCAATACTCCCTCTGCGCATGGGGCCACGCCCACGTCGAAAAATGGGGCAACAACACCGGCCACAGCTGGAGAATGTGGGGGGACATCATGCCCGCGTGGGAAGGCAAAAGCGAGTGGAGTTGGGGTCTGATGCCCATCGTAAACCAGGCATCGTTTCTCTGGAACGCCACCGACTTTTGGGGGCACAACGATTGGGACATGCTGGAGGTTGGCAACGGAAACCTGACCATCGAAGAGAGCAGGAGTCACTTTGCACTGTGGTGCATGCTCAAGAGCCCCCTTATCATTGGCACTCGGCTTGACACCATCGAGAAGCCCATCCTCGACATCCTCTCCAACAAGGAGCTGATCGCTTTCAACCAGGATCCTGTGTACGGTGCCTCGGCAATGCCTTTCAAGTGGGGCTACAACGAGGATGGCACTTCGGACATGGTTCATCCCGCCGAGTACTGGGTGGGCACTTCGGTGAAGGGCCTTCACCTCTTTATGCTAAACACGCAGGATAAGATTGTGAAGATGCATGTCCAGTTCAATAGCATCCCGGCGCTGCGCCATCGCTCCAATGCCGAGTACCTCGTCCACGACATGTGGACCGGGAAAGACTTGGGCAGATTCCGCGGGAAGATTGCCTTGAACGTGGCGCCTCACGACACTGCGGCGTTGAGGATCACAACTATTCACGGTACGATTGCGTCGCTGGCTTCAACCTTGATATTTCATGCTGACTAGATGGTAGGACGTCACCCCCGGCCTGAATGGACACCATAAGCACTTGAGGAGAGCGGCCTGGTCGACGCTGCAGGAGATGGGAGGCAGTGCCCTCACTCTTGAGGTTGTACTGGTACCTACACCCACAGGGGAATGAGTTATGAGGGTTCATACAACTGTATTGTCAAATAGACGTCTACTTCTAGCACGATCATTCACATTTTGGCTCCCCTTGACCCGGCCGCAAGAGGCTGGGACTCAAGGCCCAAGATCCCTAGATGTAAGAGACAGTTCCTACCAAAATTCCGCATGGCTGAGACAGGAACTAGACTATAACGACGTCCCATAGCACGTTGCGAGATGCGCCATTCAGCAAGAAAGAACCTGCGGCCCGGGAATCTGATACGGCCGACCGCCGCCATTCGGGTTGCCAGTGTTGTCGTAGATGTTGATTTTGATGCCGGGGTGGTCGGCCTTGTACGCTCCGGGGAAGCTGACAAAGTTCGTGCCGGTGTTGGTGCCAGAGCCGGTGATACGGATCCTGGTGGAGAGGAAATGGTCAGTCAAATGTGGTGGAGGTAAGGGGACGTTCTTTGGAAATTGTAACATACTGGGCACACTCCATGTAGAACTGGGCTTGTCCCGCGGACCCCGCGCTGTGGAGGGCGATGAGCTCGACCCTCATCAGATAGTCACCGGGAGCGACGCAGGTCGGCATGTTGAAGTAGTGCCATCCGGCGTTAGAGATCATGGTATCAACTGCCCAAACTCCACCGTTCAGGCCGCTCTCGGCAACCTTGAACCACTTGTGACCCGTAGTACCAGCCGTGGCGGCATTGTCGACCTTGGCAAGGTAGACGATGATGGGACCCTTGTGGCTCCGTGCAATTGGGTGGTCGGGATCGTTGGGGGACTGGGCACCACCGATAACGTGTCCCCACCAGGCACCGACCCGCGCTCCGGCCGGGATGTTGATGATGGTATTGTCCTTGTATTGGATGCCGGTGTTGCAGGCAAAGTTTCCGTCGTTGATGTTCATGATCGGGTAGTCGCTGGAGGGGGCGCGGACGCCCTTAAGCTGCCCCTGATCCTGTCCATTGACTGACACCTTCTGAAAAATGGTGTGGCTGGATGCAACAGCCACCATGTTGAGGAAGGTTGCCGACAGCTTCATGGTATGTGACTGTGTAGATCGAGGGACGAAAATGAGACAAATAATAGGAGGAAGGGAGGCGGGTGGTTGGGTCCTCCTCTCGGTTTTTTCTTTGGTACTCTTGCTCTTATATACTCACATGTTCAATCTAAATTGTGCGGATCAACATTGAGTATCTTAAGCATGCACGTACCTACCGAACTTGCAATGTCTTTTTGCAGAATTGCACCATGGACTCGAATTTGGGAAGGTATCAATAGACCTTTTGGTACTCAACAGAATAACGTGATGCTCATGAATGGAACAACGAAGGTACTGATAGTGTCATTAAATCATATTAGTCTGTCGTTGTTTGACTGGTGTATTGTGGCGGCCTTGTCTCACTGGGAGCCGTATTTCGCTCTCATTGGAGAGATGGAGGGCTCGGATGTCCTCCGTCCGCGCTGTGTCCGGTGGCCCGGCGCTACCCCAGCCGGTAGGACGGTACGAAAGTGCGGAGTGCATGTTCAGCTGCCGACGCAGCATCCTTGCTTCGGTACTGTAACGAAGTAAGGGAGAGGGAATCAAAGGAAAAAGCATCTCGGACGCGTGGTGGGACCTGGAGCGTCACAAAGTAACCGGCGGTCTCTTATTGTACATGTAGTACCTGGGCAACCTCAAAGTTCAATACGATATCTGGTCAAGCTTCGACGCGCAAAAGAGTGAAGACAGCCGGGTAGAATTTGCCACTTGGGTTCTATACTTGATTGGTTTATTTCAGACCAATCCACCTCTCTCTAGCTAGAAAACACCCGAATTCGAAAGGGGAGAAAAAAAGAAGAGGCAAAAGAAGGGAGGGGGGGGGGAAGGGGGTAGAAAAAAGAAAAACAGAAGTAAAGGAAACCACAGAAAAAGAGACTAAGGCAACTACTTAGACATGATTCCGCGACAACTGCCTCCGAAACCAAGATCGTGCAACCAGGAGTTGGGGACAGTCATCCTGCAAACATCACACATCCAGGGATTCCACGCAGCCGATTGTGATGAGAAAACCGACAATGTTAAAGATAAAACATTAGCAACTCTATCGATCAACAATTCCAAACGAGCTCCGCACTTCAAACCAGTAAACACAAACCCAAGCCCATGTCTCCTCCCTTATACCATCAATCAACACTATTATAACCTCGCACCTTACTCCCACCACTCCCACCCAACAACGGTTCCTCCACCCCATCCCGCAACGCCCCCTCCACGTCCACCAACTTCCCATAACCAACCACCCCCTCCCCCACCTCACCACTCACGTCCATCACCCCCACGCCCCGCACCCCCCAAACCCCCCTCCAAACAACCCAATACCCCACCCCCAGCACCAACACCCCCGTCCCCACCAACGGAAAGGCATAATACGGGTACCCGTCCGCATTCCAATCCCTATTGGGCGGCACAAAGGGGGTGACGACTAGGAAGATGTTCAAGCACAGATAGACGACGGGCACGGGCAAGTAGGTCTGCCAGGGCGAGGACCAGCGCTCGGCGCGGCGAAGGGCGGAGGGTACAGGACGGCCGCCGGCCGACGAGGGCCGTTGATCCAGGTCGCCGGGGTGAGGTGTATCTGATGGGAGGGGGGGGGGGGTTAGTTGATGGGTTTTGGGGGAAGGTGATGGGCTTCGGTGTGAGGTGTGGGGTTGAGGGAGGGGAGGGGAGGTTGGACATACAGGTTGACGATGAAGTTGTAGGCTGGTCCGGGTGGGGGCGCGAGGAGGACGATGATGGTGACGATCCAGTGGAGGAGGAGCTGGGCCGGTAGGTTAGTCGCTGGACCGTTCAAGGGGGTTACTGAGCGGGCACTTACTGAAGCGGCAGGCGTGTTAAAGGGTTTGGTGGATGCCCAGAACTTGCTCCACGGCAGAACCCCCTCTCGAGCCAATTCATAGTTGACTCGGGAATGGGCAAAGCTTACAGCCAACACATTGCCGATGTTGCTGAGAGCCACCAGCGCCGGAAGACTCCTCGCCGCTACGCTCTCTCCGAACATATTCCGGAAAAACAGGCCGGCTACGATGACCTCGGACTTGGCAAGCTCTCTCTTCGGAATGGCGGCAAAGTACGCGACGTTAGCGAGCACGTACAGCACGGTAATCCCTACAACCGCAAGGGGGGCTGCGATCTTGAGCGTCCTCTGCGGGTTCTTCAGCTCCCCCATGACGTAGTTGGCGTTTTCCCAGCCCTTGTAGCTGTATACGACCTGCAACAGCGCGGTCGCATACGCGTAGGCCCCGCCGCCGCCATACCCGTCACCCTTCTCGACCGCCCAGAAGTCGTCAAAGTTGTGGGGATCCGGAACCAGCCGGTAACCGGCAAGGGCCGCGAACCCGGAGAAGACGATCAGCAATAGCACGAGGACCTTGAAGATGCCGAGGGCATTCGTGAGTCGGAGTCCCCATTTCGGAAACACCCCGTGCAGCACCACGACAAAGGTCATACACGCGACAGCGATCGCGCGGGGGATCCAGCCGTCGGGCATAGGGTGGCCGACGGCGAGGAGGACGTAGCGGCCAAAGGCGAGGGAGTTGCCGGCGGAGAAGCCGAGGAGGACGATCTGGACGGCGAAGACGCTGGTGGCGAGCCGCCGCGGGCGCCGGAAGATGCGCTCAAGGTAGTTCTTTTCCCCGCCTGATCGGGGGATGGCGAGGCCAAATTCTAGGTAGACGCTGAGGCCGGAGAGCGTGAGGAGACCGGCTGGGTGATGTCGGTCAGTCGTGGACTTCAAGGGCGGGCTGGTTGCCTGTGAGCGGGGTACAGGAGAACGTACCGACTGCCCATAGCAGCAAGCTGATCCCTACCGACCCGGTGGCCGCGAATATGCTGGAAGGGGTTGAAAAGACTGGATGGGGTGTTAGCAGCTTGCCATTTCTGATGCGTGCGACAGTGCGTGGACGGAGGGGCCCTACTCCCAGTCCCGATCATCTTGTTCAAAATCAGGAACATCGCGCCAGCAACCCCAATCTGCCTCGGCTCGGTTCCGATGCCAGCCAACCCATCGTAGTCGAAGGTCTCGCCCGTGCCTTCGCTGTCTGCGGCGTCGTCATCGACGGGCCGACTGATGAACCTCTTGGGGTTTAAATTCTCCATCAGGATCGGCTGCGTGGAATTCCTGGATGTGTGATGTTGGCAGGATTACAATCGTCAACTCCCGGTCGCACGATCTGGGCCACGGAGGCAGTTGTCGCGAATCATATTGGGCGACGTTCGATGTCTCGGATTTTGGTGACTCGACGTGATGATTTGGGGCGCTAGACGATTGCGTGCTTTTAAGCTTTGATGATTGCACCCGATTGGCCCGGTCAGTTCCGGCCCACTTCAATCCGGCTCGCACCGGCCGGGGCCGGGGCCGGGGCCGGCATGGACCGGACCCGGATCTGAAATCGGCTTGGCCTTGGCATCTTCCCGCAGTCATCAAAACCGGACTACCGTCCTCTCCGGGCGCCTCATAACATAGCTAGACAACTCATAGGCCGTTTCAGCCTTGGTTGTTGATTGATTAGTCAGTGCGGAGCTTTTGACAGACACTCGAGTTGAGACTCACGAGAGTAAAAAAGGAAAAGAAATATCAAGAGAAGGTACAAGAGGAACATTTATTTCACCCATGTATCTATCGATACTAGAACGTATGTCTCGTTTGCCTGAGAAAGAAGGCTCTCGGCTCTTGGAAAGGCTAGTTAACTCAACCATGTTGAATGGCCGAGTCGCCAACGGAAACGTGAAAAGAAAATGAAATCGTGAAATCGTAAAATCGTACAACTGTTGTTCGTGTTCGGTCCGGTGTTCGGGGTCGACGAACGGCAACGATGCATGCAACCGAAGCGGCTGTCTTGCTGTCTCTACTCCTCCCAGGTTTGTCATCTTCTGTCTCATTCGAAAACCGCCAAGTCGTGCACTCGAGTTGTCTACCGGGTAGAGAAGCCCGAATAAAGGGATCCTCCGTCGAGGTGAGGGCCATATGCTGCCGGGGTTGGTTGATAGCTTTCCAAGATTCCGGGGACCGAAGGTTGATTAGCCTGGATGCTTCCCGGAAATTGATGGCTCGCGAAGGGATCCATCCAATGTGAGATTGCCAGGTTGGGGTCAAATTGGGTGGTTGCCGGCGCCGCAAATTCCGTTTCGTTCGGTTGACGTGTCCATCCTGGATGATACCCACTGTCCGTAGAGCTTTGGAACGGGTTGGCCGTGTTCATGGCCCCTTGCTGCTTGTGGGTTGCCGCCTGAAGAGAGTAACCGATGAAAGAGGAGCCATTTTCTCCAACCCCGTTCGGAACCGGATGCAGCCGCCGCTGACGCGGGGCTAGTTGCTCGTTGGGAAGAGATGGCGCCCCGGCAGAGCCTCCCTTTCTAGCGATGTCACGGCTACCTCCGTTTCCGCGGCGATGCGGCTTCGTCGACCGAGGGCGCAGGGAACCGGACAAGATGGGAGTCCTTTGGGAAACCGCGGGCTCCAACTTTCGAGCCCACTCCACAAAGTTCTTTTGAGACTGTGAGTTCATGTCCGCCACGATTTTGTAAGAGATCTGCAGCAAGGTATCCGCGTCCTGCCAACTGCCATGCAGGCTTTGTCTGAGGATATTAAACACAAGCACCACTTGAGCATTTATGTCTTCATCCATGGCTTTTTTTGCCATGGCAGGAAACTCGTCCACGGAGGCCTTGATACAGGGTTCGTACACTAGAGAGCGGCGGCCGAAGGTTAAATTTTGGTCTTGATAAAACTGATGAAGTCCATGCGTACCTGGGGAGGGGACTTCTTTATCGTCCGGAAACAGGGTTTTCCATAATCCTTCCCAGCTGGCAACCTTGTGACGGTTTTTCCTTGCGATGAGAAGGTTATCTATGTCCTCGGTAATCCCATCCTCAACATCGTGGGCCGGGTCTTCGTGGTTGACAGGCCCTCCCTCTCTCTTGTGGCAAGTTTTGATATGTGACCTGCATACAAGCAGTCAGCATACCAGAAAAGCTTCTGTCTCGGAGTCTTGATGGGGGCGCACTTGAGATGGCTGAATTCCTTGAACGGGTTGGTGCACTTGGCGTGATCGCGGATGTTGAAACGCTGCCTGTTTCTCTTGCGGTACGGGCAGTTGAGCGGCCCATGGGTTGTCCTGCTCCCGGCGCCTCTTTCTTCACTGTCGTCGCCAGGTTCGTCGTCGCTCTGAGGGTCGTAGTGGTCCTCTGTTTCTTGGCTTACTCGACCGTTACCGGGTTCAGATCCCAGCTCGCTACAGTTATCCTCATTGCCGTATCCTTGGACCTGAGCGTACTGGAAGGAGACCCCTGACCCTAAAGGTGAGGCTGTGGTACCAGATGCTTCGCCACGTGCCGGGACAGGAGATGAACTGAAGGCATAGGCGTCCCTGGGCGAGTTCATGGCGGGTACCACGGACCGGCCAAAAGGGGGGTAGTGGGGAGATGTTGCAAGATCCGGACCCGAGACGGACTGATAGTCCGAGGGAGGGCCTGGACCTGTGGCGCAGGACAACCGCCGGTCACCCGCAGGAGGCGGCATAAGGCATGGAGAGGTTGCCGAGGAGCGAGACATGAGCTGAAAGTCACTCCTCAACATGGGCTCAGAAAGCATGGTAGCCCTGGGAAGCGGAGACTGGTTGTGCATGGCGAATGCCGGCTCCTTTAATTACAGTGCAGCCACACCGTTGGGAGAAGGCCAAATCCTGAGGCACGCATGAGTACTGGCATGTTTGATGTCTTCTTAAGTACGTGCCCCGCGGATTTCCAAAAACAACAGAGCCCACCAAGTTTGGGTACCACTACTCCCTCGAGGCTGGGCAGGGATGGATCATGGATGCTGGGCCGTCTCTCCTAGCCGCCAGTTGAGTTTTCGGCCTGTTTAAGCCGTATAGCAGTCAATAAGTTCTTGGCAAGACGTGGCTCAGGAACCACCACAATGCCGGCCATCTGCCGCCTTGGAACAACAACCATCATGATGGGTTCGTGTCATGGAACCCGGAGCCCAGCTGGTCTTGGCAACACTGCCAAGTGCAAGCCTTGCAATGCCTGCAAGCTGAGTGGTGCGCATGCGCCTGATTGGTTTAGCAGCGCTCAGATGTACTGGCGGCCAAGCCAAGTTTACCCAGCACTGCAAATATGTCGCGCGGACGGGGCCGGCCACAAAGAGTGCTTGAAGCGGCCCGATCGAAACGCGACCACACCCTGTACTCACCGACATTCTTCTAACGGCAGGTTGCAGTGCTACTCTCGACCATAAACGGAAACGCCGAGATATAGTTATTGGCGCATCTCGCGCGTGTAGCGGCTAAGAAAAGCAGCCCAAGGCCAGCCTTTGAGTCAACCAGCCAGCAGAAGAGCCTTGTAGAGCTGAGAAAAACCTAGTTGGCATGGGGCTTAGCAGGTTTTCTTGGTGAAAGTAACTCCGATGCTGGTCAGATCGGGTGTGTCAGGTCTCCTACATGGTAACGCTCTGTCGGGTCAAAAACAGCTCGCTTCCATGCTTCTGCAAGCAATCAGGGGAGACAAAACAGCCAGGCTCGAGCCGGACTGCTGGAAACCAATACAGTTAGTTAACAAGACGATCACCACCAACGCCAATAAAAAATGCACAAGTGCAACGATGAATCATAGCTGCAGGGTGATTGATGGGCAAATGCCATGTGTAGTGGCTGAGGGAAATTTCGAGCATGGCGGAGGACGATCGGCATGGGAAAGGGTTGCACTGGATGCATCAAATGACAATCAAAAGATGGTGATTTAAGCCCAACCTGGCGCTTCATGAGAAGTGTGATGGCGGCAGGCTGCCAAGGTGCCCGGATGGATGCGAGCGTGTTGGCAAGAAGAGGCTCCGAGCCGCAACCGAAGGCCCAAGCTTCGGAGCTCCCGTGGCTCGAGCGTGGTAAGGTGGGGGTAACCTGTGAGCATGTGTGGGCGTGCCACAAGAAAGCAAGGAGCCCTGTCGGCCTGGGGCGAAGCCCCACCAATCTTCCTGCATCCTCTCCCAGCATGTCGGGGATACCGAAAGCTCACCTCTCACCAAACAATTCGAAACCACCATCCATCCATATCGGTGGGCGATTTTACCCTAGCCCGCGACCTCGAATCACCCGCATCGGTAACCCGTTTCACCTTAGCGCAACAGCCTCGTGGCGCTGTCGCGAATATGGCGGCGAACGACGGGCCCAAGCTGCTCTGGAATCCAGACAACGTCCGAGATGTGGCCGATTCAATAGGAATATCGCTCGCCGATGAGCCGCTGCGCGTGCTCGCCCAGGATGTTGAATATCGAATCGGGCAGGTCATCGTCGAGTCTCTCCGGTTCATGCGCGCCGCCAACCGCACCACATTGACCGTGCAGGACGTCTCACAGGCGCTCAAAGTGCTCGATGTTGAACCGCTGTATGGGTACGAATCGACCCGGCCACTGCGGTACGGCGAAGCGAGTCTTGGCCCTGGTCAGCCGCTCTTCTACATCGACGACGAAGAAGTCGATTTTGAGAAGGTCATCAACGCCCCGCTGCCGAAGGTGCCGCGAGACATGAGCTTCACTGGTGGGTGTACCTGTCAAAATTAGGATATTACCGTGCATGCCCACCGCTAACCGCCCGCGTCACAGCTCATTGGCTTGCCGTCGAGGGTGTCCAACCATCTATCCCCCAAAACCCAACAACTGCCGAGACCTCGTCCAAAGACCTCTTGCCCAAGGGGCCCGGCGCGAACCCAGCCCTTGGCAGCCCTCGCGGGCAACGACAACGTCTCGTTCCGGCCGTCGGTCAAACACGTCATCAGCAAAGAACTGATACTGTACTTTGATAAGATCCAAGCCGCCATACTCGACGACGACCCCGATGAGGAAAAGACAAGGCTCCGCGAGGCGGCCCTCGAATCTGTCCGCTCCGATCCCGGCCTGCACCAGCTCCTCCCGTACTTTGTCAACTTCATCACCAATCAAGTCACCCACCACCTCGATGACCTGTTCGTGCTACGCCAGATGATGGAGCTCGCCGAGGCGGTCATCCAAAACCCCAACCTCTTCCTCGACCCGTACGCTAGCGCGCTCTCGGCGCCCGTGCTCACGTGCCTCATGTCGCGCAAGCTGGGCGGGGCGGCCGCCGACGAGGGATCCGACACGTTGCGGGAGCAGTACGGCCTGCGCGAGCTGGCGGCGGGCCTGCTGGAGATGGTGGCGCGCAAGTACGGCGCGACCAACGCGCTGCTGCGGCCCAAGCTGACGCGCACCTGCCTCAAGCACTTCCTCGACCCGACGCGCCCGCTCGCCGTGCTGTTCGGCGCCATCCGGGGCGTCGCCGCGTCCGGCGGGCCCGAGGCCGTCCGCGTCCTGGTCCTGCCTAACCTCAAGAGCTTCGACGGCGCCGTGCTGCAGCCCCTGCACGACAAGGGCGAGCCCCACGCCATGGAGCTGGAGATGCTCGTCGGCGGCATCATGAAGGCTGTTGAGGCCCTCGTCGGCGGGTCCGGCATCCCCGTCGCTAACGGGGTCGCTGATGTGGATCTGTCGAGGGAGGGCGAGCAGGTTGTCGAGTTCTTGGGGCCGATCGTCGGGCAAAGGGTTGCGCGGCTGGGGAACCATGCGCTCAATAGGGCCATTCTGGAAGTCCGGCATTTGGAGTAGTGCTTGCCTAGGGATTCCAGATCTACGCACGAGGGAGGACGGTAGGGTATGCGCACGGCGTTAAGGGGTTCAAGAGGCCAAAGGGCTGGGTCGGGGTTGGGCTTGTCATATGTTCCTTTTTCCTTTTCTTTTTTTTCTTTTTTGGCATGCGTTAGGAGTATCGGCATAGGAAATGGCGGTTGTTAGAAATGGATAGTCGTAATTCGAATGAATACCATCACTGGCGCTAGGATTCTCATATATGTGTATGTGTGTCTTGACAAAGAAACAGGTCCTATCGGATTTGTGTAGTCCATACATGGTGTTGCTCCTCGTCCAACCCTTTGCCAGCTCATAATCGTGACATTCTCTCAGCCCCTTGCCTTCGAGCCGTGGCACCCTCCTTTGCCCCCTGCACTGTACTTTTCCCCGCCCCCCCTGCCAAACCGCCCCGCTCAAAGGAAGAAAGCAAGGTACAACCCGCTAACCACGGACGCACCCCAGATATACCACCCTGACTTGACAATCGTCTGGCGCTTAAACCCGACCGCCATATCAAACAACAAATGACGCACACCATTAATCGCATGGAACGCAAAGGGCCACGCGGCCAGGAACTTGAGCGCGCCTTTCGCCGCGAAGGGCAGCGCGCCGAACGCCGCCGCCAGCGACGCGCTCTCCAGGTGCCAGCCCACGAGCGGCGCCGCCAGGTACGCCGTCGCGAACACGTACAGGCTGCCGCTGAACGCGGACCCCGTGATCCGCATCCAGATCGAGCCCCCGAACCACGTCTGTTGCTTGTCGTACACGTCCAGGTGCGGCGACACCGGCCGGTTGATGCGCTGCTTGGCGAGGATCGCGGTCGCGTCGGCGGCGGTGAGCTTTTGCGTTGCTACGGGCCTGTTGGTTGCATTGGGGGGTTAGTTATGGTGCGGGAGTGTTGGGTGTTGGGTGTTGGGTTGGGTGATGACGTCTCGGTGGTGGGATGTGCGGGGGTTGATGGTACGGACCTCATCTGGGTGGTCGACAGGGGCTGAGCCAGCCCGAGCCGGGCTACGTTGGCGGTGAAGAAGGCATTCGGTTTGCCGGCGACTGTGGTGTTGCTATGTGGTTAGCGTCCATCCGTGTGTCTCTCGGTATCGTCCCGTCGGGGTTTCGGGTTGGGTTTGTTCGGTCAAGGGGAGCTATAATCTCCCAATGGAGGGAAGCGTACCTCGGCGCAGCGCCGTCGTTCCTACTCGTTGGGCAATCATCTTGTAGGCTGGCGGCAGAGGGCAAATCCTGAACCAGGCGTGGTATCGTGGGATGCGAGATTTGAGGTCGATGATGCTGGACTCTTGAAGTTGCGCATCGGAATCGAGCCCCGGCAGGTCGGCACCTCGGCTTCAGGAGCCAATGGGAGCTCCGGCGATTCGAATGCTTGGTCTGGTTGGTTGCAGCTGCAGCAAAACCCAAAGCACGTGAGTGGGAGCCCCACGCTCTTGGCGCGGCTTTTCAACGGCATCCCCATCACAAAAATTTTCCTCTCCTCTTTTCCCTCTTTCTTCTTCAGATAGTTATGGGCGTCCAGCCATGGCATTGTCGCCTCAATCGGCTATGCATATGTGGCATGGGCACTTTGGTGCCTATGGATGCCCAGAGAAGAATGAGATCCGTCGTTAATCACTGTCGTCAGTTTTTCAATCTGACGATTGTTTCATTTTTAGAGATCTACATTTCGATTTGGACATTTGATGCCCTGTGCAGTCGCGGACTTTAAATACAGCGTGCGATTATTTCCGTGGAACACGTTCACCCCGAAGATGGGTCATCATGGTGGCCAGAAACCCCGAACCCAAATCTAGTCTTGCAGCATCGTTGTCAGTCGCCTTGATCGCCATTGCTCTTGTATGATAATAGCATTATACCTCCATGGCAGTTGCTTCATACCTATGCTGTCTCCCCACCACGAATCGGTGATGGGCCGCTGTTCGGTGAGCCGCACTATCGGGGTTAGGGTTATGCGAAGCCGGAAGTGGTCGTTGCCAGGGCAACATTCGGGCGATACAACCCGAGAGTTGCCACCATGCAACGCCGAGATAACATGCCACATGAGTATCTTATTCACACCCTTTCGACACCCCAATCCAACCACTTAGTGTACTGTAAATCATCATGGCATCTCCAATCATCAGCGAACTACGAGTTCTGGAGCGTCGCGAATTCCGACTTCGCTTGGTCGATCGATTCGAGCAAATGCTTGAAACTGTCCTCTCCGGTAGTTTAGCTGAGCCTCGGATTTTTGACCGCGAATTGGAGGCTCTCTCAACCCGCAAGCTTTTGCCCCTGGATATCGACGAAGATCAACCGCTTGACCTCGAGCCTGTATTTTTTCGGCCTTAACCCCTCCCCCCCGGCAACGAGATCCGAACCCTTGTCGAGAATAGCCACGCGCAGGCCGGGCACACACGCCCTAAATAGTACCATTGCCAAAAGTTCGACCGCAAACGCTGGTGTGGCGACACATCCTGCGCCGATTTTCGAATGAACTGGTTCATTGAAGCTGTTGGACGCTACCGGCGAGGGCTTATGCCAAAGACCGCTTGGGCACTGGGTCGTCAGTAACTAACACTGGATTCTGTAGCTGTTTATTTTCTCCCGTGGAACTGACGACAGTCACGAAATAGGTGTATGGACAGCGATTGCCCGTATTATCACGAATCGCTCGGGGATGGCAAGTTCGTAACCTGGAACGACCATCACGTGGAAGACAACCTCAAGCCGCATGTAATGATGGCCGTTAAATATCCGTACCCCATCCCGGGCGGGCTTGGACCCATGCTCCGCGCAGAGGTGGCAAGCGCCATACACTGCATACTCTACCAGCTCCGGCACGGTTTATTCGTGCATCACCGCATTCTACCGGTAAGTTGGGTCCCATCCTAGCTTTCTGGCGTTGATAAAAGCTCAGGACGCTAGCTAACAACGGAGTACCCAGGTTTTGTTGCGCACTTACTATCACGATCGAGGTGCGCGCATCACACAAGCTCATTGGGACGGCAATTATCTTATAATTCGACAATCCCGCGTCTTGGACTTCCATGCGCCCGAGCCGACGGACGACGCATATCTCTTAGTGCGTTGGATTGCCAGTACACCCGTCGGCGAGACAAAGTATCCGGATTGCATACGAGATGAGGATGACACTAACAACCATTCACAGATCGAGCCACATGCGATGGCGTTGGTGATTAAGGTGTGATGGCGTGGCTAATATGACATGGGATCTGTTGTGGGTACCGGCGTCGTGCCCACGTGGTGGGCATCTTCTACTTCTTGGGGTGAAGTGAATCGGCTGCCAAATCAATGTGTGTTGAAGATGTAGGGTTCTGTCGGTAGGCCACCTTTCGGGATCGATAGCCTAGAGCCATTATTTAGGACCCTTTCAACCTGCTGAACCTCTTGTTTTCTTCCTTTGCCTTTCACTTAGCCAAGTCAGTCAGTATCAAGTTGGCCTTCGGCTCCGCATCCAATTCGATTGTTTTTTCACCATCCCTTCTATTTTTGTTGTTCCTCAACTGTCCGCACTCCTGACGACAGCCATCCTCACGTCTCTGTTATTCCAGGGCTATTAATCATTTCTCGCCCAATTCCCCGACTGCAGCGCGATAGCTGGATAAGTCATGGCTTCCGGCAGCTCGGTTGCTCCTAGCAACTTTCCCAACTTCAAGTGCGCAGACACTCGCCTCGACCCTAATCCTATCAACGCAGGTGAATGGGGGGACAGCATACAAACGTTCTTGAAACTTTCTGACCCGGCCACCATCCATCTTAGCGACCTGTCTCGATGGAAAATCGGCCATAGCATGGCGAACCCGTCTGGTTCGAAACTGATGTACGAACATTTCCTGCACTTCAGAGCTTGCGTAATGACGCATGACGCTTCTGATTTCGACTTGCAGCAATTTGTCGACGAGAAATACGCCACCGCCGCCCCGCAGTTGCTTGAGAAAGGCGCCTGGGAAGACTTTGATCATTATAGGAGATTGGTGGGGAATTCCGACCCAGATATTCGCATCCAAGGGCAGTTTGCCTCGGCGAAAGTTGACCAGAACCATGTCCTCACCGATGCCTACGGCGGCAACGGCTTTACCAACAGAAGAGAAGAACTTGCCGTTGGTGACACCCATGAAGAAACGCCATCGAGGCGGGTCCCAACAAAACTTCTTCCACAAAGCCCAACTATAGATTGCCACCACCAACTAATTGCGACGCCGCAGATGAGGCAATTGTCAACAAGGCCATGGCCGGATTTTCCTCGATCCTGACTCGACCATTTACCAAGGAGTTTACGCGGGCCCCCGACAGCCCCAGCAAAGCGCAGATCGAGCCGGAACCGTCCTACGACCTTATCAGAACGGGCCTTGCAAGGTGGACCATTGAGAAAAATATATTTCACATCAAGGAGCGCCGCAGAAATAACGATTCGCAGCAGACCCTGGCTGATACATCTGTACAAAGTGCCAACAAGGTAAGCACTTCAAGCTCCTGGAAACTCAAACAGACGGTCACCTTTATTCCTTATATGAGACCCTCGCCCTCATAGAAGTCAAACGCCAAACCCGGGGTAAAACCGCAGTTGGCCGGAAATTGATCGAGTGGCAGGAGACTGCCGAGATTTTCGCGTGGCAGAACAACTGTCTCCGAACGGAACAGGAACAAGGCAAGATGGATGTTACTCGGCGCTTCTTGAAACCGCCAGCCGAATCGAACCGAAAAGGGCCTCGCCGGTATTTAACTCTTTTTCTCTTCTTTATATTCTTTTTTTTCTTCCCCATTTATTTTCTGCTCTTTTTCCTTTCCACTCTCCCTTTCTCTTCCTCTTTCTCTTCCTCTTTCTCTTCCTCTTTCTCTTCCTCTTTCTCTTCCTCTTTCTCTTCCTCTTCCTCTTTCTCTTCCTCTTTCTCTTCCTCTTTCTCTTCCTCTTTCCATTTCCCTGTAAATTATTTCCTACGGACACTAATCAACTGTAACTCCAATTAGATGTCTTCTCATATCACAAAATCGCGAAGAGTGCTGTATTGTGATTGGGGAGTTTGATGCGTTCTGGAAATACTATTGCGTTGAGGGGTGTCTCCCGAAACCCCCCTTGGATCCATCCGTAGACCTTAGTACCGGAATGCAAGCATTGTACTTCGGCGATAAGAAGTTGAAATATTACGGCCTGGACGGCTGTGCCCCCCCTGGGCCCGAGGACGGCTTTCTAAAGGTCCATGTTTATGGTCCGTTCGTTACGACGAACCAGGATCATATGGTGGCGTTCAGCACCAATCTGCTCGGAATGACGATGCATCTAGCCGGCGTGACGGCCGAGACCCTTGGGCATTCTGAGGCGGAGGCCCGGAAGGGCATTAAGAGATACAACACACGTCGTGAAAGCCCGGCCAGCCAGACGAGCCAGGACAGTGAGGATAGTTTACGGGTGCATGGATCTAGTTTATTCTCTTGAGACTCATCCGCGGCACGAGACCGAGCGGCTAATCCTTTCCACTAGAGAGTTTATCTTTTCGCGAGTGGGTTCATAAATTACCGGTACCTTTTCGCGAGCGAGTTTACCGTGCAAAATCACGTAAATGAAGCTATTTCACGCCTGCGATTCCCGAGTCTCATAGGCGCAGAACAATAAGGGGTTGTATAACTGATAACCAAGGTGTATCATCCAATGCTTAGGTCTAACCGGTTAACAACCTTTCATCAGCCGTCGCAACCACGCTCCGCCACTCGCACATTACTTCTTCTCCCCCAACGTCCCAACATCCTCTGTCCCCGCCACCGCCGGCTTCGATTCCCTCGTATCAGCCCTCTCCAAATCATCCGCCGCCTTGCCCTCCTGCACAACATTCATGCCCGCCGGCAGGGTCTTCTCAAACTCCCTGCCGCGCTTCTCCGGTCCCACCGCCGTGGTGACCGCAATTCCCGTGGCAATGATGGCCGTCGCAATCCCCATGGTCGGCCCGTACGCCTCGACGCGGTTGCCGCTCTTGCTCGTCACGAAATGGCTCTCGGCGATGGCGTTGACGATCTGGGCGGAGGGGGACGAGATCATGTTGCCGAGCTGGTAGGTGAGGCCCGGGAAGGAGGAGCGGAAGGCCGGCGGGGAGAGCTCGTTGAGGTGGATGGGGATGACGCCCCACGCGCCCTGGATGAAGAACTGCATGAAGAAGCCCGACGCTGACAGGCTGCGCTCGCCCTCAGGCAGGATCCACGCCGGGATGAGCACGCCGCTGATGATGGCGGCGACGATGATGGTGCGGCGTCGGCCGAACCATTGCGAGATGTACCCGATGATGGTGCCGCCCACGCAGGCGCCGGCCTTCATGAGGATGCTTGCGCGGCTGGCGCCGTCGTTGGCAAGTTCTTTTTGGGTGAGCATGAAGGTCGTGTAGCTGTCCTGGGAGGTGTGGCTGTAGTCTGGAGGGTGGGTCAGCATAGGAAGGGGATAGATAGGTGGGATACAACAGGCTTACAGTTGAACCAGGTCATGAGGATGACGCAGTAGACGCACATCTTCCACTCCTGGCCAAGCATGATCTTAGTTTCCCTCCAGAACGCCGACGGATTGGCTTGGGCCTTTCCGGCCTTGCGCGCTTCGATGAACTGTTGGGACTCGGGGAAGAGGCAGCGGATAAGGCCAACGCCGATGGATATACCGGCGGCAATCCAGAATACGGTCTTCCAGCTTTCGACGCCGCCGCCTACGCCGAGGTTTGCGCACGCGGCACATACGTAACCAAAAGAGTACCCTTGCTGGAGGATGCCGGACATGAGACCTCTGGCATCCGTCGGGCTGTTCTCCAGAGCCATGGCGATGGCGTTGCCATATCTATTCTGCGTTAGTGATTGTCGTCGAAGTGGAATCAGAAAAAAAAACATACACTCCGCCCATGAACAAGCCGAACAGCGATCGCACAGCCAAGAACTGAGAGAATGTGGAGCTGTAGATAGTGGCGATTTGCAGCACACCGAGCACGATCATGTTAACCACCATAGGCCATTTGCGCCCCCATTTATCACCAGCGAGACCAAACATGGCCGCGCCAACCGACCTCAGGAGCAGCGTGAGGGTGATGGCGGTGGAGACATTTGTTTTTGTGGTGTTGTAGTATTCCGCTAGCTTGACCTGTTGGATGGAGAGCGCGTGGAAGTCGAAGGCATCGGCGCTCCAAGCGGCGAAACCGACGATGAAGAAGAGCCAGTCGCGCCCGGACAGCTGGGCAAGCAGACTGATGGGGTTGCGCAGTGGTACGGGTCGCGCCCACTCTGTGCTCGTCTCGCCAAGTTCGTTGGTGACGACAACACGCTGCTTGAAGTTGAACAGGTCGTGCCATGACTGCTTTGCTGTTGCCCACACCCCCTTGGCGATGGGGTCGGCCGGTTCGTGCGTGGATTCCATCGCTTTATTGCTGCCGCCTTACTGCTGCGTGGGCAATAATAATCGGGCAACGTCTGGGAGAAAAAGGCTGCAGAAAAAGCAAGGAAGGGGGCGAGACATGCGGATTTGGAACACAGCTGATCTGCAGAGCTGGGCTGAGATGATGTCTTATAGGGCCTGATTCTTAGAGGCGGGATCATGGACGCCCACCGCTATCTGGGCAATGATTGTCTCACATCCCTTCATGCGAGTCTGCCAACTCCGTTACTTGCCGGCTGCATGGTGTGTGGTGTGGTTTGTGGTGCCTTGGTGAGCAGGTCGCATCCCGAGTGTGACCATGCCAGGGATGCGGTGCGGGGTTGAACCCCACGATCTCCAAACATGTTGAGGTGAGAACTGGTTGGAGATGCATACGCAGCCTCGAGGCAGTTGGGCCGAGCACACTGGGGCGCCGGGTTGATGGCTGGAGGAAAAAAAGAAGGGATTCTGGGGTTCTGGGGAAATTCTTGGCTTCGGTCACGATCCGAACGGGGAAAGATCTCGTCCTGCCAAGCGGCGGCTTCGTGTTGCCTTAGGGTCTTGGCCGATGCTTGACTAGCTTGCCAAGAGCGGGCTCTCTCATGGCTTCCAGGCAATGCCGACTGCCATCGCTGCCGATCAGTGGTGACGATGTGGCACAAACTCGGCGAAATAGCAGGAAACGGCGGGGCCCCACGGACTGGGAAGCAGGGAAGGCAGCTTTCAACCTCAGCTTTCTGATGGCCACGTGAGGCGAGATGCACGCGTGGTCCATGGACAGACATGCTGTAGATTAGTTACCTCCAATGTTGCATCAGATAAACCCCAGGAACAGAGTGTGAATGCCGTTAGTCTATTCGCGAAACTCACCGTTCGTCGACAAAGCGTGGCTGAGAGAGCCCAAAGGAAGAAATCATCCTTGCTGACTCGGGCCATCAAGTTCATCAACCTCCCCGCCAGCCAAACCCACACCAGAAGAAGCCGTTGCGGTGGGAGTGGGCCAAAACGCGGGGATACCCGGCACGGCCTGGGCCCAGCTGACAGTGCCGGGTTGGCGGGCTCCCACCCCGCCGCCCTCCCCGACTCCGGAGGTGAAGTGGTCAACTTGTGGGGAAAAGCTTCCTATTTCGTTGTGCGAAGAAGGGAATTAATTGCGATGTCGAACCCGTAGCGGGGCCGGCGGGTTTTCGTGCCACGGTAAGTTCCACGCCCCTCGGTGTCTGGCTGGGCAGTCCGTATCTTTCACCTTCCCAGTTGGCTCATGCCGGGGGCCATTTGCAACGTCGATCGGTCATCCGCGTGCTTTCTTCAGTGGGGCACACCCGGGTCCAGACTAATACCGAATCCTTTGCTGTCCTTCGCGCGGGGACCCCGATTGGAGTGGTATCAAACCAATCGTCGACCTTGCTATTCTGCTAAATATTCTTCCACAGCCTTTCATCGCCTGGTTCAGCTCGGTGTTTTGTCGGACATTGACGGGGATATCAACAAACAGGGCCCTGCTGAGGCACTTGGCATCTGCATTAGCATCGCGGGAAACATTGTCGGTAGTTACGATACCTCAATATGGAGGATCGTAGACGGGGGGAATATTGACGTGATTCATAATCTGAGAGAAATGCGCCGATGTCCCACGCGAGCAGCAGCTTGTGGAGTGACCCTGGTTCCCCGGAGAGTTCAACGGTCTCGGTTAAGAATTTGAGATTCAAAAATATCAATCGAAGGGGATGGGCTCGTGAGGCATGAGTTAAGGCAGCTTCCTCCTTGACCACTGGGCGAGCCCTAAACTAAGGTACTAAGGGCTGAGTGGTACTCCTTCCGAGTTCAATCAACTCAGTCATTCCCTGGCCCCCTCACGTTCAAGTACAGATTACAGCCTGGCAGTCCCGATTTTAATTTTCACCGGGCAGTTCTGCAGCGTGCTTCTTTTCGCCTTCTTGTCCTTGGTGACCAAGAGAATTCGGAGATGGGAAAACTGACTGCACAAACCGCAACCAGAGTCATGTATTGTACGGTTGTACCGATACATTCCTTTACACCACGAAGCAGCTTAGCGGAATAGATTTGAGGCACGCACATTCAGAATACGCACAACTCAGGCTGTATTATGGGTAAGATATCTATATCTAACCACCGCAAACTGGGCTTTCTCAATCACGCCCTCCAACACTGACCCCAATATTGATGCCAACACCAAGGCCAGCCCCAATCTGCAGGTGCTTTCCGCCCGGCGCGGTCAGCTCCAGCAATTTATCAAAGACCGGGGTGCCCAGCCCCGTGACGGGGTCCCAGCCGGGGGTGGCATTCCAGCTCGCGTAGGGGACAAAGGGCGTCGGCAGGCCCGAGTACATGTCCTTACCCGTGCAGCCCGTGGAGCCGCCGTGCACAATGTCGGTCAGCGCGCCCTTGCGGCTCACCTCCTTGGAGTACAGCCAGGGGTTGAGGAAGCCCAGCGGCGGGCGGCCCTCGGCCAGGCGCGCGTTGTTGAGCAGGCTGATCAGCGCCGCGAACATGGGCGCCGACGCGCTGGTCCCGGACACCAGAATGTCCTTGTTCTGCGAGAAGACGTGGTAGGCCACCCCCTGCGCCGCCACGTCCGGGAACCCGCGCCCCTCCGGGTTGTAGAGACCCTCCCAGCGGCCCTTGAGGTGGTCCTTTAGGTATTTGGACACGGCGGAGTCTTGGTAGGAGGGGCGTGGCCAGATGTCAGAGAAGCCACCCGAGGAAAAGGACACGGCCTGCTCTGGCTGGATGTAGCGGGTACCGCCGACGGAGGTGACGTAAGGGCAAGCGCTGATGGCGTTGGCGTTAGTTGATGTTATTGTTGAGTGAGGGCGGGGGGTTGTGTGTAGACTTACGCAGGGAAGATGGGCAGGAAGCGGGTTGTGTTCTTGCCATCGTTGGTCTGGCATGCGGAGCCGACGCCGGTGCTAATGAATAAACGAGTCAGAGCCACATTCTCCGGGTATCATGGTTGCCAGGAATGACGACTAACTCCCCCGAGGAAAAGAGAATGGACACGCCGCGAGCGCCCAGCTGGCCGATCATCTGGCAGACCTTCTCGGCATACGGGCGAGGCACTGACTGCTCATCCTCGCCATATGACGTGGTCAGGGTCTGCGGCAGCTTCTGGTCGGGCAGCTTCAGCAGGTAGGAGAAGAAGTCCAGGTACGGCTCGTTGGAAGACTAAATTTCATTAGTACGACACGACATGAAACGAAACCTCGAAAGCGGTCTGGTCATACCTCGTCGGCGTCTGGCTGGCTGTGACTGGGTTAGCACAATCCCACTTTCGATGTTCGGTGGTACGACTCACTCAAGATCCGGCACCAAAGGTCCACGCCCCGCAGTGCTGTAGTACGTAACCGGAGTCTTGTACGACAAAGCGACAGCGTACTGAATATCCAGGTTGGCCTCAATATCGTCCTGCTCCGACGGCCCCTGCTCGTTCACCCCGCCAGCGACGCCCACCGCGGTGAAGTTGGTGTCGGAAGCATACGGCGCGTACGTGTCGCTGAACAGCTCGAGCTGGTCATACTTGGCCCACTCCTCCAAATACCCCGCGACACCAAACAAGCTGTTCTTGCTCGCCTTGGCCTGGTACGAGCCGATCTTGTACAGCGCCCGCAGGCACTCGGGGGTGATACTGGTATTGCACGCCTTGACATCCAGCTCCTGCGGCGGGATGGCGGACGCCACCTTCGCCTGCGGCTGCACCGGCGGCTCAACCACCTCAAACACCTGGCTCCGCGCCGGCCTGACCTGCCCAAACCTGACCACCGGCGCCACCATCCGAATATGCGGCGCGACCTCATCGGGCACCGAATACCGCAGCGCGCGTACCCTCTTCACATCCGTACCATCCTGACCCCACACCCCAAAATCCGCCTCCAGCAACGCCGCCGCCTGGCGCACTGTCACGCCCACATTGACCCACTCCCCATCCGCATCCACCTGGCCCGGCGAGACGCCCGCCCCGCGCAGCCAGGCCAGCACGGCGGCGGTCGACTCGGCGCGCGGCGCCAGCAGCGAGGCCACCGCGTCGCGCGACAGGTGCTGTCCGTAGCGCGCGTGCGCCGGGTCCGACACCTCGTACAGCGTGCGCTCGAAGAGCGCCTCGTCGGGCTGGTGCAGCGCGATGCGCAGCTTGAGGTGTTGGGTGTCGGGAGCGTCGCCCAGGCGTGTCCAGCCCGCGGGCTTGGTCGCCAGCGACTCGAAGACGGTCGAGCCGCAGTCGCCGAGCGTGGCGGCGAGCGCGGCGGTGAGGAGGAAAGTGTGGTGAAGCATGGTTGTTGAGCTTCTTCCTGAGCTGCCTGATTGGCAGCCTGCGTTGGGAGGGGGTGCACGTGGGAGGGGGGGTGATTGGTTCCGTGCTTGACCAGGTCGGAAAGTCCTGAGGGAGGTGGGAGGGGGGTTGTGGTGAGGGAAGGGGGGGAAATGAAGGAAAGATCGAGCTACGACTGCGGCAATGTTTATAAAAGCGCAGAGGCAGAGGTGCTAGTGAGAAGTGGAAATACGGATTGCCGTAGCCATCACCTACCCAAGCCTACCAACTTCCCTTTCCGGCCTGGATCACCCTGTGTTGGCAATCGGGGATGCACACGTTGTAAGCCGAATTGGCCAATCCAAGTGCCGGAAGGGGTGTTGTGTGGGTCGAGTTTGCTCAGGAACACATGCCCAGCCAGGCTAATGAAGCTAACAAAGGGAGCAGGCCGGGATGGAAATGCCGAGAAAGCTTAGCTCAGTGCCCAGAGAGCTTGTTCCCTCTGGTGTCCCGCCCGCTCGCTTCCGGGGCACCCGATGCTTATTCCGCCCACTGCCCACATCACCCCCTTTTTGGAGCTGCCGTGTTGGGAACCTCAGAGCTATTGCGTGCTGTGGGTAACTTCCCGGCCGCTTCCTGCTTCGAATTGACTAGCGCAATCCCAACCGCGGGATTTAACGGGGTGGTGTGGAGGTGTCTGCTCTATCAGTAAGGTAGCTTCTGCAGGCCTGACGCGGGTAATATATGGGCTCATGGGTTCAAGGAAGGTGGATAATATGAGCCCGTAGATTGTTCGCGGCAGCACCCGAAAGCTGTCGTCATCGAACCCCCCCCGCTAAGCGAGGTGGGGGGACAGAATTTCAGAAACAAACCTGAAGCTCAAGAGCTCGGGTGTCGCCTCGGCTACAACTTCATCACGACCTTCCACGAGCTTTCGTGCCCACGTTCGACCAGAAGAGGTAACATACCATACAGTAAACGTCTATTACTCGCTAATTGGGCCCGGCAGGGATAGCCGTCCGAGGATTGTAATGTGCCACGGCTAGGATTGTACGCGTGTATGTTTGCACCCGGCGGGTGGGACATCTTACACCACAACAAGGCCACCGATTGCTACCACGTGCCCCCACATACTCGTTTGGAAGGGGTGGCGGGCCGAAAGTACGGGTTGGTTTAACATCCGGAACGTGGCAATTGGGGCGCTTGCGCATGTTGTCGATGTGTCGGCCGTAATAATCTAAGTGGTACTGTGCTCCCTTTCAGCTTGTGATACTTGCCGTTCACTTGTTTACGTTGTATGTACTTTAATTTGATTATGTCTCCATCTTGGTGCGAGGCCCGAGGTCCAAAGTCCAATTCCCAGGGCATCCGCTGAGGTCTTAATCTGCGACAGGATTATGACACAGGTCTGTGCTAGGTTGATATCCGTGGGATTTAGTGTCGAGTTCGAAGACGGTGATGAGCAAGCAAGGACGTTGTTGTAGAGGTAAGGATACTGAGTGAGATAGTGGGACTCGTTTTCGCCGATCAGGGGTACAAATGGAATGCGTTCTGCTTCCAGCTCAAACCTTGATTACCTACCTAGCAACGGGCTTTTGTAAGGTACTTCCTTGAGCCTTGTTCACTCCTTAGCATCTTCCTTCCACCTTATTTGCTAGATTCGTTGTTGCCCAGCTGTCCGGTTTAACCTATCTCTGTCCCGATCCCCCCTTGACGTCGTGCAATCCTCCATCCATCCAAGATGTCGGTGGCAAGTAACACTCGCACTCAAAGATGCTAACAACCTCCGAGGTTACCAAAACTAACAGGTTTATTTAATTTTCCGGTACTTTCATACAGGACATGACCTAGAATTCAAAATAAAACGCAAAAAAAAAGACAAAAAAAAAAAAAAAAGTGTATCACTGGGGTTTCTGACCCGCCGTAGCGCATGCCACCTCAACCACGCGGATAGATCTCCTAGGACTTGAAGACTGGGCGTTGGACAATAAGTTTGTGAGTAGAAGCTGCTACTAAAACGGACCAGCCGTTCATTCAGTTTCTATCAACTTCGCCGCCTTCGTCTCCGTCGTCCTTGTCTCTACCTAAGGTATCTAATGTGGGCCCAAGATCCCAAGATCCCGAAAGCCTGCGTGGGCTTCAGGCTTAGCGGCAGCAAACTTGACAAGAAACTCCCCCGTAGCATTGGAAACTTCCTTTTTCGTCTCTTTAGCAATGTGTCTCAGCAGGAGGTCGATGCTATGAGCGGCCGCATTCCCGGAACTTTTCCCCGGCCCCGATTGGGACTTTAGCCAGTTGTGACAGTGAATGTTGAGGAGCAGCGTTGGCTTCAAGACGCGCACATTCCCGACCATGACAATATCGGTCATGGTCTCGGGACACTGCTGGTTGACCTCCTTTGGTTCCCAGAATGTGATAGGGATTTCTTTACCGCCGTCTCCTCTCGTGTAGAAGACGCCTTTGTTCGTAACAAACTTGAAGCGGGTGGTGGTGCGGCTCGTACATAGCTTCTCAGCCCTTCTCGAGGGAGTGCCAGTAGGAACGAGGACATCCACGGAACTTCCAACGGGGCCAATGCCGAGTAAGGAATTAGCGGCGGTGCCGATTATGGCGTAGGACTTGTCACCAAGAGCCGTGGCGAGTCGGCCGACAATGTTCTCGAGGGTCGCGGAACTCATGCCCGCCGGCGGCGACGGAGTGGGGGTAGGACGAGGTTCCGCTGCGGTAATTTGAGCGCCAGGTGGCCCTACGTTGATAATACGGGGGGTAGGTTTTGCGGCATTTGTATTTGCTGCCGTTCCGGTTGTTCCCGTACCGGTTGTCCGTGTCCCAGTTCGTGTTCCGGATGTTGATGTCGCAGTTGCCGATGTTGCAGTTGCCGATGCTGTAGTTGTCGATGCTGCAGTCTTTCTTGCCGCAGGCTTGTTGCCAGTTGTCGAGTTGTCCATATTCTCCGCAAGTTAATCGGCTATTGCTGAATTGAGTTCATTCGTGATCTCTTGCGTGCGAATCAGTGTTGTCTATATGAGGTATCACGAACCCAGTAAGAGTGTACGCTTCGCCCAAGATGATGTGGTTGCACGCTGAGACTCGAGGTTGATTGTTCTGCTCTTGAAAATACCTATACTGAAATGCGGGTGCTATGGCAAGGTTATATCCATGATATCCTAGAAGCGTTTGCGAGGTTTCACGTCTATATTCCTGTCAGCTGTACTGAAACGAACTACAAGAATGCTGCCTAGCTAAGAAGTTATAGACCAAGAAGTAGTAGGACGGGAAACTGGAATGCTGTTTCTGTGGATGTGGCTCAGTTAGGCCAGAAGGATTATCAGGATGCAATTGCACGTTAACTAACGTCCAATTCAGGAGTAATATATGGTCTCAATGTAATGGCCAGGGCGGTCCCGCGTCGCGTCTGGGGTCGATGGATCGGCACGCTTACATCTTAACACGGCGTAGGTCCTACAACACGGTCGTTGCTACTCGAGAGGGGGATTATGGCTCGATTCATGGTGCGGTATTTATCGCACTACACTCGCCGTGGGATTTGCATTACGATGCCGTCTCGGAAACTTTATCTCACAGGAAAACCACGGATCTCCTTCATCAGCTTCTTCAGTGCGGTGGCCTCGGCGGTTTCAACAATAGACTTCTGTCCTTCAAACAACTACCGCCCGTTGTCCATAGGTAGGTAGTCGTGCTCGGCGCACTGTTCAATCCTTTTCCCAGCTTGAAAATAACACCCCTTGCATCCTTGACCGAGCACGTTTTTCAACCTGATAAATTCGTCTCGTCCCTGTTTTCCACTCCTGCGCATACCTGGTTGTGGGCTTCAAGCTGCGGATGGATTCTTGGCGGAAGCGGCGTTGTGTGCTGAGCGTTCTCTGGTTCGGACTACGAGGTGTGGGGGGCCATCTTGGTGCGACTAAGGTAGGACAGGACGTGGCGATGCAGCACTCGCGAGTGGAGGGCAGCAACGCCTTGTTTGTTGGTCTGGAAATCAGGGACAAAATGCACGGGGTTTATACGCTGAATGTAACCAAATAGTGACGTCGCTTTTCATCTGACTAGTGCAAGTTGCAATAACTCCTAGGTATCTTGAATCTCCTGAGAGGAAGCCCGAAGGCCCTAGGCTACATCTCGACGCCGTGCTCGACATCGGTTTCTAGACCGCAAGACTTTCTCGCCCTTGATATGTTTGTTGGGGTTGACCTGTTGGGTCTTAACAATCTCGACAAGCCCTGTTCATTTGCTATTAGTCAACCATACTAAATTAACTCGACCGGTGGGAGGACAAGATCACTGTACCTTTAGGGATCAGGCCCTTTTCCTCCCACAACCTGTTGGCTGTACTGGACATACAGCGGAATTGACTCGCAGTCCTCATCCTCATCCTCAGCTCCACGAATGACACCATTGTTGTCCCACATTAAGAAATGAGATCGGCGACGTTCATGGGCATCTCATCGATCTGGGTCGAGTAATACACTGCCAAAAAATTAGCCACAGCTAAAGCATGGAGATGGGAGCCACATACACTCGATATCTCGTAGAATGCGCACATCCTCGCTCGTAACGAAGTTGATGGCCACACCCTTACGGCCGAATCTACCCGAACGGCCGATACGATGGATGTAATTCTCACGGTTGCTTGGCAAATCGTAGTTGATGACCAGGCTCACTTGCTGGACGTCGATACCACGGGCCCAAACGTCGGTCGAGATTAGGACTCTGCTGTTGCCCTGTCTGAAATCCTGCATGATGCTGTCACGCTCCTTTTGCGGCATGTCGCCGTGCATGCTGCTGACGGTGAAGTTGGCCTCTCTCATCTTGTCGGTGAGCCAGTCGACCTTGCGCCGTGTGTTGCAGAAAATGACCGCCTGAGTGATGGTGAGGGTGTCGTACAGGTCGCAGAGCGTATCGAACTTCCAGTCCTCCTTTTCCACGGCGATGAAGTATTGCTTCAAGCCTTCGAGCGTCAACTCGTCACGCTTGACAAGGATGCGAACCGGGTCCGTCATGAACTTGGTTGTCATGTCGAGGACATCGTATGGGAGCGTGGCCGAGACAACCACGACCTGGGTGGCAGGGGGAAGATAGCGGTACACGTCGTAGATCTGTTCCCGGAAACCCTGGTTGAGAAGCTCGTCGGCTTCATCGAGCACGAGCATCTTGATGTGGCGGGTGCGCAGGTGGCGGCGGCGGATCATGTCGGCAACACGACCTGGAGTTCCCGATACGATGTGTTGGCCGTAATCGAGTTTGCGGATATCCTCGCCCACGTTGGTGCCACCAATGCAAGCATGGCACTGCACGTTCATGTAGTCTCCCAAGGCCATCACGACGCTCTGAATCTGTGTCGCAAGTTCGCGGGTCGGGGAGAGGACAAGCGCCTGTGTCTCGCGTACGGCGGTATCGATGACTTGGAGCATGCTGATGGAGAAGGTGGCCGTTTTACCCGTTCCGGACTGTGCCTGTGCGATAGTGTCGCGGCCCTTACAGATCTGGACGATGGCTCGAGACTGGACGGCGGACGGTGATTCGTACCCGTATGCGTAAATACCGCGAAGGAGGCTCTCTGTGAGAACCATTGTTAGCGCGCGATGCCCTCCAGGGTTCCATGATCTGCGACGTACCTTTCAGTGACATCGACTCGAAGGTCGGATGCACCGTGACCTCCTTCGAGGTTGAGAATTGAATCTTCTCATCAGCCTTGCGGTCGATACCAGCTCCGTCTGCCATGATTGTGGTTGAAATGACGTTTTATTGTTGAAGACCAGTGTTGTTTGGTTGTGTCGTGGAAGCTAGGAGGGGTGTTCCTTTGCGAATTGCGCTGGGGAAAGTGAGGCGAATCAAGCCTTCGTTGTGAAGTGGACCTGAACTTTTCGGCCAAGCTCAGGCCGCTCGGCTGAATTTCGGTGGCCGATGCACGGTCCAGACGCGTCGCAGTTTTGGCGCAGGTGCAGGCAATTGAGCGCCAAGGAAAGAGTTGGAGCTGCAACAGACAAACGCTCTCGGCGCAACTTTACTCTCACAAAAGGCATAAAAGAAGTCCTTGTTTCCCCCAACAGTTGCAAGTTGTAAACAGCGGAGCAAGATGTTACTCGAAGACCAGCGGTATATCCACGAGGATCTCGAACGTCTCGAACAAGGCATCGCCGATCGCATGAGCGAGGAGCCAAAACACGTAAGTTTTGATCGATGCGCCACCGTCCATCTTGTGTTTTCTCTCGGGCAGGCGACCTCGTGAATTCGTGAAATCCTGACAATTGATAGATTCGCGACCGCCTGAACCGAGACCACGAGGTAGCGCAGCTGCTAGACCAAATCCAAAGTCAATCCGCCGAGCTTTTACCACTCTACGATGACAAGGCCGGCCTTCGATCGAAGGAGATCCTGCAAATCAGCACAGGTGATCCATTCGAGGAGTTCTACCGTCAAGTAACGGGCGTCAGAGACCACCATGCCCGATACCCGAACGAGCAAGCCGAAAACTCGGAGCAGTGGTACCGGCCGCAGAAAGGAGGGGACGACCAGCCGTATATCGTTGAGAGTATGTTCTCTGGTGAAGAGGCATACGGTCGGTTTTTCGATTTGCACAACTGCCACGACGCGTACTTGAACCTTCCGAACGCGAAACGCTTGGGGTACATGCAGTATCTCGAGGTCTTCGACAACTTCCAGCCGGGCTATGGCGGAGTTAAGCGGGTCGACAAGTTGACAGATCCATACTTCAAGTATCTCGGCGGTCTGATGGGGTATCTGGAGTCGTTTATGCGCCGAACCCGACCCCTAGAGAACATCGACCAGGTACTGGAGGGCTGGCAGCGGGACTTCGAGGCGGCGTGGGAAAAGCGGGAGCTCCAAGGGTGGCAAACTGACAAGGCGGTGCAAGGCGGTGCGGCCGAGCGAACGTTAAGCACACCGGAGGCTGTCTGGTGCGACGCCTGCGAGAAGGAGTTCAAGAACGACAACGTTTATAAGGGCCACCTGAAGGGGCGAAAACACATCAAGGCGGCGGAGCTTTTGGCACAACAGGAAGACGGGAACACGAACGGCAATCGTGTCGACTCGGCACAGGAGCTAAAAGAGCGGGCCGTTGCCGAGAGGGAATTCCGCGTCAAGAAGCTGACGGGCGCCATGAACATTGAAAAGGACGACACGCGGGTAAACGTGGAACGCCGACAGGGCATGACGGAGCGGGAACGTGCTCAAGAACTGGAAAACCTCTACAACATGACATCCGGGGCGCGGAATAGGGAGGAAGAAGAGGATGAGCAGGATGAGGGCGATGATAAGCTCTACAACCCTCTCAAGCTACCCCTTGCGTGGGACGGCAAGCCGATCCCGTTCTGGCTCTACAGGCTCCACGGTCTGGGTCAAGAATTCCCTTGTGAGATCTGCGGCAACTTTGTCTATCGGGGCCGGCGTGCTTTTGACAAACATTTCAACGAGACCAACCACATCACCAACCTCAAGCGGCTCGGTATTACAGATACCTACCTCTTCCGCGATATCACCTCGATCGCAGAGGCGGTGAGGCTGTGGGACAAGATTCAGCGAGACCAGAACAGGGGGCAGATCGATGACGGGGCCGTGGTTCAGATGGAGGATGCCGAGGGCAACGTGATGCCAGAGAAGGTGTATCTTGATCTGCAGAAGCAGGGGCTGTTGTAGGAGGTCAGAAGGAAGACAGGAACTGGGCGCTTGATTGCATATACGGGGAAATGTAGATGGTAGCTGATACCCGACAGGAATTACTTGATATGGTTGACTTTGAGATTTGTGAGCCTCGAGTGGAAAACCTAGGACATGGAGATGGAGATGGAGCAACTCGTTCTTGGCCACAACCACCGCTGGCATGTGCCTGAGCTGTGTTGGTGTTGGACCCACTTTGCCAGGCAAAAGCGGGGCGTCAATCCATGGTCGCCTCAGCGCCGCATCACCAACTGCAAGTAAACAAAACAGCTACGAATCCCTTGGATCCGTCAAACAGCAAGTTTGATATTCTTTGCAGATGTTGAATCACACTGCAACTTGAAGCCAGCACTTGGATGGATTGCCAAAACTCAGCTCGGCAGCACACTCTATTGCGCGAGATGCCGGGAACCTGAGGATGCACCAAAGCCAAACCCGATCATTTCCAATCGCTACTCGTATGACGACCATGGCGACAGTGCACAGCCCGATCCCGGCCCTCTACACCGTTTACATTCTACGATCAACCGTCCGCCACGCATCCTTTTATGTCGGCTCCACGCCGAACCCCCCGCGCCGGCTGAGCCAGCACAATGGTCTTGTCCGCGGTGGCGCCGTCCGCACCTCGCGCGGAAACCTCCGGCCCTGGGAGATGATCATCCTCGTCTCCGGCTTTCCAAGCGCGACCGCAGCACTGAAGTTTGAGTATGCCCTCCTTCCCCACACCCTTTCCCCCCTTTCCCACCCCCCTCCCCGCCCCAACGCATCACACATTCCCCCCTCTCTCTCGAGACCCCTCGCTGACCGCTCCCCGCGCCTAGATGGGCGCTCAACAACCCGCACCTGTCCATGCACATCCCGTCGGCCGAGCGCCTGGTCGTCTCCACGCAGCGCAATCGCAACGGGCGGCCGCGCCGGCCCGCCAAGAGCCTGGCGTCGGTCGCGTCCAGCCTGCACCTGCTGCTGCGCGTGCCCAGCTTTGCGCGCTGGCCGCTGTGCGTGCAGTTCTTCAACCGGGACGCGTTTGCCGCGTGGGAGAAGTGGTGTGCTGGTGTTAGTTTGGGTGAGAGGGGGTTGAGGGAGAGTTGGAAGGTGGTGACGGATTTTGGGGAGGGGGTGACGAGTGGTGGGTCTGGGGAGGTGGCTGCGGCGGAGGGCGAGGACGAAGCTCCCGCGCCGTGGGGGATCCATGCGCTGCCGTTGGACTACGAGCCGATGAAGGAGTATGTGGCGAAGGGGCAAGAGATTTTCGAGTTTGAGCGCCAAGGACGATGTGTTGTTTGCCGGGAGGAGATGAAGTCGGGGGAGGGATTGCATGCGGTCTGCACGCACGAAGGTTGCGACGGAGTTGGTCATATCTCTTGTTGGAGCCGGAGTTTCCTCAAGAACAACGATACAGGCAGTATACTGCCGGTTCAAGGGCAGTGCCCGATGTGCAAGGAAGAGGTGGATTGGGCCGACATGATGAAAGAACTTACGCTGAGACTCAGGGGTCAGAAAGAAGTGGACAAACTACTGAAGCGGAAGCGAAAACGCGCGACTAAGAAGGCCAAAAAGACATGAGTGATGAGCCATATCACATGGGTCCAACGGCTATTTTGGGGTATTAGACATGGGGCTGGTTGGTGTTCGGCGGCGTCTCAGGGACTAGAATGGGGAATACAAAGATACCCGGATATATCGATGGTGGTTCATACCGAGGCGGTTAATTCTATTTTACTCTTGGAACCGTTGGTTGACTTTCGCCTTGCAAGTCATTCGCTGTATCGTACCATCCTTGAAGCTGATCACGGCGCGGCATCCGATGTCGTCGGCTGCTCGCCGGGTTTGGTTGCACCAGTGATCAGTCAGCTCGTTTCCTCCCGCTTGGCAGCGACTGCACGACACACGACACACTCTTCTAACGTCAAGTCATTCCTGATTGGCTGTTGCGGTCCGACACTGGAGCCCTGTCGGGGTAGACCCCGAACCTCAAATCGTTTTGGGCAGGTTGCAGCAACCACATGGACTTCCCGGCGATATCATACCGCACCAACAAGCAATGTGTGCCGCCAGCGCAAAGGATGGTTTAGCAAGGCTTTAGGTATTTAGAAGTAAATTTCTCCGCCTTTTTGTAACTTGTAATTGTACGACAGTACTTTTTTTCGTCTCTCAGGCTTCTTCTCCGCCAATGCTTCAATCGCATACATGACAGATTGGAGGAGATAAGTACTACCTACGACCTAGGGATGCGCAACTGAGTCGCCTCCGCTCGGTAACGACACCACTTTTCCGGCACATGCATACAGTATTTGCAGCTTGGTGTCCCCCACCGGCCGTGGAGGGTTGAGCTGAAAAAGGCATTGTTCTCGGAATTGAGCCGAGTAATACATGATGTGTCAAGCCACAAAACCCTCATTGGTGCCTCTGTTCTGACAGAGAGCCGCAGAAGACCTGGGCATCTGCCCTTTTGCCATTGGCTTGCGTTTATAGGCAGGTGTCATGCTGGGGGGCTATTTCTTTGTGTGATGCCGCCCAGACGCAAGGATCTCTGCGCGAAGTGTTGCGTCCCATCTTTTCCGTTTTTATCCCTCTGGAACATCAATCGCTTTCTGTTGGGCACTGGAATAATTTCGGTCTGGAACTGTATTTTATAATCAGATAAACAGGTGGTCCAATCCCCCGAACTCCTTCATTTTTTCTTTGGTAAACTGTCGTTCCAGGAGTTTTGAGGCACGTCGTGGGGAAAGTTGAGGTTCCCGTCGCGACGTTGAACCCCCCGCAGACCCACTATTTCGCGGGAGTGTCGAATGGTGCATCCCGTCTGTGTGCGGTTTGCGTCTCCCAAATTCCTTCCGGTCACTGCCGCTGCCGCTTTCTCTCGCCTGTCTTGGGAACGTCTCCCGTCTTCGGTCGGCCCCATACTCCATCTTACCCACAGCCCACTCACACCCGACCCTTCGGTGCTCCGCCTTCTTTCCCTTCACCCACCCTTATTCTGAACCATTTCCAATCTTTGTTCTACCTACCTTCTGCCGACCTCCCCGCTCAACCGCGATCCGACCCCAGGCGCGTTTCGTGGCTAACCCCAACCAACGCAACATCGAATCTCGAATTTCGATCTCGTCTTGGCGTGTCGATAGTTGCTCCCTGTGATCGTCAGAGGGACCACCCACGCCCCATTCATGCTGCGCGCATGCTCTTAAGAGGCAGAGGCAATTTATAGCTTCCTCGATCTGCTCGAACCGAAGGGTATGTACACTTCGTCTAAAGGGGCGCCTATTCTTACATGCCTGGCGTTGGATCTGGATCCTCCCCTGCGTGTACGGACTGCCCGTTTACCGGTCGCGCATTCTAATATCGGTTGTCACGCTCCCTTCTACAGACCCCCTTCTACGATGCGACCAGCACCCGTTTGACCCGTCCCCAACCGATTCTCTCACGAACATCGCCTTAAAACCTTTTACCGAGAGCTGGGTATCTTTGTTATCACAATCACCAGCGAGATTGGTTGGGGACGGTAGTTTCAGTGGGCCGGTCAAACGAAGTAAGCAATTTGGAGGGCTCGATTGTCAATGCAAACATGAGAGGTTCTCCGGCGACGGCTTCCCCGGCAATCCCCACCGCTGGCGGGAAGCAAAAGACATCGCATTCCAACTCGAACGGCACACAGTCAACGAAACCACCGAGTCCTCTCAGCTCCCTGACCAGCGCCCCCCTCGACTTAGCCTCGGTCGAGCGACGTGGTCAACCCAATGCGTGTCCTGAGCCGGTCTAAGAGGAAGAACCGACCTCATGGCCTCCAAGAAGCGCCTACTTATCGCCCGACGGAAGAGGAGTGGAAGGAGCCCTTCGAGTACATCAGGAAGATTTCGCCCGAGGCGCGACAGTACGGCATCTGCAAGATTATCCCTCCAGAGTCGTGGAACCCGGACTTTGCCATCGACACAGAGGTGAGTAGTTTAGGCGGGAGCCAGAGGGAGGCATTGGTTGAGTGTGACTGACGCTGGGATACAGAGGTTCCATTTCCGCACGCGCAAACAAGAGTTAAACTCTGTCGAAGGCAGTAAGGCTTCCCCTTCCCGCGTCGCGACGCGCTTCTGCCCGGGACGTAATGCTGAGCCGGATGGTTTAGGCACACGTGCGAACCTATCCTATCTCGATGCCCTCGCCAAGTTCCACAAACAACAGGGAACCAACATGACGCGGTGGCCATATGTCGACAAGAAGCCCCTCGATCTCTACCGGCTGAAGAAGGCGGTCGAGGCCCGTGGCGGTTTCGAGAAGGTTTGCAAGCTCAAGAAATGGGCCGAAATCGGCCGTGATTTGGGATACAGCGGCAAGATCATGTCTTCCCTGTCCACTTCGTTGAAGAACTCGTATCAGAAATGGCTGTGCCCGTACGAGGAATACCTGAGGATCGCTAAACCGGGTGTGCACCAGCAGCTGGAGCTTGAGTACGGCGGCCCTCTGACACCGAGTCCTGCTCCAAGCCCCCTGAAGCGATCCAGCGTAGCGACGCCCGCCGGCATGGGCTCCGAGTCCCCAGCAAGGCACGCGACCGATGCGCTGCGCGCCTCCATTGACGGCGCTGCAAAGGACACGGATCCGGATGTTTCCATGTCCGATGCGTCGGATTTTGTCACTCCCAAGCCAACATCCGGCTTCACTGCTGTGAACTCGGGCGGGTTTTCCGCCATCAACTCCGGTTTTACCAGCGTCAACCGCTCGATAGCCTCAACCTCTGACGGGAAAGGCCCAGCCACCCCCAACGCAAACGGGACACCTGCTACTTCGACCAAGAACACGCCCGAATTTCGCTCATCGGCGCTTGGTCCTTCGAACCTCAAACGGCAAATGAGCTGCGATAGCCTCAATTCTGCTAAGAAGGAATCGGCCGATGCGGAAGATGGGGATTCCGGGAGTCGCAGGAGCAAGAGGCTCAAGAAAGGTGAGTAGTCTTGGAGTGGTTGTTGGCCGGTTGCATGGGAGATACTGACCTCGATTTCTACATAGACACGGTGCCTACCGTCGCCGGTTCGCACATGTCACTCTTCCGCTCAGCTGTGCCCAGGCTGCCCCGGGACGAGTCTGCATCTCCCGGAGAGGTATGCTCGATGATCTTATCACCAACCATGAACTCTCCGCTGACAATGGAACAGAAATGCGAGCAATGCGGCAAAGGCAGCGAGGAAGCCAGTTTTCTTCTTACCTGCGAATCATGCGACCACGGTTACCACGGCGCTTGCCTTGACCCCCCTCTCAAGATCAAGCCCGAGACCGAATGGAACTGCCCCCGGTGCTTGGTTGGTGACGGCCAATTTGGGTTTGAGGAAGGCGGCCTGTACTCGCTGAAGCAGTTTCAGGAAAAGGCTGCCGACTTCAAGCAGCAGTACTTCTCTAACAAGATGCCGTTCGATCCCGTTCTTAACTGCCATCGGCCGGTCACAGAGGACGATGTGGAACACGAGTTTTGGCGCCTGGTTGCTGACATCGAGGAGACCGTTACGGTGGAGTACGGGGCTGACATTCACTGCACCACCCATGGCTCCGGGTTCCCGACCATCGAGAAATTCCCTGACAACCCGTACTCGACTGACCCGTGGAATCTCACCCTTCTCCCACTCCACCCTGAGAGTTTGTTCAGGCACATCAAGTCCGATATCTCAGGCATGACCGTTCCTTGGGTTTACGTTGGCATGACCTTCTCGACCTTCTGCTGGCATAACGAGGACCACTACTCCTATTCCTCCAATTATCAGCACTTCGGCGCGACGAAAACATGGTATGGAATCCCCGGTGAGGACGCTGAGAAATTTGAGAACGCCATGCGAGAGGCTGTTCCCGAGCTGTTCGAGACACAGCCGGATCTGCTTTTCCAGTTGGTCACGCTCCTCACTCCCGAGCAGCTGCAAAAGGCAGGTGTGCGAGTCTACGCATTGGACCAACGGGCTGGGCAGTTCGTCATTACCTTCCCGCAAGCGTACCATGCAGGGTTCAATCACGGATTTAATTTTAATGAGGCCGTCAATTTTGCCCCTTGCGACTGGGAGCCGTATGGTCTTGCGGGTGTTGAGAGACTCCAACAATTCCGCCGACAGCCCTGTTTCTCACACGACGAATTGCTGTGGACCGCAGCTGAAGGTATTACAAGTGGTGGGCTCACGATACAGACGGCAAAATGGCTGGCGCCCGCACTTCAAAAGGTGGAGAAACGTGAACTCTCGCAACGAGCCGACTTGGTGGCCAAGCACGATTTCATCGCCAAGCATCTCGATGCCAAACACCCAACACAACACCACCGGTGTGTATTTGGTGGAGAAGGCGAGGACGACTGCCCCATGATGTTCAAGGTCGATGACGCCGATGTTCCGGAGGAAGAGTACGGATGTTTCTACTGCAAAGCCTTTACCTTCCTTTCCCGGTTCATCTGCCTTAAGACTGGCAAGGTCTTGTGCCTACTACACGCTGGAAACCACCCGTGCTGCGATCTCCAGGAGTCGGACAGGTACCTCGGAAAGGAGCATGCCCTCTACTACCGCAAGTCGGATGAGGCCATTGCCGCGACGTGTAAGAAGGTGGTCGACAAGGCTCACGTACCCGAGGCATGGGAAGAGAAATACGATAGACTCCTGGACGAGGAGGCCACCCCATCGCTCAAGACGTTGCGTAATCTTGTTACCGAAGGCGAAAAGATCCCATACGACCTACCGTCCCTCCCGGTTCTGAAGGCCTTCGTCGAGCGCTGTAACCACTGGGTCGAAGAAGCCACGAACTACACAGTACGCAAACAGCAGAACCGCCGGAAGAACGAGAAGGCGTGGCAGACGGGGGCTCGCAAATCCGTCGGCAATGCCCAGCACGATCAAAAGGAACGCGAGATGCGCAACGTAGCAAACATCTACCGTCTACTGGACGAAGCTAAGCAGATCGGCTTCGACTGCCTGGAGATCCCCCAACTCCAAGAACGCGCGGATGCCATCAAGGCTTTCCAGGAGGATGCGAGGACGATGATGGAACAGCGCCCAACTCGTTCCATCGGCGCGGTCGAAAAACTACTGGAGGATGGACAGAGCTTCAACGTCGACATGCCCGAAATCGAACAGCTGACGCGTCTCCTGGACCAGCTTCAGTGGAACGAGAAGGCTAGCACCAGCCGCAACTCGTTCATGACATTGGAGGATGTCAGGGCGCTTATTGACGAGGGTCACCGACTTAACGTACCGGTGTACAATGATCATCTTGCCTTCTACACCGACCAGCTAACGGCAGGCCACATGTGGGATAAGAAGGTTCAGGAACTGATGAGCGCTGACTCGATTCATTATCCGCAACTTCAGACCTTGGCAGACCAGGTGCAATCCAACGCTTGGCCCGTTTGCCCGAAAACAATGGCCGCCGTGGACCAGATTCTCCACAAGCAGCGCGAAGCACACCGGCAGATCATGGATCTGAACGAGCGTACTCAGGAGCCCGATTACCGGAAGAGGCCCAAGTATGCAGAAGTCGCAGAAGTCATAAAGAAGATCGAAGAGCTCCAGGCCAAGCCAACTGGGACGCATGAGCTCGAGAAGGAGCAAAAGCGCCACGAGGACTGGATGCGCAAGGGGAAGAAGCTCTTTGGAAAGACCAATGCCCCGCTCCACATCCTCAAGAGCCACATGGATTACGTGCTCGATCGCAACATCGACTGCTTCGATATCATTCACGACAAGCCGCGCGTTCCGGCGGAGCCTGCCTCGAGAGAGCCGAGCGTTGATAAGGAACAACCCAGCCGTTGGGAGGACCCAAAGTTCCGCGAGGTATTTTGCATTTGTCGACGCACAGAAGCCGGCATGATGATCGAGTGTGAACTGTGTCACGAATGGTACCACGGCAAATGCCTCAAGATTGCTCGTGGGAAGGTCAAGGAAGATGATAAGTACACGTGCCCGATTTGCGACTGGCGCGTCAAAATCCCTCGCGATGCTGCCCGGCCAAAGTTGGAGGACCTTCTATCTTGGCAGGACGAGATTCCCAACTTACCATTTCAGCCGGAAGAGGAGGAGGTGCTCAAGAAGATAATCGACAATGCGACCGACTTCCGCAACCATATCAGCGCGTACTGCAACCCGATCATGGCCACGGCTTCCGAAGCGGAGGCTCAGCGGTTTTACCTCCGCAAGATCGAAGGCGCCGAGATCCTTTTGGCATTCGAGACCAACTTTTTCCGGCAGGAGTTGCACAAGTGGAGCCCGGTTGCTCCGGAACCGCCCCCGGTTCTTGAGGTATCCAAGAGCACCCGCAAGCCGCGACCGACCAAGTTGCAAAAGATGTTGGCTCAGTATGGCGTGGAGGATCCTGACGATCTGCCCGAGGACGTCAAGGGTAAAGCGAACAGCTTGAAACGCAAAGCCCTGAACGCCGAGGCCGCAGCGGCGGCCGCCTCTGCCCCGTCGGGCTCCATCATGATGGTCGGGAGTCCCGGGTACCCATCGCCCCATTCCTTCTATCCACGGAACTCCTCCGCCCAGCCCACAACCCCGGGCCTCTCGAATAATGCGCACTCTCACTCGTCGGGGGGCGCCGAAGGGTCGTCATCGCACAACCAGCAAGGCCCGGCCGGCGCGGGCTCGATTCTACGGGCCGACTCCATGGAGATTGACCCGTCCTCCAGCCATCCGGGCCTCTTCCTCCGCGACGGTACCGGGCCCGGCCCGCAGCTGCTCGTGTCCGGCGACTCGACCCACGATCTCGAAGAGCGCCTACTCCGCGGTACCTTTGACGACGAGGAGCTCAACGCACACCTCTCGACGGACCACGGCCGCGCTAGGGTTCTCGAGATCCTGTCGCGCACCGACACCGGCCGACGCCGAGCGGAGGAGATATTTGGACCGGGGGCGCGCAGTGGCGACCGCAGCCGTGACGGCCCGTCGAGTGCGGCGCGGGATAATGACCCTATTGGGATTGGGGTTGGGAATGAGGGGGATGGGGATGATAGCATGTTTGTGGAGCTGGTGAACCAGGACGATGATGAGGACGGCGATCATCATCACCGTAAGAAGGCGGCGGCTGATCACCACCACCACCCGTCGAATGCGGCCGAGATCCTGGAGGACCGTGGCGAGGCGGCGTCATGGATGGATGCCCCGAAGGAATCTTAGTTGGATTCGGAGGGGTTCTGATGCGTGCGTTCCATCTTCCATCCATCCATGTCTCGGGTTTGGTGAAGGAGCGGGACCGGGACCGGGACCGGGGAAAAAAGGAGTGTGGCGTGGGACTTTGGCGGTGCATTGCGGCTGGTTGGGGCCGGTCAAGGCGTTTCTGGCGGTCGTTAAGATCGTTGCTTTGTGTTTGTTTCCTTTCCTTTTTTTTTTTTTTTTTTTTCTATCTTTTTCTTTTTTTTACCCGTGTCGCAACATGAAGGGTTGTTGCGACGGGAGACTTCAGTTATGGCACGGGCATTTCAACATTGATATCCCGCGTCATGTTGTACATCATTCTGTATTCTAGTGCTGCGGCTACACGAATGGCACTTCGGGTCAGGGGTTGGGGGGCAGACGGCGATACCTGGCGGCATCATTTGCATTAGACGACGGCCTGCTACTAAGCACAAGTCGTGTCGTAGCAGGGCAAGGAGTAACTAAGGGGCTGAGCTAGTTAATGTTTGCGTCTGGGTTTTGTACGTCAATGGCACTGCTTGTTCGCTCATGTCCATGACTAGAATGCACTTGTTGACGTGGTGCATTTCTCATGTGTTGAAGCCGGCAACCACAGAGTTGAGTCCTTTGCCTTGTCTCCGCACACTTTACTAACTACCACATTGCAGTCATGAAACGTTATGGAAGTCAGCTTTTGCCTTCTGCATCCTTCGTGAGCCTAGGGGTGGCATTACACATAGGAGCTTCCTCTCACCTACGGTCCGCAGGATTGTGCTGAAGAGGGGAACGATGGAGTGATGGGGCCTCCAACAATGCTCCCCGTCTCCGTGCACCGCCTGGGGCATGCATGGGCTGGTTTGGTGGGAAAGGTTTGCGGGTCGAGTCCCACCACCCCTGTCATGCATGTGGGCCGCAGAGGGCCGATCTTGAGAGGAATGGGCAAGGAAATGCATGCTAAAAAGCAGATCGTCCTGGTGCTTCTCTTTCTCTCTCCGGCTCTGCACCTCGGATGGGTAAACTCACGGGCCCAGAACGGGGTTGTGTCCCCAGCCCGTGCCCGCCCCAGAGACGCCTCACTACCAGATACAGAGACTCGGGTGTGTCGATCCGATTTTGCGCTTGGCCGAGGGGAGGGGCTCTGGGCGGCTTTCTTTTGTCGTATGCATGCCTGTGACGTCCCTCCGGCGAGGGAGATTCGGCGGTAGTTGTGACATAACTGTTCAATAGCACATAACCGCATCTTAGGGACCTGTAATTTCTTGCTTGCAAAGGAATGGGGACGAGAAGCGGTTCTTGCACGAGAGGACGCTCCTGGGGCCGGCGAGGCCGGTCCCAATCCCACCAGCGGCGCCACACGAAACCGGTGTTGAGTAACTAACTTGTTAAGTTGAAGCACAACTGGTCCTTTCCAGCAGCAACGCAGCAAAACAACAAATACCTCGGAGATCGACAGAGATCGGGCCACGAGCGGGCCGACGGCGGGTGAAGCTTGCGGCCGGGTTCTCTTGGCACCACCGCAAAGCCAATTCGTTTCGTCAGTCGTCGTCATTAGTGTGTTTCTCCGGCCAGAGCGGGGACGACAAAAGAGGTGTCGAGAATGAAATAGGGGCCGCCAGGTTGGCCACGGATTGACTCCGGGGGCCGTGGATGGAGCCCATGACAAACTCGCTGATGTTTCTAGATTAATTCTAGCTTCTCTTGGGCCCGGAGTGTGGCCCAAAGCATTGTTTTAGTGCCGCAAACAGGGAGCAAACCACACCGGTGGGTTCGGCGCGTTGTTTTCGGATCGTTAGCGCGCCTAGTACGAGCCCAAGGCGGAAGTTCCAAGACGACCGGCGCCTGACAGTCACCGCTTGGATGTTTGTTGCACGGAGCGCGCAGAAGCGCAGGTTAGTCTCGGTTGTCCTGGACTCGAGTGCTCGTTATGGGCTGGGCGCGGGACCGACGCTTGCTCGCCCAAGTCCCGAATGCCCGTTGAAGCAGAAGCGAGGATTTCCCGGGACAGCATTTGACCAGAAGACATACCCAGCACACACACACCGACGGATGCCCATCCCGAACGATCCTGGTCACCGAGCGACCAAATTGAACAGGCTGCAACGTTTTCAAAGATCCTCACTCTACCGGGCCGTCCAGATACACCCAATTCAGGCAGAGCACCGTCGCAGTGTGACATCCTCAGAGGAGTGCATCAATCCAGGCCGCTCTGTGATGGTGGGTTGACGTTGCGCCGTACCTGCAGAAAAGCCAAAGTTTCAGACAGGGGCACCCTCACCACGTTGTGGCCCGGTTGCGGCGCCATTTTGGGAGGCCCAACTGGAATGTTCCCCGGTGATGGCTTGCTGGGGTGTTCAATCGTCTGGGAGGCATTGGCGGGGCTTTACAGTGGTTCTCGACCGCTAGAAATCCTTCCATGGCATTTGAATCGCTGGTTCAGCGATGCGTTAGTTCGCGTCGGGAGGGTCAGTTGTCTTTCTTGTTTGTCAGAGGGGAATCTCAGGGGCTTGTCCAGGGCGTCGAACTGCAGAGTCAAGGGGGATGTGTGTGAGTTGATAAAGAGGGCTGATTTCGCCTGTAGAGGTCTTTGATGCGCTGCTGTCCTGGTCGTGGAGACCCAAAATTGCCTTAGAAAGGTCCCTCACTCAGCATCCTGGTCGTTGTGGGCGCGGGTAATCGAAACTTTTCTTCAGGGGCGAGTTATTGCGGCCGATCAGCCTATCGCTCGTTCGATCGATCGGGTCCGAGGACAACACTTTCCCCTGGCACCTTGGGCAGCATCGCTCTTTGCCAAGTCCAAAACACCCATCGGCTTTTCGAACGAGGGCCATTCCGTGAACATAGCGTGAGGATCCAGCAGGGAAAAGTTCGTGGCCACCAAAGAAACAAAAAAAAAAAAGAAAAAAAAAAAAAGAAAAGAACAAAAAAGAAACTCGCTAGCAGGGGAAAACTTTAAACGAGCGGGAAAACGGGAAGAAGCGACCGAGTCTCCGAGTCAGCGGCGCTGAGAATCCAGCGTTGAGAAAAGACATTTCGACCTTTGGCTCTTCAGCACGCCTTTCCTCTTTATTTTAGGTACATTCCCATTCTGCATCTCCCCTCCAATTTCCCGTCTCATGCAGCCAGATGCCCTGGGCGAAGACGCCAGGATCTAGCTGCGCGCCCAGAGGGAAGGCGCACAGGCTCCCAGGGCAGCCCTGGGGACCCCACTTTACCCCTCCTCATCCCGAGCTTCCAGGTTCATCTTGGCGGGTTCGACGCTTGGTTTCCACCCATCGATCCATGTGAAGAAGGGGGGGCCCACGACCCACGGGCTTGTCCCATTGCGACCTCGCCGCTTCTGTTGTTGACTTTTGCTGCCAGCGTCCCAACCAACGGCAACAATTACCTCGTCGTCCCGACCACCCCTGCGGCCGACAACCCCCTGGTTCCAGTTTCTTTGCACTATTGAATGCTCCCAAGGCCACAAAACAGACCACAACCCGCAGCCGATACGACAAAGACCCGACGCACCCTCACCCGAATCGAATCCTAAACCACGAACACTTTTCCTGCACTGACAACGCAGGCTGGTTGACCTCCTTTACCAGCACTCCAACTTCACCGTCAGGTCCAGACCCCCGCCTGTCCAATCGCAGCCCTCTCCGGCGCCGCTTGTGTCGACCCCACCGCGTCACGAGAGCTCCTGAGCCCCCGCTGTCAAATCCCGAGACGGCCACCTGCAGACCGCCGCTACCTGCCGATCGCGCGCCACTGGCCGACCGCTGGAACGGCATCCACGTACCACAGCAGCAGCAGACATGGGCTTATTTTCGAGGAGGGAGCGGGCGCCGAAGGCGGCGAGCAACCCACAGCCAACCCTCTCCAACTCACAGTCAAAATCGTCCCTCACGTCAGGGTCCTCGAGCATCATCACTCCCATCAACACAAGCGCACGCATGATGAACCGCACATCGGCTGGCACCACGAGCACCGGCGGCCCCGGAACCCCGCTTACCCCCTTCTCTCCCGGCCCGATGTCCAGCGTCACGATGCCGAGGCCGCCAGACCCGCAACTCGACCCGGCCGGCTACCTGCGCAGCTTGGGCGCTGTACGAGAACGATGCAAGATCGTGACGGCGAAAGCGTGCAAAAACGACCTGCGCCATTTTGATGTGGATATGCAAAAGTTCCCAGATGTTGTCTCGTTTGTTGCGAATATTATCAAGGTAGGTCTTCCTTCTCTGAGTTGGGCAGAAGAGAGGGGGTCCACAGGGCTATCCATGACCCCGCTGGCCCTCGACTCGGACGCTGCACAGGCAACTGACCGCGATACGACAGCGCGATTACGACGCGCCCTTCACGAGTATTCCTGGGCATGGCCGATACCAGCATTTCGGCGTCGGTGGGCGGGACCGGATCGCCCACCTTTTGGCGACATGGCCGGAGGAGATCGATAACACCGAGAAGTGCAAGCGGATTCTTGATCTTTTCCTGGTCAGCGTGCTGCTGGATGCTGGTGCTGGCACAGAGTGGAGTTACAAGAGCGTCGAAAACGGCCGAGTCTACAGGCGGTCCGAGGGTATCGCTGTTGCGACCCTGGATATGTTCAAGACCGTAAGTCCACTGAACTTAGGACCGGCAAATCTCTCAACGCATGTTAACCTCCGCCACAGGGCCTCTTTTCGGGCAGCAGCAACAAGTACCAGGTCGACAGAGAGGGCCTGCGGCAACTAACAGTGGAGAAACTCGCCCAGGGCCTGCAGTCGGGACCCGGGAACGAGATGGCCGGTATCGAAGGCAGGGCGCAACTTCTCATCCGCCTCGGGAGGGCCCTGGAGAACAAGGAGTTCTTCGGCGAAGATGGCCGGCCAGGCAACATGCTCGGTAAGGATCTCCCAGGGATGGTTTATACCAGGCATCTTGCTAACGACAGGTTCCAGACCACATTCTCTCCCACCCATCGACGCAAGCTTCGAGTGTGATCATTGTCCCCATGCCGGTGCTCTGGAACGTCCTCATGAACGGGCTTAACCCCATCTGGCCCCCATCTCGGACGGCCATCAACGGTGTTTCGCTCGGCGACGCCTGGCCCTGCAGCTCGATGCCACAACCTGCGCAATCGCCCAGCAGCCCGACATTCTCGCCCTTCCCCAACGCGACCGGCCAATCCAACGGCATTGCGCCATGGGAGAGCATCCTTCCCTTCCACAAGCTCACTCAGTGGCTAACATACTCCCTCATGCAACCGATGCAGAGCATCATGAAGATCCAATTCGCCGGCCAGGAACTTCTCACCGGGTTGCCCGAGTACCGAAACGGCGGGCTTTTCGTCGACCTTGGTGTGCTCACGCTCAAGCCCGAGGACCAGGAACGCGGCCTGCAGCATTATACTGAGTACTCGCAGCGTACAGGGACTGGGGGTGTCGAGGTCGCGCCCATGTTTGACCCTGGCGATGATGTTATTGTCGAGTGGCGCGGTGTCACGGTGGGCTTCCTGGATATGTTGACTACCGATGTGAACAAGGCGCTGAAGGCCGAGCTGGCTGGGCATGAGCTTAGCTTGGCGCAAGTGTTAGAGGCCGGAAGCTGGAAGGTTCGTGCTCACCCGTCCATGTCGTTCCGGTGTCAACTACTAACATTGATTTCAGGGAGGGCGAGAAATTGCCGAAGTCAGCCGGCCGAATACCAAGGAACCGCCCATTCTCATTGACAGCGACGGGACGGTGTTCTAGGCCATCGGCAAATGGGCGGACAGACTCTTGGGAGAAAAGGAGTTGAGGAAGGGTACTGCATGGTTGGACTTGCTCTGCATTTCGTCCACGCCGCTCTATCAGGGTTGGGAGCTGGCGTGGACAGATTTATTGGGGTTTATCATGATATACGTATTTGGCGACAGGCCATTTCCTCCTGTTTTATGAGCCTTAGGCGCACTCCACGGAGCCTAGTTGGAAAACAAATCCAAAGTCTTGTCTTCTCTCTGAGGCTGTCCTTTACAAGTGTGCAAACATTTGGTGCCCAGCCCTTTGACCTTCTCTGTCTTCCCTTTCCATTCTGTCCCCCCTCCCGTTCTACGTAGTTCTCCATGAACCTTGCCATTTAAGAGTCGTCGTGGGGTTTCAAGTCATTCATTTGTGGAGAAGGCATTCAAGAAAGAACCTGAACCAGTGTCAGCACACCACTTTTGCTCAATAAACAAACAACCTTTGTGAGTTCCCAAATCATCACCCCCCCCATCTAGCCAAGTTCAAATACTTGACCTCTCAGCCATTTACATACACATACCAAGGCAGACACCAGTTAACACGTACGTGAAGTGTCAATTGGTAACGACTGGCTCCAACTGGTGTTGCTCGCACCTGCCGTGATATTTGAATGCCCAGGGACCACGGTGCCTTCCGTGCCGAGGACGATGCAATTCCCTTCGGACCCTCATGATTAGGTAGCCCCTCGTTCACCTCACATGTGCCTTTTTACAAATTTTGTCGATGCCCAAGCCGTCAGGGTGCTTCTCCCTGAGCATTCACTTGCGGTTGCCTTAGGCTGGGTGGTTTTTACCTTGAGACCCGCATTGAATTTTCACTTCTCCCTCTTCCTCTCGGCACAAAGGGACTTGGACTCTTCAGGTCCCAATTTCATTTTTGTGCCGGGCTGTTTGCGAGTTTGGCCGGTTACTTTCGAGCCCCATTGCGTTCTTATTTCTGCCAGTTGGCTGGACATCGACCTTCAGAACCCAAAACCCCAACCAAGAAGTTGGTTTTCTTCGATTCCAGCATCTTCAATATGTACCGCGGTTCATATTCGAATCGAGGCGCCCGGCGCGGTGGCCGTGGCGGCAATCGTGGTGGTTTCCGCAATGCCTCCCATGGCAACCACAACCGCAACCTTACCGGCGTCGCAAATCGCTCTGGCACCTCGATCTTTGATGAGCGTCAGCGCCCCAAGGCCGCCCTCATTAACGGAGGGTAAGTAGCTCAAGTCTTTCCATGGCCTTCGTGAGTTGTGCAAGCGTGGGCTTGCTCCCTCAAGCCCACGGTTGTGTGTTGGTAGTGTTGAATCGCCCGTCTCTCGCGTGCGGCAACACTGAACAGAGATAGCTAATTGCAGCTGAGTAGTTTCTTGCCGAAGCACATTTTTAGTCACTTCAACCCTTCCGCTACTGGCTACGACCGTAGCCGGATGAGCACCATCAACAGCGGCGAGAAAAAGCCGGATGGCGTCTCCTTCGCCATCGTCCACGTCCAGAATCAGCCCCAATGGATGGACAAGAACATCATCTACGTTAAATCGAACCTCCATCTACTGCCAGAATATTCCGAGAAGAAGTCTCTCGTTCTTGAGAACCACAAGGAAATGGGCCAGGAGGAGTTGATGGAGCGCATCACCGCCGAGCTGACTCAGTCCATCAAGTTTAACCGCTATGGCGTCGAGGACGGCCCGGACGTGGAGATCTTTGACGCAGAGGGTCATATTGTCTCTCTGGTTCTCCCGGGTGACTGGATGCCCGTGAGCCACGAGCCTCCCCAGTTCGCCAGCGTCAACACCCCCAGTATCAAGTACACCCCCGTCTCTGTCGACCCCATCGCCGTCTTTGCAGGCTATAGAAACGATTCAAACTCGACCGGATTCAAGTTTGTCGCTTGGTTTCTCGTTGAGGAGATCGAGCTTTTTGCCGCCAACTCGCTCGACTTGGCCCGCAAGATGCATGACAAGAAGTGGGACGGTGATATTGGCCACGAGTGGTATGTGCTTTTCCTGACAGGCGTTTTGTAGATGACTCCTAGATCACGAAACGGGTGTTATCTCGACCCCATATGCCACATTTATCCTCACCAGAACGTCTTCACGCCCTTGGATGCAACAAATTGCTAACTTCTAGGATTAAACAGGGCTGCTGTCAAGTTGATGAGAGTTGAAAAAGGTGACCCAGAGTGGCGCCCGGTCCCCGACATCAGACGTCGTCCCGCCGCGTCACAGGCTTCGGATTCGACGAAGACCGCCGATGAGGTGCTCCAGCTAAGCACCGAGGATGTTATTGAGATTCTTGCCAGCGTCACCGCAATGATCGACACCGAAAATAAAGATAATAACCCTGTTCAGGACGGGGACAAGTTTGATCGGGCTGAAACGGGTCAACCCCTGGACGAGGCCCCGGAGCACAAGTCTGAATCTAAGGAGGGCGGTAGCGACGACGCCACGAAAGAGGCAGTCCCTGACATCGGCGCGGATACAGACGATGGCGGTGATGCCGTTCATACCGCGGTTGAAAACGAAGCGGGGGTGGAGAGTGAGGTCAAGACAGAACTGATGAAGGTGGAAGACCACGTGGAGGACACCACGGGGGGTAATGCTAAGGAGCTCAAGGATGGCGATGGCGGTACCGACAAAGCGGCCATCCCTGAAACCGACAACAGCGCTACCAAGGCCCCAGACCATCATGGCGAGGGCGTTCTGTCCACTCAACTTAAGGATAAGGAGGCAGTCGTGGAGAAGGGCGAGAAGCCGGTGAAGGATGCGAAGGTGGAGGTCCCCACTGGGATCTCAGAGGAGGCAGCCGAGACCGAACTCGAGATGGGGAAGATGAAGGAGGACGAGATCACAGTGAAGGTCCCGACGACGGCCAAGGAAGAAAAGGAGGAGACGAAGGAAGAAAAGGAGGACAAGGGCCAGGGTGAAGACAACATTTAAGCTATCTACTTTGGCCATGGGCACCATATCTTCGGTAATCAAGTATTGACGCCGCCTTTCGGTTGCTAGAGCCTTTCAGTTGCTAGAGTTTGCTTGCAGTTGCAAGCCACATTCGCAATCAATCAGACAGTTGCACCCAGCTTCTTTTCCACAATAGCAGGTCGGGATCTCTCTTCTATTTTGCGCGCGGTAATTTGGTCGTTTTGTATGCCAACGATTTCCGCTGTTCCTGGCTGACCACAAGGTTTGGGATACCTCATACGGCCTTCAGCGATCCCCCGAGCTCGCAGACCAAGAGCAGGAACCGTAAGCCTTATGACAACAAGGTCCGTTTTGTGCAATAAGCACTTAGCTCACTGCGTTGGCTCCCGCTTACTACATACTGAAATGGATACAGAGGTCACAAGTCATGATGGTGGCTGTCAGGGAGCCTGGTGGCTAACAGGGAGCCCTGCAGCCCCATCTCTCTCTCTGTATATAGAAACAGAGCCTCCCACCATCTGGAAGCTCTGATCAATGCAAGCAACCTTTACACATATACCATGCATGACCACCGTTATTCATACACTATCATATTCGTACGTCAGCCTCGACAACTTGGATAACGGGACGAATGAGTATCCTTCGTGCACGACCCCATTCAAAGGTTGCAAATTTGCTTTGCACAGTCCTTAGGATTGAAATGAAATGTTGTTCCTCGATCTGGAAAGAGGTTCAGTCAAGAACATAAAGCCCTCCGCCGGTCCGCCGAGACATGTTGGCTGTGGTTAGACAGAGTTAGGCATCGAGCTATACGAGCCCGCCAATGAATGGGCCTGGCCTCTGGTTACACCCATGCCCGGGAACTGTTTCTCGGAGGGGATCGTTCCCCCCAGACGGGCAGGTACAGTACGCTCGCGTGATTAGTGCACGCGATTCCGTCTGCCTTTGAGAGAAATACCTAACTCATACATGAGAGGGGAGGTTCAATTCATGAAGGCAATGTTGTAGGGTAGGTTAACCGGGGCGACCCCTATTGATAGACGGCCTTGAGAGGCATATTGATACTCAGCTGGTTCGAATACGCTCCCCATATTTAACATGGATGCCCTTATAAATTGTTCTAAACCCGGTGTTTGGATTGTAACATTTCATGCATGTTCTTCGATCTCTGTGAAGGTTCCGAGTTAACTGAAAGTTGACCAACCCCTGAGAGGTTAACGGAGAGATGTACTCCGGTCCCCACTCAACTTCGTTGCCATTTTCAAGAACTTGGGAGGTTTGGCCCAACTTGAGTAAAATACCGTGCAGCAGGTGTAGTATTCGGCTAATAAATGTCGTGGGACTTACCACCAGAACATGGTTACTCATCGGAAGGTAAGCAGTCGCTGCTACATTGCAGGACTAAGCAACCACCTTCTACTGTGAGAGTTGGTAGTCTGGGCAAAGATGGCATTAGGACCATCAGACACGATGATAGTACTTTAAGAAGCTTAAAGGATCGTCGCTTTACCCCTGCGAGCCTTTTTACACACTGCAGTCACCTCTACGCCGTCACCAATTGTCGATCCGCGACTTGACTAAGGACTTGCATCAACATGGCGAGGACTCAAGGTTCTGGTTTCACCCTGGGGGCGTGCTTGCTCCAACTTGCCACCCTCATTTTGGCCAGCCCCCTCAAAGCTAAACCTGTTGCCGAACGGAATCACGCAAGTTCAACAACAACCACGACCACTTGGTTAAAGCCCACCACTGTCACGGTCAACCCCCGGGATCCAACCATCACGAGAGACGCCGGATGGACGACCACAACTGGCCCGCCGCCCTTCACCAGCACCATCACCTCGTCATGCATCACCTTCGACTGGAGGTATCCCCCCGAGGGCCATGAACCCACGGTATCAACAGCAACCGTCACGGCGCGCAGCACCATCACCGTAACCGACACCGACCGCCCCCTCCAGACACAATACGAGTTCTACCTCCCCACCGTCACCGTCACCACCCCGCTGGCCACCTACGTGTCGTACCACTGCCTCAACACGCTCGTAGTCCAATACCACGACTGGGAGTACCTCACCTGGACGTGGTCCAACTTCGCGCACACGGCCACCACCACGGGCCTGTGCGTGACCACCTCGACGCGCTCGACCACCATCCCGGGGGTGACCCTGCCGAGCCCGCCGCCGCGCCCGCTCGAGGACTGGGAGTACTTCAGCGTCCCCGGCGTGTCGGTGGTGACCAAGCACACGGTGGCCATCGCGACCGACACCAGCGTCGTCTTCCCCGGCACCACCACCCGCACCGTCTGCGACAGCCGCAACCCGCACCCGACCATCACCACGCCCTTCACCATCCACCGCCCAAGCACGACCGTCACGGCGACGGAGACGGTGACCGAGGCGTGTGCGGATAAGGTGAGGAGGCAGGGGGGTAGTGGGACGGGTGAGGGCTCGCGGGTCTATCCGCCGGTGGAGGTGCGCACCGTGGTGTATACGACGGTGACGGTGATTGATAACACCGTCTCGACGCTGACGGGCACGGCGATTGTGGATATCAATACGCAGCAGTTTCCGGTCACGCGGGTAGCGTACACGACGGTTGCGGGGACGAGCGTGGCGACGGTGACGGAGACGGTTTGTGCTTAGGTTCAGCCTCTCAGGTGTTTGGCAGTTTGCCGGTTTGGTGGCTGGATGGGATTGACTCATTGAGATTAGGTAGAAAGGAAATTGAAATTGGGAGATGGTCGGAGATAGCAATGCTAGTATCGGCTATCTCCACGAATGAGAATTGGTGATGAACTTGTAGGCCGACCCATGTGGTGTGTTCCTCCGTGCCGTCTGGTTTATCCCGTGCCGTGCGCGGCGTACCGGGCTCAATCAGAGCCTCAGCATGAAGCACATCGTCCGACGACTGGAAACAAGTGGCAGCTGGAAAGTCGGAGGTGTTGGCCGAGAGCCGACCCTTCGAACTATCTCCGGTTTGGCCGCTCGACTCTTTGTTACCACGCCAGTTCAATGACTAGATAGGTATCTTCAATACATTCTTAAGGATTGATACATGTATTCTTGAAATTCTTGAAATTATTGAAACGGACCCTGAACAGTCACCCATCCCTTTAGACAAGGAGGGGAATTGGGTTCGTTATTGTATAGGTACATGATAATAAGACCGTTAAGACGATGCGGGGATGATGCCAACTGGGGTTCCTTAACTTCCTTTTTACCCCTGAGACACTGACTCAGAACTGGTGCAGACAAACTGGGAAATTTTGGAATCCCGAATCATCACCAAAGCGGAAGTTTTCGGTCAACACCCCACGGAACCGGGTGCGGACTCCGGTTGTGCAGCGGCACCTTGCCACACCGGTCCCCTAACCAATCACATTTCTCTGTTGCAATTTAAGGTGTCGCCGGAACGGCAATCGGGGAAATTGCTCAGCGGACCTGCTATGTTCGGGTGCGGACCAGCGTCCGGCCCGTTGCTCTTTGATGTTGTGTAATTGCTGGTTTTAAAACATTCCACCACAGCAGCCCGACATTCCGCTGCGCTATCTTCTGGTTTATCCTCCCTCATCGCCTTTCTCCTTTTGGTCCAAAAACGCCACCTCAGCCTTCAAAGGTCAACGCAGGGTGATTTGCTTCCTCGGCTCTCTCTCCCGATTCCCGAATAATACCATCCGTACATTACACAGCACCTACCATACCACAACCACAACTGCCATAGCATCCGATCCGAAACTAAAAAATAGAATAAAAAGGCATCATTTAAAACCTACACACCGAGCACGAATTCACAATGGTCTCTCTAGAGCAAATCCGGTCTTCCAACTCCAAGATCCCAACTACTCTCCGGCCGGGTCTGGTGGCTGTTTTTGCCGGTGCAACCAGCGGCATCGGCGAGTCTTCGCTGAGGCAGTTCGCCAAGAACGCCATCAAGCCTCGCATTTATTTTCTCGGCCGGTCCAAGCAGTCTGGAGACCGCGTCCGCGCAGAATTGAAGAAGCTGAACCCCGACGGGGAGTACATCTTCATCAGCGTCGATGTCAGCTTGCTGCGTTCCGTCGACGATGTCTGTCGCCAGATCAAGGAAAAGGAATCTGCCATCAACCTTTTGTTTTTGAGCACGGGAAGCATGATAACCGGTAAAGGTGCGTGCACGACGGCGTGTTGCCAGTTGGATTAAGCCCCCGCAATGGAAGCCGACATGGAGCTGACACATTCCTCTTTATAGACACCGAAGAAGGACTCAACTACCCGACCGCCGTGGCATACTTTGCCCGCCTCCGCTTCGTCGTCAACCTCCTCCCGCAATTGCAGAACGCGACCGACCTGCGCCGCGTCGTGTCCGTCATGGCAGGCACGAAGGAAGGCCCCATCAACATGGACGACCTGGCCGGCCGGACCACCAACCTGTTCAGCCCGAGCGGCCGGGGCCACTTCTGCTCCATGATGACCCTCTCGTTCGAGGCCATCGCCAAGACGGCACCAGGTGTCTCCTTCGTCCACGACTACCCGGGCTTCGTCAAGACCAACCTGGGCAACGATGTCAAGGGGCTGACTTTCGCCATCATCAAGGCCATCTGGGGGGCCGTTTCCCTGGTCATTGCGCCGCTGATCGCCACCCCCTTCGACGAGGCCGGCGAGCGGCAGCTGTTCTTTGCGACCAGCGCCAGGTTCCCCGGCGGCGACGGTGGCGCCGCTGGTGTCCCGTTGCCCGAGGGTGTCAAGGTTGCGAAGGGGTCCGACGGGAAGCGCGCCAGCGGTGTGTATTCCATCACCAACCACGCCGAGACTGCGCCGCCCAAGGTAGATCAGCTCTTGGAGAAGTTCAGGAAGGACGGCACCGCCCAGAAGGTGTGGGCACAGGTCCAGAAGGAGTTCATTCGGACCACGGGGGTGGCTTCTGTGTAATTAGGATCTGAGCTGTAAACTTTCTAAAGTTTGACACCGGGCACTGTATCATGCATATACGGCAGGGCGGGTTTCTGAGGAGGATTCTTTCTATTCCCTTTCCTTAGATACATCGTAATTAGGTACTCTTACCACGATTTCTTTCGTCAGCTGAATATCAAAGTTCGACTCCAATATCATTCCTGATCGAGACAATGGCGTCTCCGTTCCGTGTGCTCAGCCCCAGCCCCGACCCCCCGCGGTGGCGCACACCGATTTCAGCTGCGACTCGGGAACTTTCTCAACTTGACGTCGGAGCCGTTTGTTTGGCCGGTCTTACCTGAGTGTTGCGGCACAGCCGGAGCTGAGACTCCTGTCTCCGCCCGGACTTTGCCAGCCACAAAACTATCGACTTCGGAGTACGACAGTGTCCGGGACTAACCCCAGGTACAATGTTACGCGTGACGAGATACAAAAGAGCATACAATAGCTTACCTGACTGAGCTGAGTTCAAGCTCTAGCTGAGACCATCACCACGACGCCAACCTTTACTTGGCTTGAGTTGTCTATCAGACAGTTGATCCACGATGCCGTCTTCTGGTTTTGCCCGGTGCCTTGTCGCCGCCCTGGGCGGCAACTCCAGCCTTGTTGCGTTCCCTTCCAACGCCAATTATTCGGCCATTGTTGCCCCCTATAACCTGGACTATGCCGTGGTCCCCGCCGCCGTTGCCTTCCCGCACACGGCCCATCAGGTTGCTGACCTTGTGAGCTGCGCCGTTCGATCGGGCTACAAAGTGCAGGCTAAGAGTGGCGGCCACAGCGCTGCCAACTATGGTATGAGCGTTCCGCATAATCGCCATTTTGAAACGTGACTTTCTGACGTCGTAATGTAGGCTCGACCACCGGAGAGTTGTCCATCAACCTCCAGAACCTGCGGCACTTTTCCATGAACCCCTCGACCTTCGTGGCCGAGGTCGGGCCCGGTTACCGACTGGGCGAGATCGACGAGCTCATGTACAACGCCGGGCAGCGGTTCATCCCGCACGGCTCTAGCTCCCACGTTGGCCTCGGGGGCCACGGCACTGTTGGCGGCGCCGGCTACACGTGGCGCCAGTACGGAATGACGATTGATCACCTCACGGAGGTGGAAGTCGTTCTGGCAAACTCGACCATCGTCAGGGCGTCTGCGTCGCACAACCCTGACCTCTTCTTCGCAATCCGGGGTGCTGGGGCCAGCTTTGGTATTGTTACCAAGTTTGTCTTCCAGACGCTTCCTGCTCCCCCGCAGACGGTGAGCTTCTCGTTCCTCTGGAACACGACCGACACGGCCACGCGGGCCGAGGTTTTCAAGGCGTGGCAAGCCTGGACCGTGGGCGACAACCTCCCCATAGAGATGCAGTCGATTGTTGGAATCACGCAGGACACCATCCTGATGGCTGGAGCGTACTTTGGAACGCTGGACGAGTTCAACGCCCTCGGACTCCCGTCCCTGTTCCCCCCATCCCAGGCTTCCAGCGCCCAGTTCTTCACCAACTACCTCGAGCTCTCCCAGCTCTGGGGCGAGCAAATCAGCCAGTCCGGCCGCGAGGCCCCCTCCTACTTCTACATGGAATCCATCATCTTCCGGCCCGAGACGACCGTCCCCAACAGCGTCATCGACCAGGTGTTCGAGTACATCGCCACGACGGACAGCGGGGCGGAGCAATACGACATCGAGATCCAGGCGGCCGGCGGGCAGAACGCGGCGGTCGCGTCCTCGGCCACCGCCTTCCCCCACCGCGACGCCACCTACATCCTGTTCACCTTCGCCTCCACCGCGGGCAACGTTACGCCCACCACCTCGAGCTTCGTCCACAACCTCCACACCCTGATCAAGAGCGGCCACCCGGACGAGTACTACGGCCGCTACGCGGGCTTCATCTCGGGCCGCATCGACCCCGCCCAGGCGAGGACCGATTTCTGGGGTGCGAACCTGCCGAGGCTGGGGCGGATCAAGGCGGCGTATGACCCGCGTGATGTGTTCCATAATGATCAGGGCGTGTTGCCGGTGCGCCACTGAGGCTGGGGGCTGTGCTGTTGGTTCTTTTCTTGGTCTCCTTCGGAGCACCTCTTGTTGAGTTAGGCGAGTTAGGTACTTAGATTTAGTAGAAGTATAAGAAACTTCAAGGCGTCTCGTCTAGCCACATGATCCAAGTCCCAGGGGATAGGCCAGTAAACTGATCAGCTTAGTTCGTGATATTATGCGGTGGTGCCAGCAATTGACCAACTGTAGGCCTAGGGTGTCATATTACCTATGAAAGGGGGTTGTTGCTGGAATGAGTCCAGCCTCATCACCGAAACATTAGAGCTGCGTGGGCTATCACTGGAGAACAACCATAAAAGCAAGCTGTGCATCCATGATTTGCGGGCTTGGCGACCTTTGCGCTCAGGCGTGAAGCGGGATGTCACGTTAGTGGACGTGGGTTTCAGATTTATCCTGAATGCTTATGTATCTTTTGAATTTATTATATTATTGTTCAGGTTTATTAAGGACTATGGTCCAGCCGTGATGCCATGCCTCTCTCGCGTCAAAATACTTCATGTGCGCCTGGGCTTCCTTCAAACTCACGTGCACCTACATGTAGCCATCCACGTCCATCTGGCTAGACGAATGAACGATGCTGGGAACAGCCACCTCAGCCCTGGAACAAGATATGGGAGGTCCCGAGGGCGATTCGGAGGTTGAGCGTGTTCCGGTGGTCACAGCCCCGCAAGAGTGTTGGAGCGTAGGATGGCGCCGCGATGGGTATGTCCACGCTGTCTGCCCGGGATGGTTAACTAACCGCTGCTATATCCTGAGTCGGACGCACAATCGAAGTGCCGTCGATGGTTAAATCGATACCGGTACCCTTGGAACCCCCTTTCCGTGGCGAAATGGACACGGGTGGTGCGGTGGCCCGGCCTCAGTCGTCTTCGGTGGCAACGGTCGATGCGCGCGCCCATGTCGACGCGGCATGCTGGGCACTGCAGGATGGTGACGCCGCACATCGCGCCGAGGTCTGAAGGTGCTGTGCAGTTAGAGAAAAGGCGGCTGCGTAGTTAGAGGCTTCCGGCGCTGTGGTGCTGCGAGAGTTAGGATGTTAGTGCGGTTTGATGCGTGATGTAAGAAGCAGGCTCGGCATCTGTCGCACTGAAGACTTTTGTGCTCGAGGCAACACTTGTCCAGGCAACACTTGTCACGTGTGTGGGCAGGTAGATTGGCAAGAGGACGAGGCGAGGGTGAAAAGGACAAGGTGAGAGCGAAGGGGTTGCTCGTAAACCCCGTGGCTTCCGATGGCAGGGTGTTCTGAAGGGCAGCTTTGGGGCGTCTTCCCGTTCCCAAACTTCGAATTATCACTGTAACACATTTTGATACCTGGGTATTCCCTCGAGGAAAGGTAAGAGCTGATGTATGCTCAACCAACGCCAACGCCAATATTCATTGATCTGCATGGAAGTGACTGGTGCCAAAACAGTTACAAACAGTTAGGCAACCTCCAACCTCAGCGCGTCATACTGCAGATAGACACTCTCCGGAAGCACAGCACTTTCCGGCGCGGTGGCCCGAGCGGGGAGAGCGAGCGTGAAAGTGTTCAAGCCCTGCTTGAGATAGCTGGCATCAAAGGTCCATAGGTTGCGTGTGTTGTAGCAGCTAGCGGCGGATCTCGCGCCGCAGGAACTGCTGTGGTTGGCACTGGTGGGGAGGATGAATTAGTAATGAAGTATTGTCCAGGTCCCTGAGATATTTACACTTACGGAATGGTCCAAACCGGAAGAGCTCGGCCGTTGACGGTGACGGTGTAATCTAAATTAGCAAACGCCTTGCCCGTGTCATCGGTGTTGCCGGCCGAGGTCTTGACACCGGCAAGTTGGATGGTCAGAGTAGCTTGTTTCTTGCCTTCCAGCTGATCAGATGTAGCATCGAACGTGACATTCCAAGCGTTGACGTTGGTGTAGTACGGATCCGGCCGGATCGAGTTTCCCTTGCCGCCAAAGACGCTCCACTGCATGTAGTTGAAGTCCCGCTTGATGTCGCTTTTTCCTACGTGAAAGTTCACACCATTGGGAAAATCCTTGGGAAAATCGTGGACGGCCCAATACAGGCGGTATTGGTTCGGCTTGTTAGTCCTCGTCGTATCGCGCTCACTGCCGTGCCGGAAGTCGCCGCTGCTCCGGTCCGGTGTTCCGATGCGCCAGAGCTCGGTTCCGGCGGACTCGGGAGTCCATGTTGCTGTTGTTGTGGTTGCGGCTCCCGCTTTAACAACGACGTTGTCCTGGATGTACTGACCAAATATGCCGGTTCCGTAGACGGTTAGGCGGTATGTGCCAGCGGCGACCCGAGGGATGGTGATCTCGCCGTTGGGGCTGACCTCGCCCCAGTATTGCCGGGCTTTGGTGGCCAAGTTATTGTCCTGAAAGTCCCGTCCGTTGCTCGCGAGAACTGCGATCGCCTTTGTGACTCCGTCCGGAAGATGAATTCGGCCATTCCAGGTCCCGCGGCCAGAGGTAGGAAGATAGCCAGGAACGTGCTGGGCGATGGAGTCGTAAAAGTCGGCGTTCCAGCTGGGATCGGCAAACCGACCGGCGTCGCTGCGGAGGTCGTTAACCGAAGAGCCCTTTGGGCCCTTGTTGAAATAATAGTATTGCTGAGAGATTGTCAGTATCAAAGTCAGATACGAATTGAGGTAAAGGGTGTCGTTACCGGGCCAAAGGTGCGGTCAAACTTTTGGGTGTCAGGATTGCCATTCCCATGGTGATTCGAAACTATGGGCAGAGGTCAGTAAGCATCCTATCCCCAGAGACACAAAAGCAAAGTGCCGCGACCTACTAATGTAGTTGTAGACAATGCCGTCCACGGTCAGATCAGACCACTTCGGACCGTTATAGTACGTGTCTTTGGTGTTCATGACCAGCCAAGCCCCGTACGTAGAACCATCCCGGGTGCCCTGGCCGTCGGAAAATAGACCGTGGTGGGTGTGATACTCCCAGGACTCGGCGAACATGTACTTGGAAAAGTAATCCGACATCTGAGTGCGGTACTTGGCGTTGATGCCGTCTCCGGAGATGCGGTATGTCGTGTCTTGGACAGTCGTCCGCCCAGCATCCGTTGGCAACACCGACCACATCTCATCAGACGAGGAAAGGTGATTCCAGATGGTCGTGCTGGGTCGGAACAAGAATCGCATTTCCCCGAGACCACCGCCGTTAGGGTAGGCGGCGCGGCCAAAGGTGTGAAGGCCGGTCTCGCCATCTCTCAAGAAATAGTACGACTCGAAGGTTCTGCCGCTATCGACTTTGGCCGAGATTCGCACACCGGCGTATGCAGTTCCCGACTTGTCGGTGCCCTTGTAGAGCTGGAATGAGCCCCCGTTCCAGTAGCCACTGTCGCAGTGGCAGTCAAGGTATAGTCGACCGCCGGAGCCCAACAGATCCTGGCCGTCAAGAGTGAGAGTGTTGATCGTGCCGGCGCTTTTACTAACTGAGAAAGTCAGACGGTCGTTTTTGACATTGATGCTGGAGCTGGATTCGGTGGCGGTGATAGTAGCAGACGCGATGTCTGCCCACAAGGGGAAAAGGGAAAGGAAACAGAGCTTCATGATTGTCCCGTGTTTTTTTTCATGCCCATTCGTTGGTGCGGCTCGAATGGATCAGGCGATCAAGTCAGATGGAACTTGAAGCCAGGGGACGGCTCAACCGTTAAATTTATACTTCAAACCCTTTGCTCCTAATTTACGGATAGCAGTTTTCCCGGATAGATTCGACGAACTTCGGCCAAATGAAGGTAACTCTCCGCATCGGATGTTACCTGTTAGGCTGGCCTGATTTCCACTTCCATCCATAGGTACATGGATGGAATCATGATGGGTACCTCAATTGATACACTAATACTGCGTGTTCCAATGTCAGCCAAGGTTTAGTCTTTCATTACGTGCACCGAAGAACGTATTTAGCTTGGATCAAGCAGCAAACGCACCTAGCCGTCACGGCGTATATTGTTTGATTGGAGGAATGTATTGATTAGCTTCCATGGCAAGTTGGTTTTCGCCTCGACTTCTCCCGAACTCGCGTCCAATTCCCCCGAGGTTTTCAATTAGCGGTTGGCTCCGTACGAGTGGTAATATGTTCGATCGGGATTGGCACGCAACGGAAGAAGCTTCAGGTTTGAATACGGCAAGGGACCCACGTACTGAGTGTATTTACGCCGGTACAGTACAAACAGCAGACTCCACCACACAAATCATCGAAAACCACGACACGGTCAACTTGGAACCCATCAGGAAGCGGTGCAAACAGCGACGATCCATTGCTGTTCTCAATCTGATTATCCCAAGTCCGAATAGTATGTCTGATATTCTATCACCAAAGAGAAAAAAGGAAAACGAAAAAATCGGAGCGAAACCTATAGGTTGTTCCGTCACTTCGCACCCTGCGCCACGCGCTTCGACAACAGCTTAATTGACCGCGACACACCCACGCCCTTGAGAGAAAATGAACACAAAAACTCCCCCTGACTACTACCCTTATAACTGCCGTAAAGAAAACCGGTCGTCCCAAGCGCCTGTGGCCATTTACGACCTGAGGAATTCCATCTTCTTCCAAGCCGCGACATATAGACGGGCGAGGTCTGGGTCGACGGGACCCTCCTTGGCCATGGTCTGGGAGTGCTCCTTCGCTTTGGTCGTATCTAGTATCAGGCCACCGCAAGACATGCGCTCGAAGTGGCTGTCGAGGAAGTCAACGAGACGCGCCGCCGGATTCTCCGTCTCGGCAAGAAGTGGCGACCGGCGGACCCTCTTGATCCAGCTCGAAAAGGGGATGATCGCGTGCGGTGGGATGTCGAGGGCAGCCGCCAACACCGGCGACATGGCCTTCCACTGCTGACCTACGGGGTTGTCGATGTGATACACCGGATAGGCATCCGGCGCGTCCGCGACCCCCATCTTCAACAAATCCGCCATGACGCTCGCGCAGTGGTCCACCGGAATCCACTGCAGCACGCCGTCGAAGTCGGGCCACGCCCGCAGGGTCTGCGCCGACTTTACCAGGAACGCAAAGTGCTCCACAGGATTCCAGAAACCGCTGTTCGACGATCCCGAGATCTGGCCGGGCCGCACGACCATGGGCCTGAAAAGGCTGGGGTACTTATGCAGGGTGTCGTCCAGCAGCCGCTCACACACCCATTTGCCCTCGCCGTAACCGCTGGGCAGGACGGCCGAAAGAGGCACGCGGTCCTCGAGGATGCGCGGCTCCCCGGCGTAGCCCACCACCCCGATGGACGACACAAACTGGAAGCCGACGCGGAACGGGTGGACGGCATCGCGGGTGGCCATCTCCCGCGCGAGGTCGAGGAGGTTCCTCATACCCTGCAGCTGGGGCTCGAAGGCGCTGATGGGGCGCGTTCCGCTCATGGGCCACGCGTTGTGCACGATGTGGGTGCCGTGTTGCAGGAGCCAGGTGTACTCGTGCGGTGGGAGGGCCAGCTGGGCCTGGGAGGTGTCGGCGTCTAGGACCCGCAACTTCGCGCGTGCCCCGGGTGACAGCGTGATGCCCCTGGATGCGAATGCCTCCTGTTGTTTCTTGACGGCGGAGAGGCCGCTGCTGCTGCGACGGTTGAGGCACACCACCTGCGCGACTTCGGGGTTCTCGGCCAGCTTCTGCACCAGGTGCGAACCGAGGCTGCCGGTCGCGCCGGTCACGAGAACCACGGCGCCGAGATCTGCTTTGTTGCGCTTCGGCTGGCCTTGGTCTGTTTCCCGCCGGGCGGCGAGGGCTTGCAATCTCGGCGTGGCCCAGGCGTTCGAGTATTTTGTCACAAGCCGTTCCGCCTCGGCCGTGCGAGCGGCCACATCACCTCGGTCGAGTTCCATCGTTTGCTCCGGGGCGGCCTTTGGTAGGCGAGGACCCTGGGGTTCTGAAGCCATCGCGAAAATGACCTTTTTGGACCGCGTTCTCGGGCAAGTTCCCGTCGGTCCAGTCAACATGCCCAAAACCTGCAGTGTGCAGCTCACGTTCCCAGTGCTCGGCCGGCACAACTGCGTGATTCCGGCCGTCATCGAATAGCCACCAACCTTCGAGCAGCCCAAAGACCAGGTCGATGAAGGGGACCACCTCGGTCATCTCTAGAATCATTACGAAGCCGTCCGGCCGCAGGGCCTGGCGCACATTCGAGGCCGAGACAACCAGGTTGTGCGTGGCATGGATGGCATTGCTGGCAAGTACCAGGTGCTGGCCCCTCAACTCCTCGGCCGGCGACTTCTCGATGTCATGCACTGCGAACCGCATGAAGGGATACATCTTCCCGAACCGCCGACGAGCATTGGCGACCAGCGACGGCGACAGGTCAGTAAAAGTGTACTCGACCCGCATGATGCCGCGCGCTTCGAGCGATGCCAACAGCGGCGCCATGACGAGCGTGGTGCCTCCCGTGCCGGCGCCCATCTCGAGCACCTTGAACGTCTCGCCCGTGCCGCCGCGGCTTTGGATGCGCTCCGCCAGGCCCTCCACCACGTCGCTCATCTGCCGGTAGCTCATGCGGTTGAACGGGTGCTCGCAGTACATGGCCGCCGTCACCTCGCGGCCCTCGGGGCTGCCGAAGAGCACGCGGATGCCGTCCGTCTTGCCGCTGAGCACCCCCGCCAGCTGCTTGCCCGCGTGGTAGGCGAGCCGGTTGGCCACGGCGAACTCGGGCTGGCTGGTCAGCAGGTCCTCGAGGATGGCCTGGCTCGTCTTGCGCGGCGCCGCCACGTGCGTGCGCGTCAGCTGGCCGCTCGCGACGTCGATGTCGATGAGCCGCGCGTCGCGCTCGAGGAACTCGTACACGCACTGCATCAGGCGGCCGTGCTGCGGGAGGAACGGCACCCGTTCGAGTGGCTGGCCCGCCGCGGCGGTGCCGATGGGGCAGCCTAGCTCGTCGAGGGCCTCCACCACCAGCGCCGCACAGAGACGGTTGCTGCCCGCAAGGAGGGTCCTTTCCGTCTTGTCGATCTCGTATTCCCGCATGAGGCTGTCGGTGGCCATCTTCACCTCGCCGAAGGCTGCGAGCACGTCGGCGGGCGATAGTACCAGGTTGCTCACGGCTGGCGGCGCCGTTGGTGCGTTTAGGGGCTTTAGGTTGCCTGGCACGGGCCCGGCCTTCTGGGCTTTCTCCGGCGGGGGGGTGTAGCTGCTCGAATCCGGCGTCTGCAAACCAGAGGACTCTTTGCTTCCGTCTTCTTGGCTTGGCTCCGACCATGTCCCTCCTTCACCAGTGGAGGATGAATCATCATCGTCTTCGTCTTCAGCTTCACTGGCTTCGTCCTCCACCTCAGCGGGCTGATCAGTACCAAAGAGAGCCTTGGCCACAACCGCCACAAACTTGCGCAGACTCGTGGCCTCCATCTGTTCGGCCTGGTCCAGCTTGCACTTGAACGTCAACTCGACTTCCCGGCCCAGCTCCATTCCCATCAGGGAATCGATACCAAAGTCGGCCATTTCCGAGTCGAGCCCGATCTCGCTGGCTTCAATGCCGGACACGTGAGCCACAAGGTTGCGCACCTCTTCGGTAATGTCTCGCCATCCGGAATCCTTTTGTGTCTTTTTGGGCTTGGCCTCCTTCTTTTCGGTCTTCTTGCTCCGCTTCTTGGAGTTACGGCTCGCCTCGACAACAGCCATGGCGGGGGCCGGAGCGGTAGCTGGAGGGGAAGAATTCGTCGCCGGCAGCTGCGGTAACGATGCCTTGGTCCGCACCACCGTTTCATCCGTAGTCATGCGCGCCAGCATCCGGCTCATCGAGGCCTTGGCCACCCGCCCATACTGCAGGCCCAACATGACCTCAACGAGCGACCCGGTCGCGGCATCAAACACAAACAGATCCGTCGTGTACGCCTTGTCGCTCTGGCGCGCATGGCGGCCATACACATGCCACACATCCCCCTCACCCCGCGCCGTGGCCCGCGGCGCGCGCATCGTCACCTCACACCCCGTCGCGATGTACATATCCCCCGGCGGTACATCCGTCATCAAATTCACCCACAACCCACCCACCTGGCTGAAACTGTCACTCAACGCGACATCCAACCACGTATCCCCACGGTGCCGCGCGGGCAGCTGCACATGGCCGGCACACTCGTTGCCGCGGCCCACCAGGTAGCGCACGCCACGGTACACCTCACCATACTCAACCACCGGATCAAACGCCCGGTACACCCCACGACCCTGCAGCACCTCCACCCCCTCCACATCCAGCCCCAACCCAAGCAACTCGCGACACCGCCCATGACTAACCAGCCGCTCAAACTGCGCAAACTCACGCAGATAATCCGCATCGCCCGCCGCGCGCAGCCGCAGCCGCGCCTCGGCGTGCGTCTGCGGGTTATGGGCATCGCCGCCGCCGTTGGCGACGCTGAGGAAATGCGCGCTCCACTGCGTGCGCTTCTTGTACAGCGCCGTCAGCTCCAGGTAGACGGTGCGCGAGGGGTCGACGCAGATGGGCGTGTGGTTGACCAGGTCGCGGATCTCGGGCTGCAGACCGTTTTCCTGGGCGTCCGCGTGCAGACTGAACAGCGCCTCGATCATCATGTCGCATTCGAGCGTGCCCGGGCAGATGGGCGCGGTTTGGGCGATCACGTGGCTGAGCACGTAGGTGTTGTACTGGGCGGACTCGGTGTTGATGCGGAAGCGCGCCGTTTTGTTGGTCGGCGCGTCTTGGTAGCCGACGAAGGTCCATAGGGGGAGGGTTTTGGGGTCGATGGTTTGGTTCTGGGGCAGTTGGTGCGGTGTTCCTGCCGCTACGAGTGCCTTTACGGCTTTGTCGATCACCTTCTGGGGTGACTTCATCTCGAGCCAGTGTCGCGAGGAGGGGGATGTGTCGAATTGGTAGGGGGGTAGGAGCAGCTGCGCGTATTCGAGCGTCTGCAGGGCGTGGTGGGCCCAGAAGGCGACGCGCAGACCTTGCTTCCACAGGGCGACCGTGGCGTCGGTCAGCCCGTCGAAGCCCGTCGCGGTGGTGATGGAGACGGCTTGGAAATGATGGGCGTCCGGAGGGGAGGTCTGGCTCTGAGCGAGCGCCCTGCTTGCCATGACGGTGATGGTCGAGTTGGAGCCCGCTTCGAGAAAGATGGCTTGCGGGTGTTGCTTGGCCAGCCGCTGCACGGCGTGGTTGAAGAATACGGGCTCCCGCATGTGGCGAGGCACGAATGTCCAGTCCATCGAGGCCGCGTCAAAGGGCGTTTCCGTTGCCCGTTCCACGGGGGATGGTGGGTGGGTGGAACGTCAGCTCCTTTCCGACCTGTCCCAGGGAATCCACCAGTTTCTCGACAAGGGCGGAGTGGAAGGCGTTCGTCACGTTCAGCCGCTTGCTCCTGATGGCTTTGAACTTGGCGTCAGCCGACATGGTCGCCTGCACCGCATCCACCGCGCTGGTCGATCCGGCGAGGGTAAAGCTGCGCGGTCCGTTGTAACAAGCAATGCCGGCCGACCCATCCGAGCTGCGGTTCGCTTCCTGCAACAGCTCACGGACGAGGCCTTCGTCGGCCTCAACAGCCATCATGGCACCCGGATCGGGACCCCACGAATCACGCACCAGTCTGGCCCTGGCCGCCACAAGCTTGATGGTATCCTCCAGGCTAAGCACGCCGGCCACGCACAGCGCCGTGATCTCGCCGAAGCTGTGGCCCACAACGGCGGCCACCTTGCCTTGCAGCCCGCAGTCCATCCAGCTCTTCGCAGAGGCATACTGCATAGCAAACAGCATCGTCTGCAGCTTGACCGTGTCTTGTACCGGCTCCCGCTCAAAGATGCCCGGGTAGATGCTGTCGAGGCCGAGCGCCGTCACGGCGGCATCGCACTCGTCCAGGTGCCGCCGCAGTACGGCCGCGCTGTCGAACAGCGCCCTGTCCAGCCCCACGAACAGCGACACCTGCCCGCCAAAGCACAGCACCACGGGCCGCTCGGCCCTGACCGGCTCGATGCCCACCAGCGCCGCGGCCTCCTTCCCAGCCGCTCCGGCCGCCTGCGCCAGCTTCTCTTGCAGCTCGGCCACCGACCGGCTGCTGAACACGAACCCCTGCGCTAGGCCGCGGTTGGACTGCCGGTTCATGCTAAAGGAGATGTCGGCGAGTGTGGGAATGTCCTGGGGAGACGACGGGAGGTAGCGGATCAGCTTAGCCGCGTAGGCGGAAATTGCCCGGGCGTCGAGCCCCGCGATCCAGAACGGATACCGCCGCCCCTCGGGGTGTTGATGGGCGCCACGCGTCGGTGCGCGCAGGGCCGGGGGCGGCTGCGCGACGATCAGGCTGGCATTGGAGCCGCAGGCGCCGTAGTTGTTGAGGAGGGCGATCTTGTGCGGGTCGGCCCAGGGGCGCAGCTGTGTCACCACCTCCATCATGTCGTCCGGCCGCACCGCGATGTTGTGGCTCATCTTGGTGAAGCTGGCCTGCGGCGGGATGAAGCCGCCGCGCATCATCATGATCACCTTGATCAGCGCGATGGCCCCCGACGCACCCTCCGTGTGCCCGATGTGGCCCTTGACCGACCCGATCGGCAGCGGCTTGGTGCGTCCCACGCGCGGCCCGCCCAGCGCCGTGCGGATGCTCTCGTACTCGGCCGGGTCGCCCACGGGCGTGCCCGTGCCGTGCGCTTCGACCAGCGAGATGTCGCGCGGTGCGACCCCGGCCTGCCGCATCACGTCGGAGAAGAGCATCGAGAGGGAGGGGGAGTTGGGCACGAACAGGGGGGTGCTGTTCTGGTTTTGGTAGACGGCCGTGCTGGGGATGGTTGCCAGCACGGGGTTGCCGTCGCGCACGGCGTCGGACAGCTTCTTCAAAAACACAAAGGCCATGCCCTCGGCGCGGCAGTAGCCGTCGGCGGCGTCGTCAAAGGGCTTGCACTGGCCCGTCGGGCTGACGAAGCTGCCCGCGCTGAGGTTCTGGAACCAAAGCATGCTGGTGATGGTGTTGGCGCCGCCGGCCAGCGCCGCCGTGCACTCGCCCGAGAGCAGGTTGCGGCAGGCCGTGTGGATGGCCACGGCCGAAGACGAGCAGGCCGTGTCGAAGGTCATGGACGGGCCCGTCCACCCAAAATAGTGCGACACCCGGCCCGTGATGAAGCTGCGCAGCGCCCCCGTCGCCGTGAAGGCGCTCGGCTCGTGGCACGTGCTGTTGTGGTCGTAGTCCATACCGCACACCCCCAGGTACACGCCCACGTGCTTCTTGTCGCGGCCCTCGGGCGCGGCGGTTGTTTCGGTGAAGTAGCCGGACTGCTCGACCGCCTGGTAGGCGGCCTGCATGGCCAGGCGGCTCTGCGGGTCCATGGCGGCCGACTCGCGCGGGCTGCGCTTGAAGAAGCGGTGGTCGAACGCGTCCGAGTCCCGGATGAAGCAGCCGTAGTACTTGTGGTTGGGGTCGCTGTCCGCGGCGGCCCGGAAGAGCATGTCGTGCATGAGCCGCTCCCGCGTCACGGGCTCGTGCTGGGACCGGCCCGTCTTGAGCATCTCCACGAATTCGTCCAGGTCGTCGGCGCCGGCTGTCTTGATGGACATGCCGACGACGGCGATGGCGTCTTTGTCGTTCTCGAGGATTTTCGGCGGGGTTGTATCTTGCTGCTGTTGTGGCTGTGGTTGGGTTTCAATGACTGCCCTGGGAGGAGACTGCGGAGCTGGGGGGATGCCGTTGTCCGCCAGGTCCTCGTAGTGCACTTGGTGAGGTCCGAGACTGCGCATCAGCGTCGGTGGCACACTACGCTCCAGGCCCAAGGTGACTACAAAGGGCTCCCTGCCTTCCGTAGCACCCTTAAACGTCCCATACCAGTTGCACTGGTTCACTAAGATGGCGCGGATCACCATCTCGGTCATATTACCGCGATCCCGCGACACAGGCCTGCCTTCAGCCTCGTTGTTGTAGGTCGGCAACGCGAGAGAGGCGGCGTCAGCATATTGCAGATCCTCGAATGACTTGCACAGGTCCACGAGTAGATCAGTGTTGTTCTTCCTTTCCGAGTCGGGGCTGTGGATGCGGCCCTTGATCCCAATCTCGGCCACCGTGACATCAGCAGCCCGGAGCCGGTTCACGAGGCTGGGAGCCGTGCGTCGGGTTGTGGTCACGGTGGCGCGGGCCTCGTCGTAAAGCACGGCGAAGTAGGCGTTTGGGTTCAGGTCCTTGACTATGCGCGCAGCCTCCTCTCCCGGCTTCTGGCCGCGCCATGCTATGGCATAGGACACGGAGCCGCCGTCGCGGGTCGCCTTGTCGCGCGCCTCTTGGCCATCGATGAGCGCACCGGCCATCATGGCTAGCCGCACCGCTACGGCGCCATATTTTTGGAACTCTTGTCGATTACCGGCGCTAGCCACAGCCACGGCGGCTAGTAGCCCGGCACAGAAGCCCAAAGTCTCGACCTTGGCTCCCCGGCTGGGTCTGGCGGGTGACCACGTCCGCTTGTAAGTCCGCCGAGTCCTCTAAGTGGTCCGGTCGTGTGAGCTCGAGGTAGCGCCAGTACTGGGTGAGCTGTATGAGTACCACCAAGGGGCCGACGACGATGCTGGGGAGGGTGGCATCGTCCTGCGTCACGTCGCCTGCGCCGTGCCGGAACCATGTGTCGAGATCAGTTAGTTGACGGCGGCCCGGAATTGCGTTCCCTATGTTGGGTATCTTGACCGCCAGGGCATCCCAGTATGTTGGCAGACCAGCAACGGTATCTAGGATCCAGTCCCTGTGGGCGCTAGCCGCGAGTGGCCGGACGAGCTTGTCCATGGACTGCTTGGTGAAAGTGCCGACATGGGGGGCAAAGAGGAAAATGCTGGATTTGCGGGAGGCATAATCGAGGTCGGCTACGGAAATCATGGTAGCTTAGGGAGCCAGCAGAGGCCGGGTATTCTGTTGAAAGAAACGCACAGGGGGCCGGCTAGTGGTGGTGGGTATTTGGGCTTTGTTGCTGCTGACTTCAGAAACCAGGGGGCTATTAATTTTTCTAGGGAACCGCACGCCGATATGAGCACTAAACATATACGGGATGTGTTATGTACCCGGGCAATGAGCCGCAACTTTCGCTTCCCCGTGTAAACACCCACACCCATGGTTGGGGGCTCGGGTAAGCCCCTGGGCTAGCCCAATCCAACACCGTCGCGTCTGCGTGGCGGTCTTTCGGACTTACCTAAGCTGTCAGTCCGAAAGTCCGAACCAGGGCTATCAAGCCATGGTGCTCACCAGGACTGGGAGATGCTGAGCTTATCTCGCAGGAAGCTATCTCCTGCAGTGAGTGTTCTCAAACGGAGAAGAGGGGTGGCTGATTCATCCAGTCACGATTACCTACATTGTGATCAGGGTGGGAAAGGTCTCTGAGACAACGCCGTTTCCGCTACACGCGACGCGGAACGGGGCAACAGGAGATGGGAGTCGTCTGAGGGTAGGTAGGTCATCGACCTGGTGGTATTAGATACTCGTCGTAGTTAACGAGCAGTAAAATGGAGTTAATACACCGCTTCAATCCCTCGTTCAAGTCCTTCCGTGGTAGCTTCAAGGGAGTTCGCTAAACCTTATTAAATATTAGCCGCGCACCGGGATGGCACTCTCTCTCCGTTCTATTCTGGCGAGGGAGCCTGGGAGATACATTTCTTAACGCTTAGACACATCTACACGTACAACGATGCCGGGACCAGACAGAACCCTTATTGTCCCTACAATTCACCCGCCCTTCGTTTCCCGTATTCCTTCTTTGCATCAGCCACCATCCCATCCACATCAAAGTCCCAAATCTTCCTCGCCCGCCGCTCAAACTCGGCCTTAATCTTGGCACTGTCCCTCCCCGTATCCGGATACCGCCATTGGTAAATATTCCCCATATCCCGCGAGCTCTGCACCAACCAGTGCGTACGCTCCATCCTGACGGTACTGAACGTCTTCAGAGCAGCCGTCAGTGCCGGCGGCCCAGCCCCAGCCCCAGCCTCGTTCTGGTCCCGGACCTGCGCCAGCAGCTCCACCAGCACGAGGGCGTCCTCGATACCCATGCCGGCACCGACGCCGTGAAACGGGCTGCTGGCGTGGGCGGCGTCGCCGGCGATGCACACGCGGCCGGCGGCGTAGATCGGCGCCGGGTGGTCGGCCATGTCGAACACGCCGTACATGTCCAGCTTCTCGGGCAGCAGGCTCACGGCCTCGACGATGTGCGGGCCCCAGCTCTGGAACGCGCGCGCGACTTGGTCCCGTGTGCTGGGCGCGGTCATGGTGTGCGGGTCTGCCCACTCGTCCGCGTCGTGGATCGCGAAGAGCATGTAGCCGAGGGTTCCGTTGTTTACCTGGTAGTGGAGCGGGGATATGACCTTGGGTTAGCTGGTTGTTTTTTCTTTGGGCGTGGTGGTTGGAAAAGGGGGCGGGACACACGGGGAAGGATAGGGTATGGGCATTTGGGCCCAGGTGCATGATGTAGTCGTGGGCTTTGTCGACGCCCAGGGCGTTGGCTACCGCGTTAATGGGCGCGAGACCACGGAAGATCTTCTTGTGCGAGTAGGTGGGGTGTGAGGCTGGATGGTCAGCACCCAGGAGAAGCTTGCGGGTGGTCGAGTGGATGCCGTCGCAGCCGATGACTGGCAGAACATGTTGGTTAACACCAGAATTAGGACACAACACAGCCCGTGAGATGTAAAACTAACCAACATCAGCCTCGGCCCTGCTCCCATCAGCAAACCGCAGCACAACCTTGTCGCTCTTCTCCTCGTCAATGTACTCCACGAGCCGCTTTCCAAACTGCGTGACGCCTTCTGGCAGCAACGCCACCATCTCGAGCAGGAAATGCGATCGTAAGCAAGACCAAAACGCCAGATCCCGCTCCGGGACGTCAAAAAGTAACGCTCCTTCCTTTAGCTCGGACGACTCCTTGGTTCGTGGGTTGAAGCCATCCCAGTAGCGAACCGTATCATGGGGGTTCTGTTGAGTTACCCGGGCTAGAGCATCGAGCACGCGAGGGTCCATCCGCTGCATACATTCCCGCGCAACTCTGGGGAAGCCTATCCCCGCCCCGAGTTCTTGAAATTTGGCGCCACGTTCGTAGACGGTCACCCGGATTCCGCGGTGTACAAGCCCGAGTGCCGCGATAACGCCGACGAGGCCACCTCCCACGATTGCGACATCCAAGGGGGGGCGCAGGGCGCCATCTTCGTTGCCTAGCGCGTTCCGTGGTTCGTTTACAACGTCTCCCATGGCTGTTGACCGAGAGTCGAGCGCGGCGAAGGTTCGATGGAGGATGGCGGCGGCGGAGTTAGTTTGTGACAAAATCTACCATATGTTCCCAACAATACAAATATGATTCCCTGACCATCTCTGGCTGCGAACATGGCATTTTAGAGCCATGAGAAGCGGTCTCGTCGTTGTCCCGTGGCGACGGTCCACGGTGGCTACCGTTTGCGATGCCGATGGTTGCAAGGGAGCGAAAGGAAGCTTGGTATCCGATTCCGCCCCCTGCCGGAGTTTGATTCCTCCGCCCAAGTACCTACGCTTGTGGCGGGAATATGGGCCTTGCCGACTCGGCACGCGGGCCACGGCCCCCAACGGCAGCACGGACGGGATGGGCCGGAATCCTCGGACAGGCCACTGTTGCGAGTGCCGATAGGAGTACCCAGTAATGGGCTAACGGTGAACACGCCACAAATCGGTGCTATATTATGCTTAAATGCCCTCATTAATAAGCACAATCGAGACCTCTTAGTCAGCTCTGGTCCAAGCCATCCACACAACGGACCAACCCTCAGCCGCACACGGGTGCACAGCATATGCACCTATGCTGTCAACCCTCCCAACCGTCTTTGTGGTTCCCAAGACGCATCTCTGGCCGACTACAGTGTAACCACCCTCACTGTCCCGAACTCTCTTATCTGATTTCTTTGGGACACCAGCGCGAGCATATGGAGCCGCACCGAACCACCCCCTGGCCTGCTCATGCCGTTTGGGGCGGTGGGTAGCCTAGTTGAGCTCTGTCTTAAGCTGTTGGAAGGCCACTTGTAGGTTGTAGTATGGAGTTGAAGTAATACAGCATAGCATGCATGCAGCATTGGTGGAATACGTGATAATTAGGTCGGTAGCTTCCATGCCCGCACATGGTATACCTTGCGGGATTCGGGATTGAGGAATAAACATTCTTTACCACTTCCGCAGAGTCAAAGCTGTGGAAAAGGGGATGCCGTGATGATAGACGGATTGTGATGGATTGGACTGGACATAGACATCGGGTTTCGGCTTTCGATGTGTCTCAAACACCCGGTTCTTGGTAACTGTGGTAAGTTAATTAGAACGGATTCCGGCTCAATTGTCCGACCGGAGTCCGCCACTCTGTTCGTGAAATTGCAGTGTCTTGAAACGAGTCTGGCGGCGCGATAGACAGGCCGGAAGATCAAGGGCCACATCTAGGACATCATGGAACAGATCATATACTTAGGTTTGTAAAGTCGCCGAGGGAATATAACTATGTGCTTGTTAACCACAAATTGTGCTTCTCGGAAGAGGCTTTCGAGGTGTTATGTGAACTGCCGACCTCAACTTGTAACACTGTTGAACTCTAATCAAGGACCTGGACCATACCTACCTACTTACTTACCGACCTACCTAGATAACACTGCTTGTGTTCTTTGCGGTAATGGCCGCGACAACCTCCCCAACACGGTCACTAGACAAGGGAGAGAAGGAGACCGATAGCACACCGTCGCCTGACCAATTATCAACCCCTTCTCTACAAGGCTCAAAACAAGATGATGCCGAGGCGAGCACTCCCACCGACGAGGAAGAATACAAGCATGAGTATCCTGAAGGCTTCAGACTCACCTACATCCTGACGGCCGTTGTCCTGGCCTACTTCCTGGTGTATCTCGATCTCGCCATCATGTCCACAGCAACCCCTTCCATCACATCGGAATTTGACGCCCTAGTGGATATCGGTTGGTACGGCGGCGCCTACCAGCTTGCCAGCGCAGCCTTCCAGCCGTTGAGCGGCAAGATCTACACTTACTTCTCCATCAAGGCAAGACATGAATAATCAAAGCCCGCGGCTTCCCCTTTCCACATTGAACTGTGACATCTAACGCCCCATGACCCAGTGGTGTTTTCTCGTTTTCTTCCTCATCTTCGAGGTGGGATCGGCACTCTGCGGAGCAGCCCAGTCGTCTGTCATGTTCATCATCGGTCGGGCTATCGCCGGCCTGGGGTCTTCGGGCATCGCCACTGGCGCCCTCAGTACCATCGCCGCCGCACTACCAACCCGGAGACAGCCGCTTTTTATGGGAGTGAACCTTGGCCTGAGCCAGTTAGGGTTGGCGACGGGCCCTATCATCGGAGGCGCCTTTAGCACGAATGTCTCTTGGCGGTGGTGTAAGTCATGTTGTTTTCGCTTCACTCCCCTACACTACCTACTTGCTTCGGCCTTAATTACAACTAACTGGGCCGTTGGTTAATATCCAGGCTTCTACATCAACCTTCCCCTTGGTGCTGTTGTTGCCGGGTGCCTCCTCTTCCAAGACGTCCCCGAGCCCAAACGTAAGCCTCCTGTGCGGCAGGTTCTCGCCACTGCCATCAAATCCTTGGATTTGGTGGGATTTGCCCTTATTTGCCCGGCCGCCATCATGTTCTTCCTCGGACTTCAGTTCGGCGGAAATCGACACCCCTGGAACAGCTCAACCGTCATTGGTCTTCTAGTCGGGGCTGCGGTGACCCTCGTTGTCTTTTTGTTTTGGGAGTACCGCCAGGGAGATGAAGCCATGGTACCGTTCGCAATGCTCAGACATCGTGTCATTTGGTCTGCAGCGATGACTTTATTTTTCGTTCTCTCCAGCATTCTTGTTGCCGACTACTATCTCGCCATCTATTTTCAAGTGGTTCTCGACGACTCCCCCCTGATGAGCGGTGTCCACATGTTGCCAGTCACGCTCGGATTGGTTTTCTTCACCATGATCTCCGGCAGCATGAGTAAGTGGTTCCCGGCTTACATATGGCGGCATCCTCCCGTCTCCTTCCCGCGTGAGCTCGTTTTCTTGGCTGACTTGGTGTGTGTGGCGAAACACAGTTGAAGTGTTTGGTTACTACCTTCCATGGATCCTGCTGGGCGGCACGTTAGCCACCGTCGGATACGGAGTCCTGTCCCTCTTAACTCCGACTGCTTCCGTTGGGGCCTGGATTGGCTATCAGCTTCTTTACGGCATTGGCAGCGGCACAGTGTCCGCCGGTGTGAGTCTTCGCTGCCCCACCGCCAGAAACATGCGCAATTCACCTGTTAACTAACTCGCTTACCATAGCCCTATATAGCAGTCCAGAACCTTGTCCCCCCGGCACAGATACCCATTGCTATGTCCATCATTATTTTCTCCATGAATATCGGCGCGGCAGCATCCCTGATTGGCGCGAATGCCATATTCAGCAACAGCCTCCGCCATGAGCTTCAGAAACGGGTGGCCGCAATCGGTGTTTCCCCCGACCTTATTGTTGACGCAGGGGTTGACTCGGTTCGTTCGCTTGTGTCAGGCCCCGCGCTAGCTGCCGCACTAGAGGCGTACTGCAAAGCTATCGGCCATGTCATGTATCTCGGAATTGGCACCAGCGCCTGCATTATAGTGTTTGCCTGGGGCCTGGGGTGGAAGGATGTCCGGAAAGTGAAGAAACTCAACGCTATCACTGCGGAGAAGCCACAAGAGGCCCCTGGTCTCGACACCAAGCGGGGTGAATTAAACGATGAAAATAGTTGAACCGGTAGGATTTAGCCAAGTCTTCTATCGTGGGAAGGTTGCGGGATGGTGGGGGCGGTGGGGAAAGGGGGTTGTCGTGTCGAGTACTCGGTGCTCATATTCGTACTCAGGAGATACCACCCAGCAATGCCAGATCAAGAAGTGACAGGGGATATTGATGAACACACATGGAATGATATAATTAGAGGAGAAATGTTCTAGGAGTACTGATATGTTTACTAGGCACCTAGGTACCCAAGAACTACATGCTGAAGGACGTGTTATTTTTTCTGTTACCCTTTCCCTCTTCAGATTGACTTAACATGTGTCGAGCTGGATATGCGACCCCTTTCGAGGCCAGGATTCCCTCCATCCCTGCGAGTCTTCGGAGCCCCGCTTGCAACTTATACCCCAATGAATCAGCAACATATTATACTAAGCTCACATCAGCCTAGCGAATGGTACCTAGTCCCACTTATTAAACATTGGGGGGGTAACCTTGCTTGCGGAGGTGGTCTCTGCGGGAGTGACGGCACGGGGTTGCCTAACCTCGCTGGCACTACGGGCCCGAGTTCCCGAATCATGATTATTTACAATACGCGGTATATACGCAGTACAGACGCAGTAAGCACCGGCGGGATACAACTCGCCGAGACCAAAAAGCTTCGCCAAAATCCGTCAACAGCACCAGAGCCAATCATTGCCAGCGCCACCAGATGTGAAGCGAGTGGACCTGTGCCGTGATCGGCCAAGACGGGTGGGAAATGCGCCATGTCTTGGTGAATCTTCTTGTCCAAAACTCTAATTTCACCCAATCGAATACCCTCTTCCCGGGAATCGGCTTGGCTGAGTTCGGGGCCGGCTCTTGTGTGAGCCGGGGGAGACACCGCGTAGTCAACCACGCTGTTCATTGGGGGGGTTTATTGCCCCGAGAGGCTGCTAAACGAATGCTTTGACACGCCATCCGAAGTGGGGGTGGCTGGCTGACAGCCGAAACCGCTCTGCGTACATGAAAGGATGTTGGAAACAGACTCTGGTTGGCCGTCCGGTTTTTGCCGTCCCTGCCGACGGACAGATAGGTTTCCGTTGGAGGACCAAACGCAACCTTCTATCTTGAATCCTACCGGCGCACCGTATCCCCAAAGGGGGCATCAGTCTCCGAAGGGAGCAGTGAGCGACGTATTCCGGCTGGAGGGAACCGAGAGGCCAGCCAGGGCCCGAGAACCAGGTGTGCGATCACACCACCATGCCTCCTTTTCTTCGTTTCCAGTAAATCCAGGCTCCTTGGCAACGCTCGGTGAATCATCTTGAGAGCCGCCCCAACGCCATAAACAGGGGTTGGGGGGGAAAATAGCCTGTGACCGCAGCTGCAGATCACTGCCCACTCCACTCCCCCCCTCCCCCCCTTCCCCCCCTACCCCCACTACCCCCGGTTTCAACCGTATTCACGTTCGTTAAGGTAGGAAGGTATGCAACCGTAAAATGTAGAGCTGGTTTCTGTTTCGACAAGGCGCTGTGACCCCTACAAGGATATATGCACTGTGCTGCTAGTCTGTCTGTGAGTCTGCGGCGAAGGCTAGGCGATTGGGGTCCAGGATGCCTTGATATCAGAAACCAGACACTGGTCTTATACTCGCCTCCCCTGCCCTTTATCTACGGTGGATACGCCGTCACAGGCAGCTTCATCTTGGGCTTCGTAAGGTTTCAACACCGCCTTGCCATCGTCGCTAACATGGAAGGGAGAGGACTCCGGCAGCAGCCCGGCTTCGCGTGCGAGGAATGCCGGCGACGAAAAGCCCGGTGCGACCGGGGGCGTCCCAAGTGCGGCTTCTGCACCGAAACTGGGACAACATGTGTGATTGTTGACAAGAGGCAACAGAGGGGGCCAAAAAAGGGGCAACTGAATGCGATGCGATCGCAAATCGGTTCGTTCATTTCCGTTCTTGCCATGCGAATGGTGGCGTTTGTGTGCTCCCACCCCTTTTCTAACCACCCCTTTGCTTTACTACTGGCTCTCTCGATGTCGGTGTTTCACATCTTAATCGCCAATCGTACCTCGTGCCTACCGTATGCAGGAAACCGTTGCCAACCTTTTTAATCTCTGTAGCGGCGCTTCAATGGCAACTAGAGCAGCAATTTGGATCCGACTCCGGCGGCGGGCCGATAATACCGAAGCAAACTACCCCCGAGGAGGAACCGAATCCCCCACGAGCCGAAAACCATGCCGTGTCTATGGACTATGAGGTTACCCACAAGGTCGCGTTGGATGGAGAGCCAAACGGCCCAAACCTTATTCTCAGCAGTGTAACGTCGGCGGCCCCGAGTACAACTACAACAACGACATCATCATCATCAATAACCTCGACAGGTGCCAGTTCCGAGCCCACGAGCGCCATTGTTGACCTCGCTGTATGGGCACATTGTATGGATTGGCAAGACCTCGATTGTGTCTTGTTGCCGCCCGACGCACCGGAAACCATACTCATGGACCACTCGGATCGTGTCGATGCAGGTCCCGGATCGATGACTGCGCCGTCCGAGCTGACGGACCTCATGCGAGTTGACCTGTGCGGTAACCTCACGCTTTCAGCCGCATTGGACAACCTCTGCTAACAGCTTCGATTCAGGGACCAACTTTATTTTGACCGGGTGCATCCAGTATGCCCCATCATCCACCGGCGTCGTTATTTTGCCTGGGCGGCCGAGGAAAATCCCGGACCAGCCCGGGCCTGTCTACGATCTGCTATGCGTACCATGGCGGCGGCCATGTCGGCGCACTGGGGTGATCTCGTCGACCGCCTCTGCGCCGAGACGCGCCATCTGCTCGAAAGTCATAGCCAGACACGAGTCACATCCAAAGACGAAATCCCCCTCGAACACATCCAGGCGTGGTTACTCCTAGCCTACGCTGAGCTCTTACGATTTGGCGAACACCAGGCCATGCTCACGGCCGGCCGTGCATTCCGGCTCGTGCAAATGGCGCGCTTATACGATGCCGATGCCCACGATGACGCGCAGACTTCTCCCGGGGGTACGAATCACGAGCCGGACGAGGGTTTTATAAACAGCGAAGAGAGGAGACGAACGTTTTGGTTGGCCTTTAGTTTTGACCGTTTTCTCTGCCTGCGGAGCGAGTGGCCGTTGACTTTGCAGGAGGAGATGGTAAGCACCGTGGACATCACACACCTTTCATTACATGTACGATCGATTGCTAACCACCACGTCAAGATACGCACGCGGCTGCCAGCACCCGAGGCAAACTTCCAAAACGGCCAACCCATCTACGTCAGTTTTCTTCCCGCAGCCACGGCACAAAACGAGCCGAGCACTTTATCACCCTTTGCCGAATGCACCGTTCTGGCGGCGCTATACGGACGCTGCATGGCCCACCGCCGGGCCTCCGTAAAAGAAAGCGGCACCAAACCCCCCTACGACTTCTGGACCCATCAAGAGTGGCTCGCATCGGCCGTCGAAAAGCGAATCCAGATGCTAGCACCCTGCGCGGCGGTCGACAACGAGCCCATGCTCCTGTTCGCGCACATACTGGCGCAGAGCGCCGTCGTGTTCCTCAGCAACACGGTGCAGCGGGCCTCGTGGCACACGCTCGAGCCGCAGGTGGTGGCGGCCGCCTACGAACGCCGGGCCGCGGTGGCCGCGCTGGAGATTGTGCGTCTGGCCCGGGCGGTCCCCTCGCTCAGCTGCTTCAAGGTTCACCCCTTCTTGCCTGATGCGCTCACATCCGCGGCCGTGTTTCTGTCAGCGCGCTGCAACTCGGTGGTGGGTGCCAGCGGGGGGGTGGAGCAGATACGCCGGGTGTTGAGAGATGTGCAGGTGATCAACAGTTTAGCACGCGAACATTATGAATCATTAAAATTGGCTAGGCATGGATAGACTACAGGGAGTTACTAAAGGGAGTTTTTAGATAGACTGGACTTCGTATGTATTCGTACGTGTACCTAGTTGCCCCGTTGGATGCACTGTGTCACGACGGGGTTTATAAACTCTTTTACCACTTTACATTCGGGTGACATGAATAGATGGTGATGGCCCAAAATTGGCCTCGTGGCAGTGGCAAGCGCTCTCCTGGTTTAACTAACTAACTTATCCTGAACTAACGTATCCTAAATTAGCTTATCCGCTCCCATATGATGACGGGGCGGGCCGAGGTGTCACAGGCGTCACGCGTGTAACTAGACTTTGTCCCTTTGATCAAGCGCCACCAGCAGTAGCTCCGTGAAACCACATTTTAGATCTTTGAACTCCCTCACAAATGTCCCTCTTCCCGTCTGGTCAATAATCCACGCTTTGTTTTGTCCCAATGCCCACAAAGTTCCCCCCTCCCCATCTGACATCACCCTCCCACCGAGGTTGCATCGGGCGCTAGGGTGGGGGGCGGGCAAAGCGAGACGGAATCCGACGGACGGAAACGGATTCCGTGCATGACGCGGAATGTCTCTCCGCGGCCCCCCGAGTACCTCTTTTCCATGCGGCCGGAATCCGAGCCCCGGCCACGGACATGGTCGCACCGACGGGACTTCGCCTATGCTTCCGTCTATTTCCGAGCTTCTCGTAATCACAGGCTTACGGAAGTAGGTACTTACAAGTTAGGTACGGACTTCTTACCCCGGCGAGCCGCATCACACCGCCACCTCTTCTTTTCTCCTACTGGAGTCCGGACTTTCGGATCAGGCCGAGACCACCGGAGAAAAGATTTCAACAAAGCTCCACCGGAATTATCCAGCCTTGGCTTCAGTCGCAGATATGATTCCCCTGCTGGGTGACTGGCTCACTGGCTGACTGCTTGGGTAGGAGCCAAGGGTTGGATGGTTACGAGGCCTGCTAGATGTATCTTTCCAGTTGGTACCGGTGAAAAAGTGCCTGTGTATGAAATGGTTGCTGGACATATTTGTAGCTTAACGCCAGATCACTGCCCGTTGCCACATACAGGACCTAGTCAGTAGCCACCTACAACCTACCAGCAAGCCCAAATCTACCCTTGTTTGCAAAGTCTACAGCAATCGGCATTATGTCTATCCCTGAGTCCTGTACCGTGCTAGTGGTGGGAGGTGGCCCAGCTGGCTCGTACACGGCGGCAGCCCTTGCCCGCGAAGGGACCGATGTTGTTCTGCTCGAGGCCGACACCTTTCCGAGGTACCACATCGGCGAATCGATGCTTGCCTCGATGCGTCATTTCATCCGGTTTATCGATCTCGAGAAGACGTTTGACAACCATGGCTTCCGTAGAAAGGCATGTTATAGTCACTACAATGTTTACTGTGACAACGATGTACTGTCAGGTCTGGACTCTAACATCACGCTATGATTGTTAGAATGGTGCAGCATTCAAGTTGAACGATAAACGAGCGGGGTGTGAGTTAAAAGCATACAAAAGCTCACTCATTTTGGGCTGCCAGCTAATGACCTCATACAGACACCGACTTCCTTGCCGTCAACGGCCCAAATGGCTATTCCTGGAATGTGATCCGTTCCGAATCGGACAAGTTGATGTTTGACCACGCTGAAAAGAGTGGCGCCCATACCTTTCAGGGTGTCAAGGTCGATTCGGTCCAGTTCATCCCGGCTCCGGATTTCCCAGCAGATGAGAGAATCTGTAACCCAGGACAAGCAGTCTCGGCCACTTGGTCACGCAAGGCGGATGGGGCCACCGGAACGATTAAATTCGACTACATAGTCGATGCTAGCGGGCGCAACGGCATCATCTCTACCCAATATCTCAAGAACCGCAAGTTCAACCAGGCACTTAAGAACCAGGCCAACTGGGGCTACTGGAAAGGGGCCAAGACGTATGCTCCGGGCACGCATATGGAGGGCGCCCCCCTCTTCGAGGCCTTGACGGACCAGAGCGGCTGGTGCTGGGCCATCCCGCTCCATGACGATACTCTCTCCGTCGGTATCGTAATGCGGCAGGACTTGTCTCTGGCGCGCAAGAGAGGGCTGGGCTCGCCGTCTATGATTGAGTTCTATAAGCACTGTTTGACCCTGGCCCCGGAGATCGAGGCCCGACTCGCCGAAGCCGAGCTCGTTTCTCCCACCATCAAGGCCGCCTCGGACTGGTCGTACAGCGCCTCAGGATACGCGGGCCCCAACTTCCGGCTGGTCGGCGATGCGGGATGCTTCATCGACCCCTATTTCAGCTCCGGTGTGCACCTTGCGCTGGCCGGTGGCCTTTCGGCTGCCATGACCATCCAGGCCTCCATTCGAGGTGATTGCAGCGAGTTCCAAGCGGCTAAGTGCCACTCGGCCAGGGTCGGCGAGAGTTACTCGCGTTTCCTGCTGGTCGTGATGACAGCCCTGAAACAGATCCGCAGCGGTAACGAGCCAGTCCTGAGCGATTTTGACGAGGATGGTTTTGATAGGGCGTTTTCCTTTTTCCGGCCGAGTATGTTTGCCCATCCATCATCTATCCCCTAACCATAAATCCATAACAACAAAAAGAAACCGCAACTAACTCCCCACAACAACAGTCATCCAAGGCCTCGCGGACGCCGACGCCAGCGGCAAGCTAACGCAAGGCGTGATCTCGCAGTCGGTCGAGTTCTGCCTGCACGCGTTCGAGAACATCTCGTCGGAGGCGCGGCAGGGGGTGCTGGACAAGCTGGAGCGGGTCAAGGCGGACCCCAACGTGGAGACCAAGGCGGACCTGGAGAAGCTGACCGAGGACGAGCTGGCCATCCTGCGCACCATCCGTGCCCGCCAGATGCTGCGCGGCGAGGAGGCCATGGACGGCGTCAAGAGCTTCGCCCAGGACGTCATCGACGGCTGGGTGCCCAGGTTGGTGCACGGCAGTCTGGGCATGGACCGCGTCGGTGACCAGGTGGCGGCCCCCAAGTATCAGGAGAGTGTGTTCGAGTCGGGCCTGGCGGATAAGAAGCCGGCTCCTGCGCTGGAGAAGAGGCCTGAGGGGGTTGTTCAGGTGTGAGGAGGGTTGTTGTGCTGGGGCGTTGGCAAGAAATCGGATCAGTGCCGGACTCCATCGCGGTGTTTCGCGGTCAGCGAGTCACATCTCGACTGGTTAGGTAGAAAATAAACACAATCCGCAGAGAAATTTCAACACCACCAAGACCGTGATTGTGTCCACACAGCATTGCTGCCGCTGAGTGATGTGGAAGTCGAAGAGCCCACGGTTAATGTCGTTTCGGACCTGTCACGGCCCAGCGTTTGAATATCGCCCCCCAAAGCCACGGGAGAGACAGCCTTAAATCCAATACCTAATACCACAAAGAAGTTATCAGAATGGCAACAGATGCCGCAACCACTTGTCCGAGGGCCAGGGCACCGTTCCAGTCAAACCCAGCGCCCCGAGAAAGCAAAACGACGAGCCAGACTAGGCCAATACCAAAAACCCCGACCGAAGCCAAATACGGAAGTTCCAGCTTGATCCGATCCATTTGCCAACCGAACACGAAATGAAGGGCCCTGATTGGGGTTGTCTCCTTCCAAGGCTCGTTCATTGATGGTATTTCCACCGGGTCGCGTCCGCTGTCGTTACGATGTTAGTGAAATAGCATGAAGGACATAGTAGCGTGTCAAAAGGCCTTACAACTTTGAGTAGATGCAACTGCCGTGCGTCATGCCAGACAAGGTATCCAAGCCGTTTGCACTCGCGGGGTCTCGGGCGCAAGTGGTGAATAGGTAGTGCAATGGTATCCGCCGCAGACGTTCCTTGGACTTTTGTGCCAACGTGAAGGCGGAAGCAACTTTCTCGTCCGGGTATCGGGTGTCGTCACTGTCACTGTCGTAGCTTTGGTACTTCTTGATGGCCTGTTGGTAGTCCTCTTTGGTCTTCTCGATATCTACCGATGTCATCAGACCAAAGAAACGACCGTGACTGATTCTGCCATCGAACTGAAACTATCATTGCAGAGATTTCCGGTTAGTGCGCAGAATATCATCAAACATAACAGTTAGGCATTTTTGAACTCACAAGAACCTCAGTCACGCTCACCACACCGTAGAAAGGCAGCCACTTTCTCCACCTCCCAAGATGCTGGAAGCATACTTCAACCATTCCAATGTATACGGCTCGGTCGTCCTCCAGGATGGCATCCCAAGGTTGAAGTGGCATATAAATTGGTATGCCCAGTTTACTCTTGGTTTTGCGGCTCTCCGTAGAGTTGGAAGGTGTCTCGTCGGATGAAGTGTCGGAAGGGGTGTCAGAACGGGGCTTGTCGTCGGCACTCTCGACCCACCCTCACTCCGATCATTGTCCTCAAGCGCTTCGATTTCAGACATTGCACTTGAACAGCGTATTGTCCCTCTCGAGGATTATCCAAGCAGACGAAACAGACGGTGCCTGGATTGTCAAGGGGATTTTTGATACGGGTAGGAAGTGCGATAGGGAGCGACAATACTATGTCCCTGGGCAAGAACTTTGATCGTTTGAGATCAACTGCGTATCGGGCCTCGGAACTCGCCAGGATATTGGTGAGGAACAGCCCAGCGGATATGACAGGAAAGAAACAATGGGTGGTAGCCTGGGACTCGGGAGGATGGGAGAAGGACTCGCAAATAATCCAAGGAATTTGGAAATGGAAAGGTCAAAATAAAAATTAGCAATGCCTGGCTGCATGCGTGAGGCTCTGGTCAGGCAGCACCGACTAGCCAAAAAAGGCGCCCTGCTTCATGCACGTGTATCCTCAGCTCATAGTACCTGAGAGGTAGTAAATCCAGATGATCGAGGAGAGCCTCGCCCACCACAAATCAGTTCCGGACATGATAAGTCCCCACCCCCGGCAATCGCACACACCACCAATTGTTGGAAATCCAACAGCCAGAGTAGCGATACTTCTGAACAGGGCGCGCAACGTTAGTGCAAGTAAGGTCACTGATACGAGGCTTCAATCCGTGATGCAATTGTCTGACAGTCTGATTGATGTAACTGGAAGAAAGGAGATCCTCTGTGCCCTGAGAAACGCTGCATTGGGCCCAGTCTGGTGGGCCCAATAAGCCCCTGTCGTTGACCCGCCGTACCGTATCTTCAGCCACCCGTTTTGTGCAACACCAATCGCACACTTTGACCCACTTCGCACATGTGGAAGACAACTCTCCTGAACAACTTCAACATTGCCTAAATCCATATACTCGCTGACATCCTGCAATGACCCTGTAGGACGACGTCCGTTAAAGCGTCCGATGTCTCTACAAGCTCCCCAGCTTCGAACTTCGCCTTGATAATATCTACAATAGTCGCAAATTTGACGTTGGGATCCAGTTTGACCTTCCTCTTCTTCTCGGGCTTCACTCTTTCCAACTGAGCTTCAACTGCCTCAAGTTTCAGTTGCAAATTCAACACTTCCATCGTTGTCTCATCAGCAAGCTTCGCGATCTTATCAAAGCTGATCTTGACCGTGTTGTCCGTCCTGAAAATCTCGCATAGTTCAGGGCTAACTTCGTACAACAACTTAAAGATATCTTGACTGCGTCTAGGCGTCGGGACAGTCTTATATGATAGCCTAGTGATCTTCGACAGACTTTCTTGTGACCGATGGCGTCGTTTTCGAGGCGTGGAAACCTGTCTGGGTTGTCCTACGTCGACAAAGCGACTCGCGAGAGGCTTCTCGACGTTGAGGGGCCAGAGACCAGATGCCTCCCATCCAGATCTGACATTTTTGCTGTACATCAGATCTTCCCTGGCTCTAGCATAGGCGACGATGAAGTCCTGTTTGTTGAGAGGGAGTCCGTTGCGTTGAAGGATGATATCGCTCAGGTAACGGCGGTGGCTGTTCTTCAGGGGGCTGAAGACGGTAAGGTCGAGCGGCTGGAGGACGTGGGAACAGTGTGGAGGTAAAAAAAGAAGGTGAACGTTGTTGGCGTAACACTCCCACATAAACTCATCACTTTCATGACTCCCATGCCCATCAACTACCAACAACCGCCTCTTTGTTGTTGCTGTCCCAGGGATGTAAATCTCCTTCAACCAGTGAAGCGCAATATCATTGTTTGTCCATCCGTTTGGGCTTGTCGTAAACCTCCAACGTGAGATAGCATTGTAGAGGCGTGGATCGCGAGGAAACCACTGCTGCTGAACGTCCGCGCCCTCATAGATAACCAGGGGGGGGAGCGACTTACCCGCTGCCGTGATGCATTCGATGATCGTGATCCAGATCCGGTTTTCTGGACTCTTGGCGATAGCAACTCTGGTCTCCTGTCTTCCAACACATAAACCGTTTGTTCCCATACCTTCCATCACTCCAACTTCGTCCATATTCCCCCGGTGCTCGGGCAGGATGTCCTCAATAGCAGGGAGCACAAGCTTCTCAAACCAGGTCCTAATAACCTCAGTTGTTGCCCCTTCAATGCGCTTGTAGTCAACTCGCTTCACCTTCTTGGTCTTAACTTCTGGGTGGCGCTTGAAAAATCGAGGAAGCCAGCCGTTCCCGACCGTCTCTGAGGAGCCGTTTGCCTGGAGGATACGGTCGGCGAATAAGCGAATCTGGCGATGGGAAACCGGGACGCCTAAGTCCTCTTGTATCGTGATCCAGGCCGCCAGATGCTTTTCCTGGGTAGGCGAAAGCTTTTGCAATACAGTAGCTTCGTATTCGCCCTTGGGTCGGACACCCTTCTTGATCCGGGACTGAATGGTTGAGGGGGTACGCCCCACTCTTCGGCTGCCTTCCGTACGGACATGCTTCCGTTTCTGATGGCGCTGATGGCTTTTTGGAGGTTTTCTTCGGTATATTTCTTAGCCATCATAAAATCCCTAGTTCCAGCAATTAAAACGATATCGAACTTGTGAATTTTTGACCAAAATTGACTAACTAAGTTGTTGTGGTTTGACCTTGGACGGGACGAGGGATGGTTGGGCAGGAATGCGGGGCTGGAAGTGTGCGAGAGGTGGAGTGTGCGATTGCCGGGGTGAGGGACTTGAGCCACGTCTTGGCACTCGTAGGTGTTGTACAATACAACAGGAGTGACCGTGCCCGCTGCGCGCGGGCACGCCAAAGGAAGCCTGGAGGAACGGGCCGGCGCAGGTAACCCATAGCGGCATCAGAATATGGTTGGTCGATCAGTTTTAGGACGGTTGACGAATGTTGGGAAAGCAAGCAAAAGCAGTTCTTTGGTCAACCTCAAAAGCTAGTCATACAGCCGCGCCTTCTTCCCGCTGTGGATCACTTGCTTCTGGCCGGTTCCGGAGAGCTTGGTTCCTTTCTTTTCTTTGTCGGGGTCCTGCTGCTCGAAACGGGTTGAGCGTCCAATAATTCTTCTGTGTCCGAAGCATCGTTCGAGTCGTCGCCATGTAGATCAATAGTTAGGTGAGCCGTGGCTGTGTAAGGCGGTGATATATACCTGAAGATGAACTGTGGGCATCTGATCGGGATCGGCCGTGATCGAGTCTAGCTGTGCTCCAGGGCTGGGTGGTGGTTTGGTCGCTTCGCGTTCTGCGGTTTCTGGGGCAACCGGCGAGGAAGATGGATTCTGAGGCGAGGAAGATGGATTCTGAGGCGAGGAAGATGGATTCTGAGGCGAGGAAGATGGATTCTGAGGCGAGGAAGTGGGATTTTGAGCACGGCCTAGTGAAGAGAACGGGTTTCTGCTTGCGACTGCTCCGGGGCCAGGCGATCGTGGTGTCGTTGGCAAGTTGCCCACAGGGTCCGATGATTTCGGCGTGGGTGTATTGTTGGTTGACGGGGAATTCTGCCGAATGAGTTCCCAATTGTCGGCGAGAATCACCAGAATTCGAACAGTAGGATCGACTTTCCGAGAGCCTTGGATCAGTCGCGGTCTAGGACCCCCAGGAGTCGGCCACTGCACGTGATCCACGACCCCTTAGGAAAGGGGTTTGCGGCGGTCCGCATCCACCCGGCCAGAGACTTCCAGGGTTGCTGGTCGACGGGGAAGAGAACGAGGACGTGGCATATGTGTATGCCCTCGCGAGGAGGGCGGTCGTTCTCTGGCTGCAAGTAAGACCCGAGTTTGGCGAACACCGAAGTCTTGACCAGCGGCTCCGGCCAGACTCCTTGCTTGATATGGAAGGTATCTAGCTCGACGGGGCCGGCAAAGGACACATGTGCCGAAGTGGTTGGCCAGAGAGCTGTCTCGTCAGGACCACCGAGCCGGCGGGGGATGACAATTGGAAGTGTTAGCAGCCAGGTTCTGCTTCAGTGCAAAGTAATAGCGCGTACGGAGTTAAGCCGTCATCGCGCGGCAGTGCCAGTGCCACCTGTACAGACTGCGATTCGTCTGTCTCCCACCCGCTGAATCCTACGCCTTGGAATGTGAGTTTGTTTGGGAAAAGTCGGGCGACGATGCTGAACCATTTCCCTTCCCAATCTTCTTCCAGGGTTGCTATTTTCGCTTCGGTGTTGAACATGGAGAGTATCACCGGAAGTCCCGAGCCGTCTTTGTCTTCGGTACTCAGGAGGCGCGGGTAGAGCTCTTCAATACAAGCGGGTTGGATGAATGGTAGGAAGGTCCCGGCCTTGAAGTTTCCCGCGCTTGTGTAGCGGGAGCCGATTGGCAGGATCTCGCATTGGCCCAAGTCCGAGTGGTAGGTGACGATGAGGTCTGTACCGGTAATGTCTTGATGTCGCTTACTTGGCACGGGGGGTATCGGGTGAACGACAGTGGGATGAGGAGCAGACATGTCGGCAGCAATGGATTCACGGGTAGTGTGATGGTAATTCACGGGTATTGTGAGAGGGATGGCATTCGGGGAGAGAAAGGCCCTGCGTGGTCGCCACTTCTATACCATGCTGCAGGATCTCCAAGATTCGCCTTTCCGCGGCATGGGATTGCCCAGCCGCGAGGAGATCGACGCGGTATTGAAGGTCCAGAAGAAAGATGACAGCAGCGTGACGGCGAAGATCCAGGGCAAGCAATCGAATCCGTCTTCTGCGCATGCCGGCGAGCCCCACGGAAGCCCACGGTGGCCCGTCCACAGAGGCGAAATATCGCCAGAAGGGGTCGGTCCGGGCGGACGGATGTGGCTCGAGCTCGGACGTTATGCAACATACGTCGATGTGGCCTTGGGCCTCACAAGGCACTGGACCCTGAATAAGCTCCAGTCGATGGCAGTCTTGCTACCGGCGGTGTTTCTTGACGAGCGCGGCACACGGCTGCAGGAAGAAGGGGGTCGGCAGCATTTCCAATACATCGGCGGCGAGGGCGGCACCGGCAAGTCTCGCGTCATACACGCCATCAAGGACATGTTCCGGCTGAAGGACGGTCTCCACACGCTGCTCCTGACGGGCGCCAGCGGTAATGCGGCCGCGCTTATCGGCGGAGTGACGCTGCACTCGGCGGCAAATATTGCGTTTGAGGGCAGGGCAGCGACAGCAAGGAACATCTCGGAAGAAGAGAAGCTGCGGTGGAAAAACATGATCATGCTGGTTATCGACGAGATCAGCCAGGTGGGCGGTCTCACGCTCGCGGCGGTGGACAGCCGCCTGAAGCAGTACAGAGACGACCACCATCGACCGTTCGGCGGGATCCCAATGGTCATGTTCTTTGGTGATTTCTTCCAGTTCGACCCCATCCTGCAGACCAGCCTCCTCTTGCCAACGCCTAGGGACCCCGGTGGACAGAGACCGGACAGCGCTGCAAAGCACCTAGCAGCGCATAAGCTGTTCCTCCAGTTCACGAACGTCGTCATCCTCCGCGAACAGGTCCGCGCGGCCGGCTGTCCAAGGTTGCGGGGTTTCCTTCCGCGCCTGCGCAATGGCGAGCAAACCGAGCTAGACTTCCAGCGGCTATGTCAGCGCGTCTATACACCGTCGAGCGAGTCCTCCTTCGTAGATGGCTTGAGAGCCATCACGCCTCTGAACCAAGACCGGTGGGACATGAACATGGCGGCCGTCGTCCAGTGGGCTCGTGCCCACGGCAAGCACATCTCCATCTTTGTGGCCAAGCACGATACCGATTCGGGGAAGCGACTAAGTGTGGAAGAGCTGTGCCGCGTGCTTCGCTACGGAGACGACTCCCAGCTGCCAACCCCGGGCTTGTTCTTCTACGCTCAAGGGATGCCGGTGGTGGTGACTCGCAACCAGTTTGTCGGGCTAAAGGTGGTCAACGGGGCACCTTTCAAGGCCGTCGACATCTTCCCCGACCTCGCAGCCGGCACCATCGCGCTCGCCAACGACGTGACTCTCCATCTCGGGCCACCCGTGGCCGTCCTCCTCGAGTCGGAGGATACCGCCGGTCTGGCCATTCCCGGGCTCCCGAACGGCACAATCTTGATCAAGAGCAAGACGGTCGCCATCCCGAGCCATATGCGGGGCAAAGAAGGCAGATGGAGGGGCAAGCCAGGTTTCAGGTGGGTCACCCACCGAACGGGGTCTCTTTGCACCCCGGCCTTCGCCATGACAGATCAGAAGAGCCAGGGCAAGCAGTTCTCCAACGTCCTCGTCAATCTCAAAGGCGTCCACTCCAGCGGTACGGCGACGCGGCCCAGCTTCATGAGCCTGTACGTGCAGCTGTCGAGGGCGCAGAGCTGGGACGGGCTGCATTTGTTTCGGAAACCGGGGCGCGGCGACTTCATCGAGCCCAAGAATGTGCTGGACAAAGACATGAGGGAGGCCATCCTCAAGCTGGAACGGCGGGGCGAGGAGACCAGGCGGCGGTTCGAGCAGGACCACAGGCACGAGTCGTGGTTTCAAGAATGGGCTGCCATGCCTGAATCTGGCCAAGGGACTGAAACCGATGACGTAGAGGGCGCGGCGCTCTGGCGAGACCCTGGGGTTCCCGAGCCCGAATCGTAGCAAACTTCTTTGCCGTTGCTCTGTTTTGGAGCTCTTTTCCAGCGGAATAAGCTGCTTCAATTAATATTTTCCTTCTCAACTTGTTGCCGTGTTGGCCTGCAATCTGCATCCTTTCGTGGTCGTCGGCGAACCTGCCCGGGGGTACGCCGTCTCATTGGCCCTTATAAACCGGGGCCAGCCCCACAGCCGACAGACCCCAACAGACCGTCCGTGCACCACCACTGCCAAGCCCAACTTCGAGACGCTCATCGTCAGAGGCAAGTTCCTCCGGGCAAAGCAACATGGCTGCTTCCACAATCGTTAGGATAATGACAGTAAATCTTCACAGTTTACAGGGAGAAATGGCACGGCTTTTTTTGATGGGGCGTTTTATGGGGTTTTTATGGGGCGGAATTGGTCCGTGCTTGGAGCATGGTTTTTCTCGGAAAAGGAACCTTTCGGAAGTACTCGTTCCTCGCACGTTCCTCCAGGCAAAGGAACCTTTCGGAAGTACTCGTTCCTCGCACGTTCCTCCAGGCAAAGGAACCTTTCGGAAGTACTCGTTCCTCGCACGTTCCTCCAGGCATACACGGACATCCTTGAAATGTGGATAATGGGTTGGGAACTGATAAAACAACGATGTCTGCAAAAAGCGAAATGTCCAAGGACTGAGGTATAGATAACCCAAACTTGTATATCATTGGTCTTTTATATTATGTGATTGATAACCCCGAGTCCTCGGTAACCTACTTCGGTAGGCACGGCGTAATTTACAGAACTAGTTTCCAGCCAGCTTGTGTGCTTTCCAAGTCAATAAATCTTTTACCGGCGCCATGCTCCTAACAACTTCTGCCCACCTGCCATGTCAAAGATTTTGGGTGATAAGAGTGATACACGCATGATAGAAAGCGACGGTCATGTTTAGGGGCCTCATCAATTGATTGTCTCGCAGCACAAACCCCACTCGCCCCATCTACCTGCAGTTACTCGAGCCCGAATCCCCCCGGAATCGTACTCAACCTCAGTTCCATCATCATCCATAATTTCTCGCATCAATTTATCAAATAGGTACATCAATTACCACCATGCCAACCAGAATCACGCCCCTGCAGCTATCTCGACATGGCTACTCTTTGCCACCACGTCACTCGCCAGAGCCCCCAAAGACGCGCTCTGCATGATACTAAAAATCGAAATATCCGCCGCGGCCTGCAACATCAACATGTTACGCAGTTCCACCGCTACAAGCGAGTCGACGCCGTGCAGTGCCGGCGATTTGGCTAGGTCGATATCATCGATGGGAATCATAAAAATGTCCCCTAGCTTCGAGGCGATGGCGTCACCAACCAGTCGCGTCGCTTCGTCACGCGAACCGGCCTCCTGCAGCTGCGCCGACAGCGGTTTGACATCGGCGTCACCAAGCTGCTGGCCCGCCGCCTGGGCCCCCGTGGGCCTGCGATACTTGAGGGGCACGAAGCGGGCATCACGGCCCATCTGAGACTCGCTCGTCGGATCCCACTGCGGTCCGGGTCCCGAGTTGAGGCCCAGAAGGACCTGGGGTTGCTCGAGGGGGTGCAGGACGGCCGCGCCAATGGCCCGCAGCACCGAGTCTTCGGGCAGAACGAGCATTTGGCCGGGCTTGCGAACGCGCTCCGACACGGCGCGGGATTCAGCTACGTAACCGACGCCCCTGACAATGCCAATGTCGATCGACACGGCCGGCAGCCCCGAGGCCTGCCGCCAGCGTGCCAGCGCGTCCTGGTACGATCCGCCGGCTGCGTAGTTGGCTTGACTGGCCAACCCGAGGATGCACGACAACGAGGAGAGCATGACGAAGAAGTCGAGCGAGCCGCGCTGGGTGAAGTTGGAGTGCAAGTTCCAGCTACCCGCAACCTTGGGCCGGATCGCCGTCTGCCAGTCGTCGAGCGTCATCTGCTCGAGGATAGAGTCCTTGAGCACCATGGCGCCTTGGATGACGCCCCGGATCGGTGGCAGCCCCTCCTCATTCTTGCACCTATCGAGGGCTCTCGTCAGGGACTGCTCACTGGCCACGTCACAACTAATGGCCACGACGCGGCAGCCGGCCTCGCGCAGCTGCGTGATGAAGGTCCCTGCATTCTGCTTGCTGGCATTTCGCGATAGCAGGATGAGGTTGCGGGCGCCGTGGTCCATCATCCAGTGCGCGATGGATCGCCCGAGGCCTCCCACGCCGCCCACAAGCAGGTAAGACGCATCGGGCCGCAATTTCGGCGCCGGCGCTCGTGGGAGCACCCGAACCTGCTCATCCGGCGCGACCGATAGCACAACTTTGCCCGTGTGTTTACCGGTTTGCAACAGCCGGAAAGCCCGCGACACCTGCTGCATGGGGAAGACGGTGACCGGGTGGATCGGTTCGATCACCTTTCTTCCTGCGAGGCGCGCGACCTCGCTGAGAACCCGGTGCGCGTGGGTCCCGCGCTCGCGCAGCAACGACATCATGTCCAGGGACGTGAAGGACGCCACCTGCGAGAAGGTGGCCATCTCGAGCAGGCTGTTCCCTTCCAAGTCCCGCTTACCAATCTCCACGAAGTGACCAAACGGCGCGAGCACGTCGAACCCGGCCTGCAACAGCGGGCCAGCCAACGAGTTGAGCACCACATCCACACCGCGCCCCCCTGTAGCGGCCAGGACAGCCGGCGCGAAGGACGCGTCACGGCTGTTGAAGATGCGTTCGGCGGGGATCCCGTACTCGCGAGTGAGGAGATCGCGCTTCTCCTGGGACCCGACGGTAGCGTATACCTCGGCGCCGAGGTAGTCCTTGGCCAGCATAATCGCTGCTTGTCCGACACCTCCCGCGGCGGCGTGGATAAGGACGGATTGGCCGGGCCGAAGGTTCGCGATATCAACAAGACCAACATAGGCGGTGCTGAAGATCATGGGCAGCGACGCGGCGTCGTCAAAGGTCATACCCTCAGGCATATGCGCAACGCCATGCCAGCTGACGCGGGCGCGGTTCGCAAAGGGGCCGATAAGCAACGCCATGACGCGATCGCCGACGGCGAAGCCCTGCGCCGCGGCCTCGCTGCCCACGCGGGTGATGATACCGGCACATTCCAAACCCATGACGCGCTCGCGCAGCTGGCCCATGGCCACCATGACGTCGCGGAAGTTGAGCCCGTATGCCCGCGGCTCGATCTCCACCGTGTCTGCATCTCCGCTGATGTCCTCGTCGTCGTCGGCAAATACCAACGTGTCCAACAGACCCGGAACGCCAGCCTTCAGCCGCAGCGGGCGCTGTTCCTGGAAAAGAGGCGCCTCCGGGATGGACTCGGGCATGGTCCAGTCGGGGGCTTCGGGCGTCAGCATCTTGTTGCGCGCTAGGTCCTTGCGTAGGCGCGGGACTAGGATGAGCCCGTCGCGGACCGCGAACTCGTTGTCTACCGGCGCCGGCTCGGCCATGATGGAGTAGACGTCGTCCGCGGTGCCCAGGCTGGTCTGCAGCACGTGGGCGATGGCTGCGATGCCCGACTCGGACCACACCGGTGTTTGCGGATCCAGGTCGAGGGTCGGGAAGTAACGGCCCACGTATTCGCTCCGTAAGCTGCGCAGGAACCCGGTGACCAGTGCCTTGTTCGGATCCACGCACTCGACTGCAGCGCCGCGCGTTACCCAGAGAAGCCCTTTGCAGGCGGTTGCCATGGTCTTGACGCTCCGCAGGCTGGCGGAATCGAGGGTGTGCAAGATCGATTGCTCGATCTCGCCCACAAACACGCATATCTTGGTGTTGTATGTCTCTGCCGTGGCCGAAGGTGCTTCTAGGGGTTGGACGGCGGGAAGAGCGCCGCCAGTGACCTTGGCGATGGACTCCCGCAGAGACTGGAGCCAGTTGGAAGGGGGGGGCGCCTTGTCACTGGTGACAACGATGACACTGTCCGACGCCAGCTTGAATTGACGCGGGGAAGCAGTCGCCAGCATACTGCTAATGGCGTACATATCGTCATCGTTTTCGTAGTCATGGATCTCGACATCGATGCCGCCGAAACCGGCACCCTTGAGGACCCTGTCCCACATCGGAATTGATAGCGAAGGGCTGGAATGGCGCTCGGGCTCCTCGCTCAGCCACCAGCCGGGCAGCAGACCGAAAATGAAACCCAGGTCGAGTTGGTCATGTGTCGTCTCCATAAGCAGAAGGGTGGCGCCCGGTTTCATCAGCTTGTGCACATGGTCCATAGTGCGGGCCATGCTCTTGGTTGCGTGCAGCACCTGGCAGGCGACGACAATGTCGTAGCTCGCGAGATTGAAGCCCTGTGACTCGGGGCTCTTCTCGATATCAAGTTGATCGAACTCCATAAAGTTGCTCCAGGCGCCGAACTCGCTCCGGGCCGCCTCGAAGAAGGCCGAAGAAACATCAGTGAAGTGCCAAGTGTCGTACAGCGGCCCGGGCTCCTTGTCCGGGTCTGACGTCGAGAGGGCATAACGCGTGGCACCGCCCGGTGCCGGCTCCGATCTCCAAGACTCGCGCACGGGGGTTCTTATGGGCGACGGCCCGGAGCAAGGCGGCAAACTGGACAAATCCCGGCCGGAACCGCAAGGCGTTGGCGTAGTACTTGTACAGCAGCTGGTCCTCCATCATAATCTCGAGCGGCGCCTTTTCACCTCGCATCACGGGCACAAAGTGGGGACCGAGCCGGCACATCAGCTCGCCATCAACGCTCTTTGTGGCCGCTAGTGTCGTGTATTGTTGGCGTTTCTGCGGGTCGTCACTTGTCCAGGTGTGACTGTCGGCGCCCAGGCGACGTGCCGCCGCGGCGTCCAGCGTATCCTTCATCCACGTATGGAACTTGACATGGTGCGGCGCGAGGTTAGCCACGTCCTGCTCGGTGAGAACCTGCAGTGCGTCGTGGCAGAAGTACACGCACACCCGCCGCAGGGCCATCAGCACGTCCCAGTCGGCGGGATCCAAATCCTTCGACACGCTGAACTTTTTCTTCACGGCGGATGTCGCGCCGGGCAGACCCAGGGACAGAGCAACGTCGGGCGCCCAGTCGACCTTGACGCACAGCTCCTTGGTCCAGGGGCTGTTTCTCCTCGGCGTCCACGGCCGCGCTCTGCCCCAACGACTGGCACACGAAACCCTGCACTTCGATGACGGCCTCGGCGCCGTCAACGACCGAGATGTGCGCCTCGGAGCCCTGCGCGTCCTGGCGCGGCGCCTTGGTGTTGCACATGAAGGGTGTGGCCGGGCCGTCGTGGCCATGTGGCTCGAGACCCAGAGCTTCTGGGATCGACTGTGGCAGCATGGCGCTGTCGTTGCTCGCGCCCGAACCGGACAGCGCCGCGTACGACGAGATGATGACCGAGTCCAGCGTCGTGGGGTGTACGACGTGCTTGGTCCCGACGTCGGCGACCTCGATGGTGGTCACGCACCGCGGCTCCTTGGATCGGCCGTCCTGCACGATGCTGGTCGTGTTCTGGAACATGGGCCCGTGGTGCACGCCTTGCATGCGCAGTTCGGCGAACAGGTCTTCCGGATCGACCCGCCGCGTGTAGCCCGACTCCCCGAGGAAGCTAGTCGTCCTAGGCGGAGAAGGGGGGACGTCAAATTCGACCGTGATCAGCCCCTTGGCATGCTGCGTCCACTCGCTGT